AATTGAAAAATTCAGGGAGATTGGGGGCATTGATTTATGAAAAAGAAAAAAAATAAAAAAAAAAAAAAGGTGGCAGTCCCCCACCATAGCTGCCTTCACTTGTACTAAAAGACGCGACGCGATGGGGGCACACGTCGACCATAGCAATGGTGGGGGAGGCTGCCTGAAATAAACAAACAAAACTGCAAACGCCGATATTTGAGATGGCAAAGACGACATCATGGTGTCTTCATGTTTACGAGTTCATGATTGAAAACGGCCCGGCTCTCGACCTTAAAATCTCAGTCTGTGGTAAACATCTTGTGACTCTCAATATCCAGCACGTTCTCTCACTCGTTATCGGTGGAATCCCCGCACTATCCATGCCCAGCCCTCGTCAACGCCATGCAACTGATATCCGCACGATTGAAATATCTCCTTTTCCAAGTCAGAGATCTTGCAAGTTGTATGAATTGCTTGAGACGTGTCCTGTAGAACACTCAGTTAGCAAATTCATGTCCACTCCGTGTCAACCGATCAAGTTAGGGCTGATTGACCTCGACGCTGTGGAGTGTACTCAACCTGCTATCTGGCGAACGCCGCATCTCAACGGCTGAAGAACAAAGCTTGACTTGATAGTAGGCTCTGAAAATATGCAAGACGATGGGATCATCAATATTAAAGCAATGAAATAGCGTTTTGTGTGAAGTTCTGTTCGTACTAGCCAATCTGTCTATGCTGCTGCCTCTTGACAGTCGTCAATATGCAAATCTATCCACACTATATGCGCCCTGTTCCGTACTCAATCTTCTGTTCATGTCATAGCGTGTCTGTTTCTTGTCTCATAGTTGTGAAGAACGTAGATGTGTCAACTAATCACATGCACCTTATCCTCTGATCCAAACGCCCATCAACTTGCGGTTGAAATAGTCTTGAAACAAGACTGTGACCTCACCATCGGGATGGCGCTCGATCACTGTGGCCGTAGGGTCCCAGTCCTTGAAAAGCGACAGAGACAAGAAGGATGAAGGGCGTCCGCGTATGGCAGAAGCCACCGATGCGTAATCCTCTCCATCGTAAGCGCGAAGGAAACGGGACTCTTCTTCCGTAGTCATGTTGATCAGTGCGCATGGTCCGCTGAACTCCTTGAACTCTTCCGACATGAACTCTCGCACAGCCTTCATAGCCCGATCGTACGGCGAACCGCCAAGTCTGGTGTTGTTGGCTGCTCCCTGAGCTTTGTCGTTCAGAAATTTTGCGAGATCAGAGGGCACAGCAAGTTTCATGCCGGGCAAGCCCATAGGGTGACCGCCAAAATTACCATAGTTGACGGCAACCTCAAATCCACCAGGAACACCTCGGATTTTGTGATTATCTGTGGGTTTCATATCAGTTCAGGTACAAATTAGTGCAATAGCACGTGGATTAGGAACAGTCGTACCGTAAATCTTGGTATCCAAGCTTTCAGTAATGGCTTGCTCCGCTGAGGGAGCTCGCTTGACTTCAATTGAGAATTTGCCAACGATCTTCGGTCTCTTGAACGAATCCTCAGATGTGGCCATGTCAGCACGATCCTTGTGTTGGACGTCGGCCGTCTTCCGCTTCATTGGGCTAGGTGGAGGCACATGACCAGCTGTTGTTTCGCCGAACATAATCTTCCGGGCATGCGTTTCCTCAAAGTCACCGATGGTTACTTTGAACAAGGCACGGTTCTGCTTATCCTTGAGGATGACTCTGAGCCCGTTGGAGGAAGTACCCGCCTCGGTTTTCTTGGGATCCCAATCTCGAAAGGCCTTTGGAAAGGCACGAGAGTTCTTTCGGAGGATTAGACTCATGTTGCTCTGCTGAGTTTCCAGTATGCGACGAATGTACTCTTCGTCATCGCTCGTCAAATCGAAAAGAACGCCTTCGCCAACAGGACCAGACATGACTTCTCGCATCGCGAGACGAGCTCGTGCCGTGGAAGAAATGTCTTGTCGAATCTGGTTGTATCGAACTATGCGATCCTTCATGTCCCTCACTAGGTGGGATGGAATGGCGGCTTTGACGCCGGGGTTCTGGGCTTGTCCAGGAATGTCGATTCCACAAGGTAAGGCTTCCCTTTGCGCAAGTCTAGGTCAAGAAGATCAGTACCGGGGCAAACGAGAGCGATGACGCGTCAAGATGGGATCCTACTGTATTCGCGAGCCTTGAGGGGGTAATGGTATACATCATATCCAATATACATTCACATCACTTTCAGATCAGTTTTACATATCATATTTGATGATCCGGAAGAATAGGGTTTAAGACTAGTTCAAAACTAGTTTTTTATTGTGTCAGAAATCCTCAGGCCGATCTTAGAGCAGTCTTGGTTCACTCCTCAAAAAATGTGTGCTTCTTTTTGGGGGATTCGCCCAAAAGGGCGCCGAAGCGGCGGCGGCGAGCGGTAGTGGCAGGATTCTCACCTAGATTTGAAATTAGTTTAAGTTCGATTCAAAAGCGTATTGCAGATTTACTGGGAGAGTTGAGATTTATGCCGCCAAAGGGGGCGGCGAGTTGAGGAGTGCCTGAGCCCTGGGGAGTGCCAGGCAAGGCGGCCGCGCGGGGAAGGGCTTGGGGTGTACTGGGCACTATTTGACAGATTAGCAAGAAGTTGAACGATTATAAACTGAACAAAAATAATTGATAATCAGTTATCGACTAAACTTACTCTCGGGAGCAGGTGCTACGGGCTCCTCTGAGGGAGCTTCGGATGACGATCTGTTGCTGGGCGGGTAGCTAAGCTCTTGGGTGGTGAATGAATAGGTTCCAGGCGGAGCGCGGGTAGCGCGAATGTCTGCTGGTCCGATATCTCCAAGGTCTAGAGGCATCGTGACAATGAGGTCTTGACAGCTCGTCAAGAGGAAGATTGAGTTGATGTATGATTGAAGTGATTGAGATCAGTCACTGCTGTGGATGATAGAAGAAGGGATGAAAGAAAGGAGGAAAGGAGGAAAAATAAGGGATTCCAGGGCTTACATTTATAATAAAAAAGTAAGGGCAGTCCCCCACCCAAGGTGAGCTACCACAACGCGACGCTACTGGCAAACGTCGAGCTTCGTGGTGGGGGAGGTTGACCTGGCAGCGGGACGATTCTGTGTCTTTGTTTACGTTGGGTGTTTGATACAAACGAAGGGAGTGCACTTTACGTTTATCTTATGATAGCTGCGAGTCCTGATATAAAATCATCGCCTGAACGACGGGGTCTGACAGCCATTCCTGGTCATGTAGAGGTATTTTGCAAGAAACAAGATACTTGTGGCGTTCGAACGCTACATTCACAAGCCGTAACGGGAAACATGTAAGGATTCCGTGGAAATTATCAAATGTATTGATATCAAAGAGAACGCATCACCTGCGAATCAATGATTTATGAGCCTTGAAGCTGTTCCTTGGGCAAGACACACTTGTCGTAATGTGTTGCAGACATCAGCAGGATCTTCGAATCTACTCTCGATCCTTGACCTGAACACGAACTAGTTTGCAATCGTAATAATTCTTGAAGATTATGGAGATGTAATGCTTGGAAATATCACGTGATAAAAGATAAAAGCAAGCGGAGTATTCTCGGCAACCTCATGATCTTTGCGAATCTCTCTTCTTCCCTCGGAGCGACACTAAGGAAACCACAATCGTTCCAGTCGTAGAATAAATAGTCAACGTCAGCCTGGACGCGCTCCTTGGGGGTGGTCTCGCGTGCGATAGTGTCGTCTGCGCGTACCAGAATGTTCTTCAGACAGAGTCCGAGATCAGAGGGGACTGCGATCTTGACCATATTATCTCCAGTGTTAGGGACCTTGAGGTTTCTGTAACAGATGTAACAGAATTACAAGTATTGAAGTTGTGTGTCTTCCCTTCCAGATGCTGCTGAAGACTCGACAGGTTCGGATCGTTCTTGGTGATGATCAAAGATGCAATCATGATTCGATTGCAGCACGCTGGAAAGAGTTGGTAATATAGGAATGGTAATCTGCGTTTATACTAGTAAAGGGAATTGTCATCCGCCCTGCTACTTGTAGCGCCGCATCGTGCCAGTAATCAAGTATGGTCTTTCAGTTTACGAATGTACAGAACGGGGTGCTTTTGGTGTTGATCTGGTAATCAGAAGGGTACACCTTTGTTTTCATTGACTAATGAAAGCAAACAGAAGAATGATTCATAAATATTTGAATTTTTCCTGTCAGTATGTTAGATGAGACGTTCAGGGAACACACAAATTATGGTATAAAGTAAGGTGTATTGTGACAGTTAAGTTCGGCTAACTAATTGAATCCTGTGGTCTCCGGTCCGCAGTCCCCATGCACCTTCCGGAAATCCCCCGACCAGCGTTTACGTGGTTCTGGAGGATGGGCAGACGTTGGGAATCGATAGAGGTGGTCGTAGAAGAGATTGGCAAAGAGATCTTCATCTCCCGCGTCCTGATTGCAGCGGCGCATTGTCGCCATGTCCTCAATCTAGTCCAAGAGGGCGCAATCTCCCAACATCATAGTTCTTCAATTTTTCGTTCGCGGTCCGGACTGGACTCAGGACGGTTAACCCATAATTCAGCATCAGCTATAGTATCATGACGCCTTCGGGGCGGTCGTGGATATGTAAAACCAGGAGTGCCACAACATCTGTGGGTGGCGATCCCATCTGGCACATGTGCAAGGCCATGGCTAGGATCATCAACACCACTATGTCTTCAGTGGCATGACCGTGGATTCGACGAGCGACATGACGAGAGAAAACGGCGAACTTGCCTCATGCTCGTAGTTCCAATGTCCTGCCAAGTCCCTCAATCCGGCGATTGTTGAATACTCTTCGCATTCGTCTGGCGACCGGGTGGCACACAACGGGGACGGCCAGGAATGCCGGGACTCTGCCAGCATCGGTGAGACGGCGTCTCGGTGCCTCCTCTTTGACGGCATCATCAGTGCCAATATAAACAGCGGGATTCATTCGGGGTGCTCGCCGTATCCCTTGGCGTTCCTCCCTCAGATCGACCGCAACATCTTGCAGTTCGTCCAGGTACTGATCACCCTCGTCCGGGTCCTAGAACCACTCTTTTGTGGCCGAGCCATAATGCGTCTCAGCAACAACATCACCAGACCAGATTCTCTGGCTCTTCAGATCTAATACCAGATCACATTGAATCCAACATGATGTGCAGGTTGATCAAATGCCGCGCTATTCCTTGCTGGATGTTCAACAGCGGAAGAGAAAACTCACAGCAAGAATCGGGGAAGTAGGTAGGTGTCAGTATGTCTGCTTGGCTTGATCAGAATTCAGTGAACACGGGGGAAATTCATTCTTTTATGTTGACGAATTTAGTCACATGTATGAGTACGCTGTCGCAAACATGAACAATTTGTCTACTATCCAGTCACTCCATGGTTTGCTTTGGCACACAAACCAGATGATGCCACTGTTGATTTGTGTTTGACGGTGCTGGTTTGCTTATTGGTTGCGATGCAAGAGTCTTTAAGAGCCAGCAGAACTGCACAGTCACGATGTGAGAGGCAGATTCTAGTCATCGGTCTGCGGCAGGCAGCATGAGATATGTGACGCACTTCAAAGAAAGAGGGCATGATTCATTATCCAAACCTCTCTAAATTGGAATTTTTGAAGTTACACTAGGTACACTTATCTTCACCTAAGCTGCAGAAGTCAAACTTAAGCCCCGGAAGAGGCCAGTCCATCCACTTGTCAGTCCTCCCAAGGTCTTGAGCGGCGCCTCGATTGCAATCTCTGCCCAGTGGTGGTAAATACCATTGATGCCCATGACGGCAAGAAATTCCATCTCTTCTCCGTCGTCAACCGCTGCGTAGGTGCGGTTGCCGCGTTCGACCAGCTTGAGATCAAACCACTCGCCCTCGGGCACCGTGGCGTTGAGGCGAAAGTAGTTGCCAGCCGCAAACAGTGTAATGTTGGGCGTGAGCATGAGCGCCGAGTCGCGGCCGTAGAGGAGCGTGGCATTGGTCGCGTCCGTCAGCGAGTCGACGAGCAATGAGAGCGACAGGGTATAATTGCGGCCTTTGGAGTCTAGTGGAGTAACGACGCTACATCCGTCCGAGATTGCGAGCGCAGGGCCGCCCGTGCTATCCTCGGTCCAATCGCAATCGCTCTCGGCAGTGTACGAGTTTCCTGAAATGTCTTCAATGAGGTTCGACGTCGAGTTGGTCGATTGCGCGAGCGTGTAGTTTACAATGACCTCGGATATTGACGGGATCGTGCGTTCTAGGTTCTGGCCGGGAATAGTTGGGTGCAGCAGCGTAAACACTCCCGGAAAAGCCTCCTCGCTCAGGTTGCCACCCCACTGCTTGTCGGCCATGGCCGGGATACCTTCTCGCCAGGCATAGTAGGCTTCCGAGTACACTGAAGCGTTCGCTCCATAGTCATTCCAAATCGGCGCAATGGCGCCCAAGACATATGGGTTGGATGCGACGGGGTTGTTGGTATCATTGTGCTGGTCAAAAACGTTTGGCCGCCAATAGCTCTGATCGGGTGAGCCGTGAAACGTCTTGGTCAGGTTGATGGAATTCAAGTAGCCTCCGGGCGGCGCCCACTTGTTGACAATGTAAAAGTCATCGTTGGAGTTTACTACAGAATAGTTGTTCTGGATGTAGTCATAGTATGGATTGTCTTCAAAATACTCCCAGTGTTGGACAGACTAGATAATATTATATCAGTGATGTGCAAGTAGATGATACAACAGTGCAACGTACCACGTTCTCATAGACATTTGTCCATGTTGCGTTATCTGCTCAAGGTCAGTACATCGAATTCCCATCGGCTACCTCGAACTTTAGGTAACCAACTCACTACTCCAAGTTAGCGACCGGTCATTGCGTGCTTGGTTGTCATATCAACACTTACCAGATGGGTGGAAACGTTCCCCAAATTCTAGTCGACTTTCCACTGGTAGACTCGATAAAGGATGCCATGGTATTGACAAAGTCATTGTAATCCGACTCTGGGCCGGTATACTCGTCTGCACCAATTGAGACAACCTTGCTCTTGAACCAAGGCAAGAAGGTAGACCAGATTGCCTTCATGGTCGGCACTGTTTCGGGGTGCGAAATGTTGAGGAGGTCAATGTCGCCTTCCAAGCCGAGCTCGGGCTTCCACTGGGTAATTACAAGCGCGTGGCCGGGAGCCTCGATCTCGGGGATTATGGTAACGCCCCGGGCTGCACATTTCGACTGAATTGTGTCGAAATCGGCCTCGGTGTAAGACTCATTCGCGTGCAGGTTCAATCCTGCCACTGCCGAGTCGTCGCTCCAGAGCCGAAATCGGGCATACAGGTCCAGGGACTGCTGGAGCGTGTAGTTGGGATTATTATACAGATTATCGCTGAGGTGGAGATGCAATATGTTCTGCTTGAAGAAGGACATGTAGCTGCAGAGATCAGTCACAAAGTCTGGGGGGTAGTAGTGGCGGCCGGCATCGAGCATCACGCCCCTTGTCGGCCATCCGGGGACATCCAAGCTCGAGCCAATTGGGATACTTGGGGTATCAGCCTCTGAGAGTACTAATTGTTGGAGCACGGTACGAGTCGCCCACCAGGCACCGAGCGGTGAAGCACCCGTGATGGTCAAACATGATGAATTGACGTCGAGACTGTAGCCCTCTGAAGACTCACGACCAGCCGCATCCAGATAGCTGGCCGGGTCGGCAATGGTAATGTAGACACTGCCGTCTGAGCAGCTACTTCCGTTGACTGCTTCGATGGACGCATTGATGACCGTTCCCAGGTCCTCTGCAAATACCGAGGCAAACTCAAAGAGCGTTGGCGGTATCAAGGTTTGGCCCGCCTCATCTATAGACGATGCATACTGCGCATCAACGACAATGGTCTTTACATCTCCAAAACTAAATGTGCCATTCGCGACGCTCTGAAATGGCACAGTAGGAATGCCGGGGAGAAATGTCGCAGCCTCAGTCGCTCCTAGTCGTTTCCATCAGCAGAGATTCATTAGGTATACGAGGGTGACTGGGATAATACCAATGACTCCGCCAATCAGTGCTTGTGCACTCTTCATCTTGAAAGCTTTGAATAGTTGAAAACCTACTCATGCAGTGCAATCCTTCGAATATACTTGGCTCGTGATTCTCAATTGAGATACCATACCACGTCCTGCGAGTATTGGAGATGGTCAAACTTGCCATGACGCAATTCAAATAGATATATTCCGTACCATGCTGCCCGTCTTTGATTTCATGATCATGGAATTGAAATTCTCCACCTCGTCTACGAAATGCGCATGCATTTTTGGGTAACGTTACTCAGCGGGCGATCCCTGCCGATCGCTGCAATGCCGCTGTCCAATGACGTGGGTTTAGGGGGCGTCTTCGGCTACGGCTCGCGGGCGGGGGATAAACTTGGCACTTTTGGGTTATAGTTATCATCGCCGACCCCGTTTTCCGTGCGACCTCACTTATCTTGGTATCAAGACTGATCCGTGATATGCTTCGGAGATTTCGGGGACAGAGTCAACAATGGTATTGCCAGCACTTTGGCACATACAAATCGTGCCTGTCACTAATAGTCTCAATCAAGCACGACGCGATACCCACGAGCGATGGAAACGTGACAATTGAAATGATGGCGCTGATAATGTCTGCAACGTTTGCATGTCTATACTCTGTACTACATTGAATCCTTTGTATACCCTCAGCATTACACAGCACCTACCAAGGGGCCGATAATGGCTTCTGCAGTCGCCCGGTCGACTACGTGAGCTTGCGCTGCGTCAACAACATTTGGAGTATAGGATATCTTGAAGACCCACGTCCACTGGTCCGCATCTTGGATATCCTTGCTAATATCTAGTTGCAGTGCCGGCTGGCCTTGCACAGTAACCTCTTGAATGGGAACTGCTGTTCCGCTCAAGTCACCGCCGAGCACAGTCACCACATCTCCCTCAATCCAGGGAATGGCACTCGTCAAAGTCAATGTGCTATTCAACTGATTCATGACCAGGATATAGAACGCATCCGTAGTTGTAGTGAATCGCACATCGTCGCCCTCTTGTGGCGTAATGAAATAGCTCGTAGTGTTGAAGATGGCTTCTCCATGGTCCTTGATCCAGGAACCAGCTTGGCGGAGGTGCTGCGCTTCAATATCGAGGATGCTGCCGTTGCCAACCGGGCCAATGTCGAGTAGATAGTTGCCGTTCTTGCTGACAATGTCTACGAGATTGGTAATAATGGTGCTCGCGTTCATGTATCCCTCTGGCGGCGTGGCACGATTGTATCCATAGCTGAATGGGTCCACTACGAGGGGTCAGTCAGCATTGATCTCATGATCCATTCAGAAATGCTTACTGCCAGCACTGCTTTCCCACTTTCTCTGCTGCGTCGCAGATATAGTGGCATACTCAGGGGTGTCAAAGTCGCCGGGAACTCCACAGCGATTGTTCATGACCACATGCCGGTTTTGTGTAATGGCTTCGTTATACCACTCGGCAGCGAACTCGGTCGTGAGATTGGGACCGCCAATGTCGCACCACATGATCTCAGTCCCAAGAGAAGCGAGCGTTTGCATTTCTGGCAGAACCAGGTCTCTCACGTAGTCATCCACGGGTACGTATCCCGTGTAAGGCAGTGTTTCATTGGTGAATGGATTGGTTGCGTTTCCGCCCGGCCATCGCCCAAACCCGTAGGGCACGTAATCGGGGTGGAAGAACTCGGGCAGGCTGTAATACACTGCCCGGTGAAGTTGCGGCTGATATGTCTCGGCTGCGGCAAAGGTCTCTTGAATAAAGTCGCGATGAGGAAAGAGGGCCACGGAAGTACGCTGGCTCACGTTGGCGGGCAGATCAAATAATGCATAGCCATCGTGATGCTTTGACACGTGGACAAAGTATGTTGCACCGGCATCCGCAAAGAGGTCAACCCATTCTTTTGCATCAAAGCCCGCTGCGCTAAAGTTGGAAATGAAGTCGTCATATACAAAGTTAGGCCCGTACGTTTCAAGGTGGTATTCATAGGTCCGGTCCGACGTGTCTGGTCCTCCGTTCAAGTTCCACCAGTACCTATTCATTTTAGCATGACTCCGTATCAATACTGAAACAGCGCTCACCATTCTGCATAGGTCTCATTCGAGCCAGTATTGCCCTACAGCATCATGTCAGCAGCGTCATTCCAATGATGCTTATATGGAGCCCGTATCAGCTTACCCAGGCCGGGATGGAGTACAATCCCCAGTGAATAAATATTCCAAACTTGGCATTGTTGTACCAATCGGGACTTTCGTGCGAAAAGATTGACTCGTAGGTTGGCTCGTACGGCGCGATGCCAAAGGTGGCCTCGAAATCATGCTTCACATCAACCGCCCCAGAAGTCAAGCGCGCTGTTGCGACACCGACGGTGCCCGGCTCGACACCTTGTTTGTTCTCTACCTCGACCTGGACAACGACCCTGTCTCCCGGCCGAAGACGTTTGATGATTCCAGCCTTGGTTGTGGTGACCCCGTCCGACTCGATCGTGACCTGTACACTATCGTTTGCCGTCACCCAAGCCCGGTCGTCGACGTTGCTAACGGCCACTTCGTAGATTTGTGTGGTGGAGGCTTCGGCGTACTTTTTGGTGGAGCGCGCGTACACCACCTCCAACTTTGTTCCGGTGTCATTTGCGCTGGTCGTTGTTGGCGTCAATGTCGCAGCAAAGATGTGCAGTCTGTTGCCTACGTCCGACTCTGGCACTTGAAGCCCAACTAATTCCTTGCTAGAATCCAACCAGAGTGTGCGCTGATAGATGTGTGACTTGTTGTAGTTGGTAGACTCGTTTGTAAAGTAAAAGGGCAGCACAATGTCGCCGCCCGGTGGGAAAGCCCATTGCCACCACGGAGGCACTGAGACACCCGCCAAAACTTCGGGCTCGCCCTTATAGCTAATCGTAATTTGCCCTTCGGTTGGGCTACTTTCTGCTGCAGCGAGCAAGTTTATGCTGGAATACTTTCCGGGCGGGAAGGAGAGATTTTGTCCTTGGGCTACAAAGTTGTCATACGTCCCGTTTCCCTGGAACTCGTATTGAACTCCGCCATAGGTCAGGTTCGCGCCCGGCTGATACTGTGCTGGGTAAGAGCCTACAACTTGTCAGCTACACCATTACTTGGCATAATGTGGGGGAGGGGGATAGGCACTTTGTTTGCCGTCAAAGTCGGCATCTCCTGGTAATGTCCCAAAAGCTTTATTGTCTATCAAGCCGCTGATATCTATGGGTAGAGAGCTGACCGCCGACAACTGTGCCGAAGTATACAAAGGATTATAGACCTGTGCCAAGGCCGTCGAGAGTATGGCAGTAAGGCAAGGGACCCATCTGGAGCGCCCCATCTTGTTCAAGCCAGTCGCCAAGAACAATCACGATATCAAGAGATCTCTTTCGAAAGTTCGATTGACTCTAGGTGTATTCTCCACAGGCAGCATACGAGTGATATACGTGAGGTGAAACCATTACACGTCCATGGATTCAAGAAAGTCTCAATTGCGACTTGACTGCAATGTGCTGCCATTGGAGCCAGCGAGTTATATCTATAGTCGAGGCATCTTCATGATTGGTTTACAGTGGCCGCGAGTTGTCGCGAATAGTGGGGATTTGAAGCATGAGTGAGTAACAGTGCGACGCAAACAAAGGAAGAACATACCACTATTCTAGTGCTCATCATTCATCAATACCCGAGTAACGCTTGAAAGAATGACATCAACTTTGTGAGCTCGCTAGCTACCTACTCCGGCATGCTGCAACGTTATTTCGGCACATGCCCCCCTGCTGGATAGGTGTTGAGGTCCTCCCTGAACACTTTGTCTACCCCGCCTCATTTGGAGCGTTACAGTGACTGGCCGGCCATGCGGGCGGGCTTTGACTTTGTTTTCTGCTGCTTGTCTATACCCGTTTCTCAGCTAGCCTATTTGATACCTCTAGCTTGCGGATCAATGCATACTTATCAGGAACAGCAGTGCAAGAAATGAATTGTGCACTTCCACACAGTCCAATGCAACGTCCAACCCCTCTCGTCGTTCGATGCAAGTTGGAGAGAGTCTAGGTATGATAGCGGGTCGCTGTTCTTCCCCGCAGCGCTCGGAAGCCGTGGCCCTTGAGAGTTTACAACTAACTAAGCGATGCCACAATGCAGGTAACCTGAGTATCATTCAGTGTCGCCTGCAATGTGACGCTGTACCAGCTGGGAGGCTTGGGAGGGACCTTTTGCGATTTTGGCAATCTAAACTGCTCTTGAGCCCTTTGCTCCCATTAGTGGATTTGTTGACCCTTGACTTGGCGGTGGCCATGTATCATGAATGGCATTGTTACATTCAACACCGTTCGCTTGACATAGCTGGCCACACGGCAAGCTGCGAGATTGGCATCATGCAAAGAAGTTGTTGATATACTCATCGCGCTCACTCCAAAGCTACCTTCTCAATGACCATTGTGCGATTTGGCCAGTGTATTGCTCAGACCCCAGCATGGTGAACTTTCAGGCCTCGTTGGCCTTGATGGCCGGTATTGCTGCCGGATGGGCACAGCAAGTTGTTTCCGAGACTATAACAACAGTATCAAAGACACCAGCGGCCTTTTCATACAATAATGACACATTTCTGCTACATGGGGAGCCATTTACCATAATTGGGGGTCAAATGGATCCCCAACGCATTCCTTACCAGTATTGGCGAGACAGGTTATCCAAAGCCAGGGCCATGGGCCTGAATACGATTTTTTCATACATTTTTTGGAACAATTTGGAGCCGCAATCAGGCAACTGGACCTCGGATGATCCGCAAAATGATATTGCAGAGTACTTTAGGATCGCGCAGGAAGAGGGACTCTGGGTGGTACTGCGGCCAGGTCCGTACATATGCGGAGAGCACGAATGGGGTGGGTTCCCGGCATGGTTGAATGAGATTTCGGGCATGGTGGTGCGCACCAACAATACTCCGTTCTTGGAGGAGACCAAGAAGTATATTGTAAACCTCGCGACCACATCCGGCTTTGCTGATTTGCAAGTGTCGCGCGGCGGGCCGATTCTCATGGTTCAGGTCGAGAATGAGTACGGGTCCTTTGGTGAGAACCACAACTACACGGCCGCGCTTCGTGACATTTTGCGCGAGAGCTTCGAGGTGCCTCTGTACACCAATGACGGCGGCGTGGACTGGACGCTCGAGGGAGGTCAAGTTCCGACCGTCCTCGCCGAGATCGACGGAGGATCTTGGGCCCTGCCAGCACGAGACTTGTACATCACTGATCCGACAGAGCTGGGACCATTATTGGATGGCGGTGAGTTCTCTACCTGTAAATATCCTCCAAGGCTTGATCCGCTGAACCAGTACTTTATCAGAATATTACACTTGGGCGCCGGACCAGTGGGGATCTTACAACTCACACAATACGACAGAGGGCCATGATGACTATGATGCTAGCATTGTCAGCGACATTGCTTACCATCTAGGAAACTACTCGGCATCGATCAGCTTCTACATGGTTCATGGCGGGACAAACTTTGGTTTTCAGAATGGGGCCATGTGGCAAAATAGGACCACAGTCTTTACGTCCTCCTACGATTATGGCTCGCCGATAGATGAGACGGGCCGGACGAGGGCGCTGTACTTTAAGATGCGCGAGGCAATCCTACCGTTTACGGCCAACGGCAGCGTCCCGGAGCCGCCAGAGAATCTTCCCCTGTCGTCGATTCCGCAGTTCACACTCTGCCAGTCCAGCAGCCTCTTTGCTGTCCGTGGCGAAAAGACCACGGCAGCCTCTCCGCTGACAATGGAAGCACTTGGGCAATCGTACGGTTTTACCCTCTACGAGTATAAGCACACGGCCAACGCGAGCGTCGAGGGACAGCTCCAAGCGGGCGACCGCCCTCGGGACCGAATCTTGGTGTACAAGAACGAGGCCATCCTTGGCGTGATCGACAGCCAGTACCAGCACCCCCTCAACGTCAGCGTATCCCTGGAGCCGGGCGACACACTGCAGCTGCTCGTCGAGAACCTTGGGCGCGTCGACTACTACTCGCGCGGTAACCCGTATGCGAACCATTTGCAGGACCAGTCCAAAGGCATCAAGGGCGACGTTTCGCTCGGGGAAGAGGTCCTTGAGGGATGGGACATGTATGCTTTGCAGCTCGACACTCTCCCACCTCTGGAAAATTGCGGCGGTGCCACGTCCGCCCCCGCCTCCTCCTCCTCCGCCGCCGCCGCCACTGCCCTAGGACCAGGGGAAGGAGCTGCCAAACGAGCGGGAGCTGCCCAAACCGCCGCAGCAGCAACGACAACGACAACAGACTCGCCATTCTTTTACCGCGGTACTTTTGTGGGCCCAGCCATTGCCAACGACTCGACCATGACGCTCGACACATTTATTACACTGCCCAACGGGGTCAAGGGCAACTTGTGGGTCAACGGTTTTCATCTGGGGAGATATTGGTTGGTCGGCCCCCAACAGTCGCTGTACCTACCCGGCGCTGTCGTCAGGCCGGAAGAGGCCAATGAGGTCGTGGTCCTGGAATTGGAGCCTTGGCAGATGAAGCAGCAGACGAACGAGACAACGGTCGCCGCGGGCATGGTGGCGTATGGTACTTCAGAGAGGGTCTGGGGAAACCAGTTGGACCCTGACTGTCTAGCCTGCGTTTAAAATTCTTTTGGTCTGTTTTCGACTTAGACCTAGATCGTCGTGACGGTTTTTCAACTGCCGCATCGCTGGACCAGTGCCTAAGGGGGAGAAGCGCGGTAAAACGGTAGTAGTAGTAGGACAATATTGGGTTGACGCCGGCCGGCATTCGCTCAACGTTCACGATAGTAGTGTGGTCGGAAGCGGAGAGTTCTGGACAGGCCGAGATGAGATGCCACTGATGCTAAGCCAAATCTATTGAAGAAAAAAAATTGTCTAAATGTTTAGTGCACGGTTACGTCGTCTGGCTTTGGACTCGGTCGCCGTTGAGATTGGTGTGTCGACGGCGTCTTCCGGGGACCACGGGCCACTAAAGTGGTTGGATAATTTCTTCCTGCCTGCCAGGTGGAGTCTTTTCTTTCTAGAACAATTTGTTCGTATTCCATAGATCTCTTATCAGTCTGCAGCGAGATCCCGACCTGGAGATAAAGTTCGCTTTGGAAATATATATTAACCTCAATCGTCTCTGCATTCCTGACTGCCGAAACCTTAACCAGGTTCCAACAGATGAATTGACATTTGGGGGCGGCAGACTCCATCCAGGGTCTTCTGGCACCGCCTGCTTGGCTTGACTAGGCTGGCGCCAGGACCAAAAAAGTACGGATTTCGTCGACGAGATCCGACCAAGAGGGTCAACGTTGGCAGAACTGCTTGAATAATTGCTCCGGTCCCTTCTCTACGGCCTTGCCGTCCAGTATAACGTGTTCGTAGTCGTACTTTGTGTCACTGGTGCCCGCGCGCCGGCCGAAGAAACAGAGGGAAGAGCCTTGCGGCAGGGCTTAACTTGATAAACATTTGTGGGTATTGGACCAGGGGACTAGCATTAGCAGCGCCCAACGGCAGTTAGGCCCCTTGCAGACCACGTTTTTGGTTCTTTGGAGTTTGTTTTGCTTGGCTGTGTAACCCTCGAAGGAGAATTTCCCCCAAAGCATGAAAGAAAAAGCCAAGGATCTTGTCGCTTCACCTGACGGCTGATCATTTGAGATGATGGTATCGCGACCTGGCCCATACCGCGACACACCTACTCGTTCGGGATTGGTCGGAAAAGTGCTGGAGATGAGCGACAAGGTGTGCCAAAAAGGGTCGACCACTTGCCAGGGGTTTCTCTTCTTGTCAGTGCTTGTCGGCTTATTCCTATTTCCCTACCCAGCTACGACCACATAGTTAATGTACGTGGCAAGGAGCCATGCCATGCATTGTAATGGCGTGCCCATGTCCACAATGCACTCCACGTTGGGATACGGCTTCCATGGCCATGATTGGCCATCAGGGTCGATTCCTCCCATATTGGGACAAAGGATCTAGTTGCACTACCCCTGGCTGTCTGGCAAGACCCAAGATGGGAAAATGGCAACTTCCGTCCGAATACGCGATAGCAGCAGCAAGCTGTGGTTGACTTGGGGTGCATGGTGGTCCCAACTCCTCTGCACATCTCCAGCGTGAGTAATTGAAAGATCTCATGAAGCACCACATGACCACCGATCGTACAATCAGCGATTAGCAGCAAGCTTTTGTACGTACCAGCTGGCTGGGAATGGAGAGAGTGCAATCAGTCGATCCGTCATCAGATAAGTGGTAAAATCACTCATTGTCGATCCCCAAGGAGGAGACATCCCCAGACAGTTCGTGATCGCAGAGCTAGAACCATCACTGCCACTTAGGGCTGCCTGGCTGCTCCCTGCTAGATCCATGATAACGATATTGATTATCATCAAGCCGAGCATGCCGGACCCTGCCTGCCTTGCCTACCAATCAGGGCCAGCTACTGTGTGTGCAAACTTGATTGAATATATGCATCATTCAGGAGCCGTACATGATTTTGACAGCCGCAGCCCACCATTTGAATAGTGCCAAGACATGTAAACTTTGACATTTTTTGGACGCTTTTGGGTTTGATTGACCCGCCTGCCTGCCTGTCGCCTGAAAAGCCACCCCCGGTTCCTGAGAGAATGGCAGGTGGGGATTCCCACGTTGCTCGCTGGCCCATCATTGCCTATCCTTGACGCTGGTTCCTGGTGTGCATCACTAGTACCTCTCACGACCACACACTATCTCACTGAACATTGGGTCCTTTTGGGTCTGTCCTCATTTCAAATTTTGAACCTTGGGGGATCCCAGGTCAACAACACCCGTCAATCCTTGGTGATATACGGACCTGGTGTCAGACCTAGTACGGAGTAGTAGTTGTTTGCATAGTCTAATGTGGAGGTTGTTGAGCGATCAGCAGAATAGTACCTATCTTGCCATTTACACCTATCAGACTCGACGCCAAGAGAGCGGATATAAGAAACTTAGCACTGCTTGGCTGCTTTGCCCGAGTGATGATCCGCTCAAGAGAGAAGAAAAAAGTCCCCGGACTCCAGTACTCCTTCTCTTAAGTACTAGAGACTGGCCGGCTTCTCTATCGTTTCCATGGTGGTTCTGCTAGACCCCTTTTGAGTCTCTTTCAAACTAACTTTTGTCTCTCGTTTTTCTTTGGTTTATTGTGGTTTTTCAGTATGAACAGCACTAGCTATCCAGGTGCGGCGGCACCTCCAGCAGGAGTAATCGCAAACGTCGACCATCCTCAAGATTTGCTGAGGACGGTCAACTATGTTACACAGGGGTTGACGATTGCCTTTGTCTCCTTTTTCATGGGATTAAGGATATATTCAAAGATGACTGTTTTGCGTGGTAATTTTGGCTGGGAAGACTGTGAGTTTACGTTTTGAATACCTCTCTTCTGTGGCAACTGGCTGACACGGGCGTTATGCAGATACAACATTCATTTCATATGTAATAATGATCGGTTATTGTGTCTGTGGTATACTATGTAAGTGGCTCCAGCATCATCACAGGTTGTACAAGGACGCTCAAGCTAACCTCAAACGACAGTGAGTGTCCACGAAGGAGGTCAAAACATTTGGGAAGTCCACAAGGATCAGATTGAGCCCTTCATGAAGGTCGCATACGCCGCAACGATCCACTACGCACCCATGGCTCTCTTTTGCAAGCTGTCGCTGCTCTTGCTCATTGCCCGCGTCTTTGGCTCCGTGCACAAGAAGACAATTCTGGGCATCCGCATCTTCATGGGTCTGCTGGTGGCCTACTACGTGACGGCCTTTGTCATCAAGATCCGGCCCTGCTATCCCATCTCGGCCTACTGGAAGGGCGACATAACCAAGTGTATGGACCAGTCGGCCGTCATTACCGCCGACTCCATCATCAGTGTCATTAGCGATCTGGCTATTCTACTCCTCCCGACGCCCCTGACCTGGTCGCTCAACATGCCCACAAGGAAGAAGCTGCGTGTGCTGGGCGTGCTCTGTGCCGGAGGATTGGCCACTGCATTCAGTATCCTGCGACTCGGACTTATCATTGCCGAGGGTAGTTCCGGAAACACGACCATGGTCTTTGTCAAGGTCGTGCTATCAGGGTGAGTCTCAGCAGGACGTGCAACATCAGGAGACACGGTAAATGCTAACAAGACAATAGAAACGCTGAGGTTGGAATAGGACTGATCTGTGCCTGTCTACCGGCATGCAACGCCCTCATCATCCGACGGAACCAGCGATACTACTCCGAGGCCTACTCGCGCAACGCCTACCACCGCTCCAAGGGCGGAGACAACAACACGGCCAACTTGACGAACCGCATCTACGTGCAGCGCGACTTTCACCTCGAGAGAGAAGAGCGGGGCCACAGCGGTAGCGGCAGTGGCAGCGGCAAGGAGATTGGCATCACGGCCTTTGAGATGCACAGCGACGACACTCAACTAGTGACCCACGCCCAGGCGGACCCAGGAAACGACGCCTGGTCAAACAAATCGGTCTAAGGGAAACCAAAAGAATAATAAAAATAATGAATTTCTTCTGTCAAACTTGGAGTCCTTGGTTTCGCAATGAACAGATTGTGTGCATGCCGGAAGACTGTCGATGACGAACGATGATTCAAACTAATGCCATTCATGTCAACATGTCAGGGGTAGAAACGTGACTGAGGTGAGACGCCACATGAATATGCCATTTGAATGAAGCGTTATTCCCTTGATTGAGTGATGAGCTGTGTAATGCTGCGCTCGATACAAGTGCTGTTCCTTGGCCAAGATATCTCCAATCGGTACGCCGTCGCGTCCTCAACCGCTCCTGTGCCACTCGCGCTGAACCTTCCGTGCACTCTTGGGCTGAGCGCGTTGCTTTTCCATGGCCGTGATCTCGTCCAGCTGCGCCTGGGTAGCGCCACCGCGCTGGACCTTTTCGCTGTAGATAAAAGCACGTCGCTTGCCCGGCCAGCGGCCCTTGCGCACCTTGTTCTTGCGGCTAAAGTAGACAAAGCTGATGTACATGCCGTGAATGTGCGACGGGATGACGGCAAGGATGAAGAGGACGCAGTTCATGGCAAAGTCGGCATCGAACCCCGTGAGGAGAAACACCGCCAGAGGTGGGAACAAGAGGTTGAAGAATAGAATGACTAATCGTTTGAACATTTTGACTAAGTAGTTGTCCTGTGACTTTTTTTTTTTTTTCGTTGTATAGCCAGGTCAGCCCAGGAAGAGATGCGACATAGGGTGTTATGTAGGTCAGAAGAAGTGCGGTTGCTTGGTCTGGACTTTCACAAGGACCAGAATGACTTTGAAAATGGTCTATGAGATACTGAAAGTAGACGAATGGCAATAACAACTCATTAAAAGATTCAATTTGCGCTCAGGAGAGTTCCAGTGCTTGGCGGCCTCTGGGTTGAGAGCGTGGAATCGCTAGGTGCACAATTTCCTTGCTTGGGCGGGAAATGATGTCATCAGCAGACAGTTTGAGACGCCAGTGCACCACAGAACTTCGCACAGTACAAGTCACTCTCAACGAACCAGTAACAACAAAATGAAATAACATCACCCATTTCGGCGGTTATTCTTTGATTTGTATGAGGAAATGTGGTCCATGCTGTATTATAATGCGACATGAGAACTTTTCTATATGCGCCAAATATTGAATGCCATCAATTTTGTCATGGATCATGGGAGGGCAGCAAGGACAGGAAACTATGGTCACACTTCAAGGTAGTGAACAACTGCGTAACGCGGGCCAAGCGCAAAACTGAGTTTAGAGACGAGCCACTTGATGTAAAGTATCTAGACATACTTGATTCCAAGAACTTCCCAGCCATGAAAATTATCTTCCAGCTGCTTATAGTTCCTCCTGCAGGTATTGATCAGTAGAAGCCCTGTCAATTCCGAGCTTGAGGCTTATTCCACGTCTTTCAACCCATGGACTAACGTGATGAGAGCGGCAGCGGTCGTAGGAGCTCTGATTCGTTTGCCCAAATCTGATTTTACACTTCATTATACTCGTGGCAATTCCAGCGAGCGTTATAAGTGGACTCTGGGAATGTGCTTGGATCAATCCCACGTTTGAGGATCTTGTAGTATCTCGAATTATCGTATTCGGAGCGGCTTGCGAACCGGGAGCCATCACGAGTGCTGGATATTGGCCACCCCTCTCCGACCTCATCCATAATTATTTGTAAGATCTCTGGGGGGAACTTGGAGAAGTCGATCTTGTGGTAGGCTTCGGCTGCCCACCATTGTTGCTGTTGTGGTGGCGCGTTTCGAGTCGAGCAAATGCGGTAGTAGGGATCGACGAGGTAGAGGACTAAACATCTCCAGTGACCAGGTCTAGTCTTGTCATTGAGTCTCATTGGCTCTCTCCGGTGCCACAGGGTATTTGGAAAGCTTAGAAGCCGACCTTCAGGTATGGCCACCGATCCCAACTCCTGTACGCCCACATTCCACAGGAGGTCTTTTTCAATCCCAAAGAGTTTCGTAATTTGCTCGAGTTCCCACATTTCGAGCTCTTTGTTTCCGACCTCGCCCTCTTGCGGCCTTGTTTCAGTAGAAAATGAGATACAAGGCTCAATGATGTTCTCACAATCGTAGCAATAAATTGCTGTGCCGATGACGTGCTCGTTGAGGTTGCTTGCCAAATGCCAGTCCTCGCCCTTGCACTCTGGCTTTTCTGGAGATACTTCGATATCAGAGAGTTTGACAACGACTTGCAGGCCCTGTTCTCGGAAGTCTTTGCGAAGATCCACTGTATAGTAGTCATGCGTGGCTTGTTCATGATGAGTACAGTTGTCGATGTGATTGGATAGACGACCTCGCTTCCAATCGTTGTAGTTGTATGTGTCTCCTGCATCAGGGTGGACTAGACTTCTGATGCGCTTCCACTTGTTCATGACCGTTTCGTTGATGCCATGATCATCAATGTAGTCGAAATATCCCTGCTCAATCTTGTCTTGGAGGCCAGGATCAGTGGTGGGTTCAATGCCTGGGTTACTCTGCCGAGGATCCAGCTCTGGATTCAACAGGGGATCATGTTCGACGTCGCCTCCTTCGTTTTTGTAGTTGTATCCATCTGGAAGGTTCATGTACTCTCTTACCTTCTTTCGAACTTGCTCATAGCGCTGAGGATCATGCCGTTTCCAATCCCGGTCTTGGCTCTTTGCGTAGTTTTCGGCCCAGTCCGGGTAAGGGGGGTCGAATGAGTAAGACATCTTGACACGAGGCGGCGTTCGACCGTTCTGACCAAACACAAGAACATCATTCCAGTGTTCGATAGCCAGAGAGATGACTTGTTCTATCATTTTGTAAAGAGTTTTGTTTCGCGGATGTAGATTGTTGATGTATGAGGTGATTCGAACGCCTGTAGCTGTCCCGTCATCAAATTGTACCTCGGAAGGCAGCCATTGAGACCAACAATTCCAGAGATAGCCCAAGCAAGGGTCTTGTCTGTCGTAATAGTCTTGTTGGTCTTCTACACAATCTATCCAACTTGAGCCGAACAAATTATCAAGCTCCGTTTTTCCGCCCCACCAAAAGACATGTGTGTTCCCGAAGGAAAGATCAAGAAATGAAGGGTTCACAAGATCGATGACCTGGCTGTTGTACCATGTTTGGTCTTCTGGCATCTTTGTTTTGCCCGCTTCGAGGCGCAGAGGATCTGTTGCGGCCTTCATCAGAGATCTGATAGAGCCAGGAACGACGGCATCAGATTTGCAAACGCGAGATGCAACATCAAGCACTAGGACATGCTGCTTCTCCTCGTATATGTGCGCTTTATCTTGTAACTCGGCCACGCACCAATCCCATGCTGTGTCGTTGATCAGGGGGTCTTGTGTCGCGTCTGCCTTCCATGATAAGACGACCTCGTCATCAAACACTCCCTGGTACCAGTCTTGCTTGTCCGTGATCTCGTTAATGACTCGCAGAATAGAAATTTCGCGTTGCACTAGTCGTGGACGTTGCTGGAAGTCGTGAAGGCCATGGGAGAAGCGCTTGTCCGCTGGGAGCGTGTATTCGAGAGGCAACTCAATGCCGGGAACTTGAGGCGGGCGGTAGTCGTCGCTATCGTCGGATTCTGACGTAAGCGGGGAATAGTCGCTATCATCGGATTCCGACATCTCAAGAACATGGCAGACTGGCGAATGTACTTGCAAGGCCTGTCAACCAGAATGCTCAGCTATGAGCAGTGGCGGGGTTTGAACAAGATGCCGCACCTTTGAGTGGCGGTATGTGAAAAGGCAAATACGTACCTGGAGGAGACTGGAGATCTTGAAAATTAGGACAGAAAGTTTATTTTTTCAATCAATCTGTCGCAACGAAAGGATTGCTAGCAATGAGATGGGGATTTGTATACAGTCGAATTGATTTCAACACACAAAGGTGCACAGTGTGGAGAAGCTGTTGTTGTTTGGAGAAAAAGAGGTTGCCAAACATTGAGCCATTGCTGTTTGTGCCTGTGAAACTAGACTGCTCCTTCCCTCAGGTATTGTTTCAAGGCGCGAATCTCACAATTTGGAGGAAGGTACGTGTTTTCAGTGTTGGAAGGGACGGTTTGGGTAATGACGAATACAGAATTGTCGCAGAATCTATTTCGTTCTTTCTCAAATCGGCCTAAGAATCTACAAGGAATATCTAAAGCCCTTGTTGTCAATTTCAGTAAGGTCATGCATGCCTGCCTCCACAGCCGCCTTTTCATCAGTCCAGCCCGCAGCATCGCGCCTCTTGTTTTCGCGCCACATGTAGAGGTAGAGCACTGCAATCGATAGCAGTTTCACCACGTATCCAACCAGCATGGCAATGTATGCGCTGTGGTAGCCGGCTGTGAAATAGTCAATAATCGAGATCCAATACAAAAATAGCAAGAAAGTTACTCACGAGCTTCCGAGTCAATAAATGTCTGAGGTCCAATAATGTTGCCAACGCAGTAGCCAGTGAAAAGTACAGCCGAGGTGAGCTGCTTCTTTGTTGATCCGGCAATGTTGGACGACACCATGGTGAGGGACATGGAGAAACCAAGACCCTGGAAGTAGCAAAGCCAAAGAGCTACGAGACGACCCCACTAGTCAAACATGTTAGCCGGTGTTTTCACTGTATGTTGATGACTGATCCTCCCTACCTTGTTGCTACTGGGCAATCCGACGAGCATGGCAGCACCCAAGATACAAATCGTGTTGGCGACAAGCATGGTGATGCACCTCGAGTTGTTGGGCCATTTGGTGCACACAAACCCACCAATAATCAATGCTAGGAACTGGACGGCACCACCGGGGATTTGGAGGTATTGCGTGCCCAGGGTATCGAAACCGAAACTCTTGACAATGAGACTGGTGAAGCTGGTGATGGCGGCATTGGGGACCTGGGCTCCGACGGCCATGACAAAGAGAATCCACGTCTTGGGGTCCTTGAAGCACTGAATGGCTTGCTCCTTTTTGAAGTGGTGGTTCTTGACGCCCTGGCGGTTCTTGGAGACGCGGCCGGTAGCGATGGCGCGCTCCTTTTCGGTAAGGAATTTTGCAGTCGCCGGCGTGTCGGGGAGGATGAGGAAGCTGACCACGCCCCAAGCCGTGCTGATGGCTCCAAAGATGAGGAACACATACATCCAACGCGGAAGACCAGTCGTGATGTGTCCGACAGCGTACCCAATCAGACCACCAAACATGGTGGCAATGCCATTGGTGCAGTAGTATGCCTCTAGTCGTAGAGGTTGTTCTGCAGATGTATACCTGTCATGCATAACTTAGTATGGAAGATGCGATTCCATGTTAGATCAAGTACATACCAGATGGACATGATCCACACAAAAGCCGGGTTGACAGTTGCTTCAGTGAAACCCAGGAGGAAGCGATTGGTAGCAATGCCTGCGAATGATGTGCACTGTGGAGGGAGTCAGCATTCATGGTAGAAAAACCAGCATCTTGGTGTCACTCTTGAGCGGCAATCGGAAGATTGATGCAGCCCAAATTATGATCGAGTTTCGCTTTGCGCCTTAGGGCAATTATAAAAGAAGACGAAAATGAACTCGGACTTACTGCAGGTGTAGTCATGAGGATGATACCCCATAATACTGTAGTGATAGACACAAACTTTCCAATAGGCAGTTTTTGGAGTAAGAATGCTGATGGGAATTGTGAAATCAGATATCCAAAGTAGAAGATCGATCCTAAGCAAGAGTGTAGTGTTAGTATTCGTGGTGGGTGCGGCTCGCAGATTGGCTTCGCTTACCGAGCCAAGAATAATCTTGGCCATGGAGGTTTGTTCCATCTTGTAGGCCGTATACACTAGCAAAGTTCAAGGAGTTCTTGTCCAGGTACTGAAGCATATATGTGACGAAAAGAACGGGCACGACGCGGACGTCAATCTTGCGCAGCACCTTCTTGGCCTCGGACTCGGTGGCTTCCAGCTGTTCCGTGGCCTTGTACGCCTGGTAGGCTTCGTCCAGGTCGCGGTCTGATCCCGAAGTCGTATCCTCGAACGAATCGGTGGGAGCATCCGTCCTGGGTGCTTTTTCGTCAATTATGGCTGCCATGTTGAGCGGCGGTCCAGGTTTGGAGCAAACTAAGCCAAAGGGATAGGAGGCAGAACAAGGGCACACACGGTCAGAAAAGAGATAACGGGGGGAAAGACGACTGTTCAAATATTTCCAGCGACATATAATCTTGACCGACAGGGCTGGAAAGATAGACAAAAGATTCAAGCCCTCGGCCCACTCTTTGATTCAAATGCTACTCCAAAATCTCATCCATCCATGCCAGCCCGTTCGTCAGCATCTATCGAGTTGGGCATATTTTCATGGGTAGGCAGGTCCGCGTTTCGCGGTCGACGGACGGAGAAGAGCTGCCGGCCGAACAGTGCTATTGCGTGCTGCGTGCTTCGCGCGGCGGCGACGTCACTTTTGGGCGTATTACGAGCACAAGACTGGGCCAGCACCGCATTTTCCAACAGCTTTAGGCCCTCTTCTTGTCGGTCTCATTAGCTAAATGATACCGTTAGATCAGTTACAGAAAACTGGCGCCCATTTCTGCCGTGGGCAGCAGGGCTCGGTGTCTCCACGGAATTGGGAAATATTGTGATGGCGACATCGACGGGATTGCTGATGTGATCGATCATCATTGGCTCACTTGCACGTGGAGGAGCTAACGTCGTAGTCGGGAAGACTGGTGCCAAGGGGTGGTCTCTTTTTGGTTTTATTTTATCTCCGTCTAACGCCGCTCTGCGGGGAACAGAAGACAAGAAGCATCAACTGTTCGACACACGCACGGGTCGAGAACACGATCCTACATTGTGTTTGGGCTGGAATCCCAAGACGACCCGATTGGTCATTGCCACTATATGGATTGCTGCATTGGGACGATATTCCCCTGCATTGGTATGCTCGCTCCGCTCTAGTCTTTGAACGAGGCATTCTCGTTTCTCCTCAGGAAGCTACTAGTCAACATATTTTTCGAGATTTATGGGTACTGTCCATGGCTGCGTCAAACTTGCTGATCAATCAGTAATGTCCAAGTGGTATTGAAGTGTATGACATTTCTACCTGTGGGGGACTAACCAAACTCCTATCGCTTTTTAAATACACTCTAATATAGTCTATGTACGGGTATGTTTTCTTCTTCTTCTGTTCCTATTCCCTTCCCGTCGCCTAAGATGAAGCAATCACCTTCTTCAACGTCTCCATGAATTTGAAGACGTCCGAAAATGTACAGTACAGAGGCACCGGCGCGACTCTGATCACGTCCGGCTTGCGCTTGTCGCAGACGATGCCATTCTCCACAAATGACTCCGCAACCCGATCGATCAGACCAGCTCGGAGGAGCACACTGAGCTGCGTTCCCCTCTCCAGCGGGTTTGCCGGTGTGATGATGCGCAGAGCAGGCTCTGCACCATTGTCGCTGGCCACAATCTCGTTGAGCAGGTGCTCAGCATAGGCCGTAATGACCAGGGCCTTGGATCGCAGGGCCTTCATGCTCGTCTGGCCAAACACCGAGAGAGCACCCGACAGCACGGCAAGATCAATGGCCGAGGGGTTCGAGACCTGGAAGCCACCAGCGCCGACGGTGGGGAGGAACTTGTTGTCCATGTTGAAGCGCACCGACTTGTCGCCGCCGTACCAGCCCGTCAGGCGGTGGCGGTAGACGGGCTTGCCGGTCTCGGGGTCGAACTCGACCTTGCCGTGGCGCTCGTGCACAAAGGCGCCGGCAATGGAGCCTGTGCCCGCATTGATGTACTTGTACGTGCACCAGGCGGCAAAGTCGACGTTCCAGTCGTGCAGCGAGAGTTCTACGTTGCCGGCTGCGTGCGCCAGGTCCCATCCGACCACCAGGCCCTTCTCCTGGGCGTACTTGGTTATCCGGGGAATGTCAAAGAGCTGGCCGCTGTAGTACTGGATACCGGGAAGGAGAAGGAGTGCCGTTTCCTCGGCGTGCTCGTCAATGGTAGCCAGGATCTTCTCCGTGGAGATGTAAAAGTTCTCATCTGGCTGGATCTGCACCATGGACTTGGCCGGGTCAAGACCATGCCACTGTATTTGCGATTCAATGGCGTACTTTTATTCATTAGCTGTTGCTTCTACATCGAGCATCGAGATACTTACATGGTCAGAAGGAAAGGGCTTCCACTCGAGGATGATCTTGTGCTTCTTTTCTGTTGGCTTGTAAAAACTGGCCATGAGCATGTGAAGGTTGGCCGTGAGAGTGTTCATGATGACAATTTCACTGGGAGAAGCACCGACAATGTCGGCAGACTTCTTGGCGCAGTCCTCGGCCATGTCTTGCCAGCAGACAAGAGGCGAGTTGCTCATGCTATTGAAGTGGCCGTGCACGCCGATAGATCCCCATGTCTCCAGCTGTGCCTCGAGGTATTTTCTAACTGCTTTCGGCTGGCAACCTAGCGAGTTACCGCAAAAGTAAATGCCGGGAGCATCAGCGTCACTTGCGCTGTGTCCGTTTGTGTGGCCATTGGTTCCATTGCTAGTGCCATTGAGAACTTTTGAGACGCCTGTATTTTTGTCAATAAGTGCTGGTTTTGCTGTCACGATGAGGGAAACGGACCTGGTATCGTGCCGTCTAGGGCAGTCTTCTTCAATGATGCCTTGGTCGGAATGATGAACTCATCCCGGAACCGACTGAGCTCGTCTTGAGCATCCATCTGAGCGGCATACTCGGCAGAGACTGCATTGCTGGGGAATTGCGGCTTCTTGCCGGCCCGAAGGGCATCAACAAACGAAGTGAAGGACATGATTGCTTAATGCTCGTATGTTGTAAGTCGTACGAGAGAGTTTTGCTGATCTGTTGACTGTAGCGATCCGAAAGAGAACCCTTCTCTTTCACTATATAGACGTCCCGGCTGAATATTTCAAAACAGTATATCCACTTGAAAAAGACGCTATCGTGCCGCGCCGCCACCGATACTAGGAGCTTGCCTCTTCATCCGAACATCCGAAGCGACATGGTCTTCTCATTATTGCCTTGTTCTGATTTCTTGATGATGGCAATAGCAGTCATCAATGGTTGCTGCTCATATCGCAAAGATTTGAAGTTGCGATCGTAATTTGGACCTGGTGGTCTCGATTGCGGCTTGGCATCGAAGCGCATACTATGAAGGTTCAGGCGGCCCTAGTAAAAATGCGCACTCAATCACAATCGTTAAACAGGCAAGCTGCACTTAGTTTGCGCAATCAAATTTCTCATTGACACGATTATACTCATTTTCTGATGGGAATTTATTATTGCGTTGTGCAGGATGGCAGTTAATCAATTGACTCGTCAATTCTGTCGACTTTCGAGTCTGAGGTGAAGCCAAGAATTGCATACGCCACAACTTGGAGCCTCCAAATGCCGAAATGAGGACAGGACGAAAAATCTGCAATGCACATCTCATACACTGGTTTCGAGCACGAGAGAAACACGGGCCCTGTACCAAATGCATCATGGTATCAATTGATTTATTCCCGGGAATGCCGTTGCTCGTTGCGCATCAAAATAGCCTCCGCGACCGCAACTTGGCGCTGCTTCCGAGATCCGCCTTCCGAGCTTGCTCAGGCCTCTGACAGCATCGGACCCGGGACCGCAATCAACACGGAGCACAAACGACGGAAAACAGGGAATTGCACTGATGCCGTTTATGGCTCACTCTTTCATATCCTACATGTCAGAAAGGCTGGCGAAAAGTGGATGGTCGTTTCGGTTTACAGGTGCATCGTACGTTTCCTATTCACACTCACCGCATAGTTTCAATCTATAATTCCATCCTTTGGGCCATCTTGCTTGCCACAACCAACAGCTCAAGTCTTGAGCACAATCGCATTCTCGAAACAGTTCGGATTCCAACCTCATCCTCAAAATATTGTGTCATCTGCCAAACTGGTCTTTTCACCGACAATTGACATTATACCCCAAAACACTATTCACCATGCCGGCCTTGATAGAAACTTGCGTTCCTGCTACAAGCACACAGGAGACTATATCGAGAAAATACGATGTTACACAAAACGGGTTCCTGCCCAGCTCCGCACCTTTGAGGAGGTTAACAGACCCTTATTATGCTCTGTGGGAATTATTGGCAGAGAAGCTTCCCGAGCTTTTGGAAAGAAAATTGCTCCGATATATCGTGGATAGCAGCCAAGTTCTTTCGACAGACAGGCTACAATCGGAAGAAGAGTGGCGACGAGCCTACGTGGTACTGGTTTTCCTGGCACATGGATATATCTGGGGCGGTGATAGGCCTTCCGAGGTATTTTGCACACCCGCGATGAACGCACACAAGTCCAATTACTGACAGTCCATAGGTGCTCCCACCACAAATTACAGTACCGTTGTTGAAGTTGGCTGAGCATTTTGATCTTCCGCCGTGTGCTACCTACGCCGGTCTGGTGCTTTGGAATTTCGAGACCCTCAACAATGACAGCGACTTTAGTGACCCCGACAACCTGCGTGCCATCAATACCTTTACCGGCACCGAGAGCGAATCTTGGTTCTACATGATCTCGGTCGCACTCGAGGCCCAGTCGGCGTGGGTGATGCCGCTCATGGTGGATGCCATTGAAGCCACACACAGCCGCGATTACGCCAAGATGAAAAAGGGCCTGGAGCAAATCATCATCGCCATCAAGAAGATGGATGAGCTCCTGAAGCGCATGTACGAGAAGTGCGACCCGGCCCTCTTCTACGACAAGATTCGCCCGTTCCTGGCAGGCAGTGCAAACATGGAAGCCGCAGGATTGCCCAACGGAGTCTTTTACGACGAGGGTGACGGCAAGGGATCGTGGCGCAAGCTCATGGGCGGAAGCAACGGTCAGAGTTCACTCATCCAATTCTTCGACGTTGTCCTTGGCGTCGAGCACACTGGCGGCGCGGACAAGGCATCCGTGCCCAAGGTCTGTCCCGTGTCCGGTATGGCGACCGAGGAGAGCACATCGGGATGTCCCGTGTCGGCAGGAAAGGAGAAGAACATGGGCTACCACGAAAAGGTACGCGCCTACATGCCGGAGCCACACAGGCGGTTCCTGCGGAGCCTGGCACGGATGGGCAGCCTGCAGGCCTTTGCCTCGACGCCGCAGCCCGACGCCGAGTTCGAGCAGGTCAAGGAGCTGTACCAGCTTGCGTGCAAGACCATGGGCGACTTTCGGTGCACGCACATTCAGGTGGTCACCAAGTACATCATCATCCAAGCGCGGAAGCAGCCCGTCGGTGAGACGCTCAACTTGGCAAAGGCTTCCTCGGCGTCGGACGGATCGGATCTGAAGGGTACTGGCGGTACCTCCCTGGCTGCCTTCCTTAAACAATCACGCGACGAGAGCTACGAAGCCGGGCGCGTGCCTGATCAGCCTGCGCCAGGGGTATCGAGCGAATATGCGGTCATGTAAAATCTTCTTGTCTTTTTTTGCCTTTTGTTCTTGGGATACCATTGCGATTTGTCAGATAGATCTGCCCTTGGCTGCGCATTTCTTACATGAAGCGTGGGTAGAATCGGCGTTCATGGGTTGTGCTTATTGTACATAGTGGTGCATCATATTACACAGGGGGTTGGCTATTGCCGGTTTAGGCGAGACAATGGCTGCCATCCAATCAATACTTTTTGGTACGACATCGATATATGATCGGATCGTTTTACACGTGTACGTCATTTGGGATTGGACTTTGTGCGACTTGAGCTCAATTCACCAATGAATGTGCACCTTGATGACTCCGACGATATCCAGCATGTTGGGTGTGGGGAGGGGAGCGACTTGATTTTTTTTTTTCTTCGTCGCTGAAAATCTCTTGACTCGGGTTCTTGGCCTGGGCGTTGTAGTACTTGGCAGTGAGTGGGCAGTGGGCAGTGGGCACAGACTTGGGACTCAAGGTCGCCATTGGTACAATATTTAGCGTCGAGCATCCGTCTTCCGAAGTTCCGATGCTCGCAGCGGACCTAGAACCCACCCACAATCAATCAGATCAACTACGTACAAACCCGTGTGCGTTGTGTGTAAATGACGCGCACCCCGAGCCCTCGACGGAAGGGATTGTTGACTCTCTTCAGTGCCGCCCAGTCGCTGGAGGTGGCGGAAGACAGTAAAGAAAAAGGCAACAGCCGCCTACGACAGCAGCTGGACCAGAACCAGAAGAACATGGACCAATCTCCGCGCGAGCCACAATATGTGCGGGTGAGGGTTGCCAATGCCTGCGATTCCTGCAAGATCCGAAAAGGTACGTTGAGCGCAAGAGAGAGAGAAGAAAATGAACCATCCATACAGACTGGCAACCAGCCAGCCTTGGGATACTACACACCCAGAGCCAGGGAGGGAGACAGAAATTGTTTGCAGCTCCAACCACCATACATGAGCCCACCCCAATAAGAAAAAAAAAAAGTTCCGAAACGCCAGTCAACGACGGGAAGAAACAAAAAATCGAACCATTGATGCTAACAAATTCACCAGTCAAATGCGACGGGAAATTGCCCTGCAGCTATTGTACCCGGCACAAAAGGGCGCAAACGTGCCATTTTACCCCCCAGAAGCGGCGGCGGTTGAACTCTGTGCCCTCCCCGGCATCCGACCAGGAACACCAGCCGAAACGACTGCAGCAGCAGCAGCAACATCATTCACATCACAATGACAATGATACCACCACAGCGCCGTCCAGTTCCGCACATTCATCCGCTCCGCCTGATGCTGCCGCAGCCAATCCCTATCATCCCGCGTCATCCTCAACGCAGTCCCGCGTCGTCGCTACCATTACTCCCGCGCCCACCACGGTCGGCTCGGCGGGATCAGCCCTACGCGACTCATCCGTCGAGGAGGAAGCAGAAGTGCCCCGAGATGCGCGGCTCTTGTACGACGCACAGGGGAAGCTGAGTAAGCATCCACCACTGCCGCACCAATGATTCCGTTTCCGGTCGAGTATTGTTGACATGCCTTTATTATTATAGTCTTTATTGGTGACTGCGCCCCGCTTTCTTTCTTTCAGACTGTGAGGCAATTGGTCCTTTCTCGGATCGACCCCCATGCCTTTGCACACCACACTGGTCGGGTACCCGTGCTGCAAAACGTGCCACCAAGCCACGCTGTCTCGTCGGGCCGTCAAGAGCCATATGTTGATACTGATACGGTTCATTCTATTGTCAACAAGTATCTTGCCGTGGTAGGTACTCCTGGTCTTTGGTCGGACAGACAGGGAGAAGTCGACTGACTGACACAATTGTATGATCAGACCTCGGGTCTAGTCGACCTATTCGGCAGCGCAAGTCTGGTGGATGACATATCGACCTGGTCGGACCACAAAGGCCATGATGTGCATGCTGCCGTCAATTATCTTGTCTTGGCCATTGGGCTTCAATCCGTCGATGACTCTTTGGCATCAAGCTATTTTGAGCATGCCAAGGTCCTGGCGCTGGCCACTCTCGGAAGTGAGCTGAGCGTCGGAACCGTGCAAGCCTTTACACTCATCACCGTTTACATGCTGAGAGCTTGCCAAATCACTGGGGCCTTCCTATTCTTTGGTAGGTTGCACCTCAAAGTGGCCGGTAGCCTTCTGCTGACTGATTCTTCAGGTATCGCCGTCCGAGCTGTTTATTCCATCGGTGCCCATCGAACAGAGGTTAACTCGAGGTTTGGGCATGACATTCGAAGACACCGGTAATTGCGACCCCATGCAATCATAGAGTGCGCAGAAACTGATTGATATCCGCAGAGATCGGCTATGGAAAAGTGTCAGAATCATCGACTTGTTTCTCAGTATCTCCATGGGACGTCCTCCTGCTACATCGGATGTTGACTGCACGGTACCCTACCGTGAATTGGATAGTGAAGGCCATGAGATCTTTGACCTTTTGGATTCATCTGTTCAGGTGCTGCTAATTATAGAAACCATCGTCTTGGAGGTCTTTTCTCGGAAGAAAATCTCCTTGCAACTGACCGAAGGCATCTCCCGACAACTACGCAAGTGGTCCAACAGGTGGCTTGCTGAGCTCAAACGTATCGTCGGCACGCCTCCTACCCAAGAGGATGAGGCTAAAATCGTTGGCGCTTGCCATGTTTTATGCTCATATTACTATGCTGTCATGCTCGTGTCTCGACCATTTCTGATGTACGAAATGTGTAAGCGATTACCAGAGAGCCCTTCCAAATTCGAGGCTGCCGTCCGTGATAGCGGTAGCTCTGGTCGCTCAAAACTGGCCAATGCATCCATTGACGCAGGTAGTCTGATGATTGAGTCGGTGGCGGATCTGCTTCAGATTGGCGTTCTCGATGGATGCATGCCTTTAATTGTGTGAGTGCACTCATTATTCCATGAACCATACTTTCGCCTGCTAACTGCCGCAGATCATGGCTATTTGCTGCCTCGCTAGTAGTAGGCGTCGGCCTTCTTGGTGACTTTGGCCGCATTCTGGACAAGGATGTGCGCATGTCCATTGCCGCGCTGGAGCATTTTGCCAAACATGATGCACACGCTCTACAGTACTCCTTGATCATCAAGTCTTTACATATTAGCGCAACAGAATACCTCGAACGAAAAGAACGATATGAGAGACTACAGATTTCTGAGAGTTCTTCCCAACTGTTCGGGTTGACACCAAGACAACCGCGCGAGCCATCAAAAGCGACGCCTCGGCCAAGTCAGGACAACAATTTCCACTCTCCAGCTGCAAATCACAACACTGTTGCTTCGAGCGAGGGCGCCGACACTGTCCGCGATCTCAGTTCGACATTCTTTGAGGATCTGGATCCGTCCATCTTTCCATTCATACACTCTTCGTCACATACGCCAGAACTTCCTGTGACCAATAGCATGGGGCAAAACCAAGATCAAGTATTTGGCGCGCTCAACCTATTCCCGTTGCTAGAGGAAGGCGGGCATATTGACTTGGCACACTACATGTGATGGCCGGGTCTGTGGTGAGCACTATGTTTAGGTATCATGTGTGAAATATGCCGCAGGTCACGACCAATACTCTGAAGTCTTAGCTGCATAAGATTTTAGGATAGCCCGGAATCAACCAGGAGTCAAGACAAGACAGCAGTAAACTTTCTGAGGCATAGAAACGACACCATGCGTTCTGCGCCAGCCTCATCATCATTTATCATGACTATGCACATATTTTCAGCCTCCAACTCGAGATGAAGGATCGTTTTGGGAGGATATAGAGGCTGGCTGTGCCCATACAAGCGTCATGGAAGAGTTGGACTGCGAATCAGGCCAAGCCGGGCGCTTGGCTGCAATTATCCTTTATGGAAAAGAGTCACCAGCTCAAATCCTGTGCTCTGGAGTCAGAGGCAGAGACAACCAAATCTACGGATATAGATTGATCCACAAGCAGTTTCAGACTGTTTGGCCTTGATCAATCAAATGTAGATGCCAAATGGATGGCAATGACCGTCCGCTTGACAATTATTCGAAGCGCTTCGAGCTGTAACTCGGCCAATGGTATCAGGCAACCAGGAGTTATGAATCTAGAAGCCCAGCTTATAAACGTTATGAGCCGATCAAAGTAGACTCATGTAGTCTTGCTTTGCGCAAGTTGAACCTTGTAGATTGAAATATCAATGTACCGGCAAATCTAAAGAACTAGATGCGCCATCCTCCAAAATGAATCCTTTCTAGCGCCAGGTATTTCTCTAGCCATTCACCATAACGTGCTTTCTCGTCGCCGAGCTAGCGGCCTCTATCACCGATGACCCCAAGTGCCACCAACAGCTCTCCAAACGCCTCGCACACCCTTTGCGATTTCATAACGTCCATCATACAATGGGTACACGACAACGGCAAAAAAGGCAAAGAATTGCCAAAAGATGGCAACCGCAGTCCAGCTAGAGAAGAACGTCTTTGTGAAGATGTAGTCTCTATACAGTGGCATGGGCCACAGCACAAACGTGACGAGCACGATAAAGACGAAGGCAATCCAAGCGATGCGTTGCCATCGGTGTAGCTCACGCAGTGTTTCCTGGTCAAATGGGTGCTGAATATCGTCTAGACTGACTTGAGTGGACGATGCAGAACCAGCATGTTTCTCAGCAGTACGAGACAAGGGCGCTTCCGTGTTCGAGTTCAGCTTGGCATCTGGAGTGTCTGCCCCGGCCACACCAAGGACCTTTGAAGTGCTCGGGGACCTCGTATCTTCTGCGTTCTTTTCGTCCGTCAGCGAGGGGGTTGACTCGGGTGTTGAGGTGTGGATCTGTGCCTCCTCGGCGAGCTCGATGCGCAAGAACTCGCGCCAGTCAAATTTGTATGGGCCGTACTGCGAGATCAGAACCGAGTATAGAGCAGGTGAAAAGAACGACCCAATGGCGCCATAGAGAGCCGGGAGACTGGCCTCCGTAGTGGTCATGTTGACTACGCCATACAGTGCCTTTGCACTGCCGAGCCATATTCCAAGCCCGGTGAGGAATCCAAGAATCGGAGACACTACTGCTGCAAGTCGCGTCTGGCCAGACCACAAGAGCGTCAATGCCAGTGGGATGATTCCGGGGCAGGCAATGACGGGTCGGAAATAGCCGATCCAGGTCATGTCCGCGCCTCCGTAATTGAGCGCCAGGGCCACGGCCGTGATGAAGATGGCGTGAATAACCACTGCGATATGGCTGACCTTGACAAGGCGCTTGTCCTGGTGAGTCAAAACATGTTAGCTTGTCCGTCTTCTGATCGTGTAGAAGATTCCTTTCAGTGCTCGAGCTCTAGCCCACAGATTTAAAGGTGTTTCCCAGGACAAAGTTTGGGACCGGGAAACCAATTATACACAACATATTTATCAAGGAGGGTGCAAAAAAAGGAAAGAAAAGCACTGCAGGTTTAGTACTTACAGAAGCCTTGGGATTCCAATAAGTCTTGTAAATGTCAAAGGAAAGAATGCTGCTGACTGCAATCATGGACGAGGACACAGTACTGGTCAGTGCCATGAACAACAAAACAAAAAACGCCACGATGCCCTTGTCGCCGATGAGAGCCTTGACCGTGTATGGCATGACGAAGCCGGCATTGACCTGCGCCGAGGTGAACTCTCCGGGATACGTCGGGAAGATCGGCGTGTTGTGAATTGCTCGCGCTGTCAACCCAATCACCGTGCCCAGTCCCCATGGAATACCGAAAATCGCCACGGCTGCAATGTTATAGCCTGGGACGGTGGCGTTGACTTCGGTCGCAAACGACTTTTGCCAGAATGCCGTATCCTGAATACTCTCGTCAGCGAGTCTTTGGGTGTATCAAGCGTCCAGGGATTCTCACCATCACGACAAGAGCCAGGTTGCCAAACTTGAGAATCAGACCCCAGATGATGGCATCGCGCGACTTCATTGTCAGAAGCGAACCCTGGTAGTTGCCAGAGATGTAGTTTTCCGACGCCTGTCTGCATGTTAGTGTCTTGTTCGTCTTATCGCTGCATCATGTTCCCGACTCACCGTCGCCATGACCTTGTCGTATAATCCGTACAGTCCACCCACTGCATCATGTGTCAAGATGCTGAGGGTAAAGTATATGATGAGAACCAAGGCCACGAGGGTGTGAAGGTAGTCGGTCAGGAATGTTGCCTTGAGACCACCAACGGCAGTGTACAGGACCACTGCAATGAGTTGTCAGTCACGACATCTGCATGAGTCTGGGAATGGCACGTACCACCGAGGGGAATGAGGATAGTCGCCGCTACAAAGTGCATCCCAGAGACACCATAGATGAGCTGGGAACCAGTCAAGATCATGGATGCACATCCAAAAACATTATTCACCAGATTGAGCACGATGAAGACAATGTGCCCGACCTTGATTGTAAGTATGAGTTAGCAAAGCTTGCCAGCTTGATCAATATTGTTGCTTCGTACCTTGCCGTAACGCATTCGTATAATCTCCAAAGATGTGTGCGCATATGGCACTCTGATCTTGGCCAACACGCCCAAAGCTGCCATAAGTGCAATCTGAAAGCAGAGCCCAGATCCCCACCACTGATAAAAGGTCAGTCCCAGAGATCTTTGAATTTCTCCGTGAGAGTCTTCTTACCAGTGGTACAGCCAGACCATAGCGGTAACACATGGCGGCCGAAAAGACCGTCTCATTGATCCACATCCACGACGAAAAGACGGCCGAGGCCGTGAGCCCGGCGCCGACCGACCGGTTGGCGACCATGAACATTTCCGATGTGCCAGAGTCCTCGGACAAGTAGGCCTTTTGTATCTTGATGGCGACGAGAATGACGGCGCAAAAGAGCACGCCCAGGCCAATGAGCAGCCCATAGGCCGTGCCCTGAGGGACGAGCTCCAGTCCGGATACGCTGACCATGGTGGTGAGCTGGTCTTGCAAAATGGTGGCTTGGTTTTAGAGAGCTAAGCTTTCACCAAGATTCACCACGGACTGGGCATTGCAAATTCTTTATTGAAATAATCGATTGCGGGATCATAATCCAACGGGTACCCTCACGAAGAACCCCCCTGCCGGGTCCCCGGTACACTCCTCCCGACAACCCCCCATGTCCACGGCGGGTGCGAAGTCGGGATCAAGTGCGATAAGCCAGTACAGTTGACGAATAAAGAGTCACGTCACGCCGTATAGGACCCGTATTGCGCAAGGTCAGCCATCGAGTATAACTGCGGTAGACTGGGCCCCCGGCCGGGGGGGACGGTCTGCTTGGTCCGGCTTCTGGGATGGGGGTCAATGGCGTGCTATAGCTTTGATATGGCGAAGCTTTTACGGTGGGGCAGAGTATCGCAACCCAATCATGAGCACATGTATAGGTCAGTTTTCTTGCATACGAGTATTGTGTGTTCCGAAAGAAGCGATGGGGCTGCAGGTCTGGGAATGACGTGGGTTTAACCTGCGGGTCGTTTGATTGATATATTGTTCCAATGTTGCGCTCAGAGTTCTGCTGCTTTGAAATCGGTCGGCTATACTGCTGTTCAGCGCGAGTATTTTCTCTTCCAATTATATTGACTAAGGGCTGCCTAATCGATATAAACTCGCAATGGCAGAAAATGCGGCAAAAAGCAACGGTGACGGTGCTCCCGTCAAGAAGCAAATGATTCTGAATGCCTTTGTCATGAATGCACCTGGTCACTTGGCACCAGGGCAATGGCGACACCCACAGAACAAGACCAGTCAATACAAAAAGCTCTCCTTCTGGGTAGAGCTTGCGCAGCTTCTCGACAAGGCCAACTTTCACGCCATGTTTATCGCCGACACGCTGGGCCCGTACGATGTGTACAAGGGCCCTGCCAATGTCGTCCCGTCGCTGGCGTCGGGGGCGCAGTTTCCGGTCAATGACCCTCTGTACCTTGTGCCGGCCATGGCCGCAGCCACCAAGAACCTCGTGTTTGGCGTCACGGCGAGTCTTACGTATGAGAAGCCGTACGCGTTGGCGCGAAGGCTATCTACCGTGGATCATCTCAGCGACGGGCGCCTGGCATGGAACATTGTCACGTCGTACCTGGACAGCGCGGCGCGCAATCATGGGCTAAAGGAGCAGATTCCCCACGATGAGCGATATGCCATTGCCCACGAGTACATGGAAGTCTTGTACAAGCTGTGGGAAGGTAGTTTTAGAGATGACGCCGTCATTGAGGACAGAGAGCGGGGTGTCTACATTGCCGAATACGCCGTACGGCAGATACACCACAAGGGAAAATACTTTGATGTTCCAGGTCCGCACTTTTGTGAGCCTTCGCCACAGCGGACTCCATTCCTCTTCCAGGCAGGCGTGTCGGAAGCAGGCAACAACTTTGGCGGCAAGCATGGCGAAGCTATCTTTATCGGCGGCCAGACATACGAGACCGTACAAAAGACGGTCGCGAGCATCCGGGACGTGGCCAAGCGAGAAGACCGCGATCCCAACCACATCAAGGTGGTCCTGGGGATCCAGGTCATTGTGGCCGCGACAGACGAGGAGGCCTATGCAAAGCGCGATGAGCACCTCCAGTACGCCGACCGCGAGGGCGCCCTGGCGCTGTTTGGCGGGTGGACCGGCGTCGACCTATCGGGCTACTCGGACGACGAGGACTTTCGCGTAATCGACTCGCCGCGGATCCAGTCCATTGTGCGTCGCTGGGCCGCGACGGTCCCGGGTACGGACAATCTGCCTTGGACCAAGCAGCGCATTGTCGAGTACCTCAGCGTCGGCGGCTTGCAGGCCAAGGTCATTGGTAGTCCCCAGACGGTAGCGGATGAGCTCGAGAAGTGGATCGAGTTCTCCGATGTGGACGGCTTCAACCTCGCACATATTACCAATCCTGGAACCTTTGAAGACATTATTGAGTTTCTGATTCCCGAGCTACAGCGCCGCGGTGTCTTTAGGACAAGTGTGGAAAAGGAGGGCGCGACTGCGAGAGAGGCCTACATTGGAACAAAGAGGTTGCCGGAAGATCATCCGGGGAGTCAGTTCAAGTGGCGAGCTGGTGAAAAAATTCCCAAGTATCAAGAGCAAGGACAGGCGGAAACGGAGGTTGATGCCTCGCATTAGAGTCCATTTTCAATTTCAAAAGACATGTACTTGAACTGTTGCACGGAAGAATGAGTAGTTGATATGATGCTTCCCATTGAAACGTAGTTAGCTCAACGTGTAAGGTTTGGAAATGTCCAACAACCTTGAACACGAAATCAATAATGATTGATCGCGCTTGGTACACATGCTGTCATCAATTCTACACGATCGTCGTTGTGCCGCCTGATCCCGACTACGAAACTAAAGATGAGCTTTTTACGTCACATTGGGCTCTCGCTATTATGTCCAAGTACAAGTTCGAGCGAGTCTCAGAGCTAGGTCTCTTCGAGGCATCGAGTTGATGTTGATCAGAAAGAAGACAAAGAAGCAAGCACGGGCTTCTCCGGGCCTGAGACTCGAATGCATTGTCCAAGACCGGCTTCTGGTTTGTTGGATCATGTTCCTTGTCTCTTGGTCCAAGAAATCGACCTCGACATCAGTGTCCACCCTGGCTGGTGAGCAAACTTGCCGCGTCAGGCCCAACACATTCCCTTGCATCGATCAAGTGCATGTTACCCTTGCCAATATTCACAGTGTGCTAAGCACGAGCTTGTCCGAGCCACCGTCCCGGCAATCCAGTTCAGACGCCCGGGCCGACTTCCAGATTCCGGGCATGGAAACATGGAGAAAAAGCAATACTGAGCCATGTTTGCTTTCTTGATTTTTCTACAGCTTGTTCATCTAGGGGCCTGGGCTGGCCGAGGCTGCAACTAAAGGATATGCCGGTACATTTCAAGAACAAAAGTTTGCTGTTTTGTAATCATATCAATTTATACCAGTGCTGGAATTCATGTTGCATTTTCTGTTTAATCTATTAGGTAAATGATCAAGTAAGACTATGGAAGCCAGCAATTATCTACAACGAATTATGGAGTCCTGGGAGGGGAGTTGAGATAGTGTCGCAACACATCATGCACAACTTCATAGAGCTTAACCCTGCGAGAGAGGACGCTGTCCGTTCTCTCGTTGGACAAGTCCTCTTCATATTTCTCCGCCACATTATCCGAGATGAGGTGCAAGTAACCAAAGCGAATCCCATTACGCTTTGCCGCCAAAGCCATCATGCCAATCTCGGGGTCGACAAAGTCCGCGTCGCTCGGCAGAGAAGCCAGCCAGTCCTTGGTCTCGTGCAGGACGCTGCTCAGGGTCAAGTGCGTGCCGACAATGGTGGCGGCCTGCCCTGCCGCCGCGACAGACTCGGCGAGCATATTGTCCCACTCGACGATCCGTCCGTGTACGTACGAGCGACTCCCCGTGGCCAGCCAGCTGTTGGGCCGGACGCCCTTTTTGATACCACCCAGTTTTCCCTGGTAAATCACCTCGCGAGCGCCACGTTGCGAGGCGAGGTAATGAACTACTTCGCCGCCGAGGTCTCCCCAGTAACAGAAACGGCATCCGAGAAACGCCACCTGACGCTGGCCAAACGATTGGATTGCCCAGTCGAATGCGCCGGACGACGTCCACGTGAGGGGCCCAGTCAAGCGCTCCATGCGGTCGATATGACCGAGCACTACAGTGTCGATATTCTTGGGAAAGTCTCGAAGATTGGTCGAATGCAGTGCGTGGCGGATCTCTGGAATTGTAGACCGCTGATAGAATACTTTGGACGGTGGAGTAAGGACATCTCCAAGTCGCTGGCGAATGCCCAGATATGTCGAGATAAGCTCGGCATAGTGTTCAATGTGATCCTGTCCCGGGAAGCACTCAATGTAGAGGTGATTGTCAATGACCTGGGCCGCGGGCCGCTGCCAGTTGAAGGGTTTGCCCTTTTTCTCGCCATCAAAGATGATTGACGGAGGTGATCGATTGTAAAGTCCAATCACTGTGATTCCGTCATAGACTCTTTCGAGGATTGCTTGGTGGACTTTGATCTCGAGATACCTGGGCAAAGAGTTGCCCATGGTATGATTGTCTACACGGGCTACGCAGCGAGGAGAAGACATGTTGTTGATTGTTTGTGGATACTGGGTTTGTCGAGTTCCTTCATCTTGACTTTCAAGTGGAAGTCGCAGCTTTTTATCCTCATCATCGTCATAACACGACGGACTATTCAGTTTCTCGTTGTACAACCCAGTATTGTCGCCAGTCTCGATACATGAGGTGTTGTGCCTTTGTTGTCGGGGCTCGTAATCCATGTTGTGTTTTTTCTGCTTAACAATGCATTGAAGGCTTTCAAACAATACCATTATTCTGAGGAACAAAGAAATGTGTTCGTAGTTTAAGAAAAAGTTATCATTCGAGGCTGAGATTCCAGTGCGATAGCAAACAAATTTTGGTCATCTTTGAAGCATGGTACTTTCGTCAGCACTAGAGTTATTCATCGCGGAAAGAGCGAATGGTCCATTCACTTGGGGAACTAATCAATGTGGTCTATACAATGAATCACTTTGATCGACATTTCATAGAGCTACAACTTGGCAGGAGAGGGAAACAACAATGCAACCGACTTTCTGCTTCCCGAGCGCGGTTAACCGAATGGTCTCGGATAGGTCAAGTCGTCACTCAAAGGCGACGCCATGAGCAAGCACAGGGATTTGAAGCCGCGTTACCAACGAGTTGCTGACATTCAGAAGCAATATACGTTTTGAAATGGATCGTTGGCATGGCTGATAGCCTCATCACTCAGATCCGTCCCGCCAGTCTGACCTCAGCAGGTGGACCAATCGGGGCTGTGTCCGTTAATCCGGTAACAGAGGACCAACTGGACGGAACTTTTGGCAGTAACATCTCCCAAATGTGATTCCAACCAATTTTGTCACGTCAATCTATTGTGGATAAGACTGAACAATGGCTTGTAAAAAGAGGAGTCTTTTGTGATTCACAACGAATTGTGAACAAACAATGCCTTGGTACACTAATACACTAGTCTTCGTTGTGGCTATTCCGCTACCTATTAAGACAGATCTGCATAACAGAAGGTCTAGAGCATACGGGTATATAAGGAATGACTTGAACAACTCCGAGTTTCTGGATTATCCCATACTATATCTCAGATTATTAATGATCAAACAACACTTCTGACAAAGTTCCAGCACAAAGACATACAGAATGCATACCATGATTCAACTCAATGGAGACGCAGTCTCCTATATCCGAACAATATGGCTCTTCACCTACAGCGACATGAAGACCATCATCTTTCCCCAAAGCATACTCGGAACCATCTTGGCATCTGCGGCATGTCTCTTTCAAGAGAGCGTAGTAGCTCATGACGCTTGGGATCTCTTCCTCTACCGCTACCCCCTCGCTCTATTCTGGACGTGGTCCTTCCTGATCCCCTTCAACATCTTCAACCAGTCGAGCGAAGACGCCATTGTCGAGGACCGCATTAACAAGCCCTGGCGCCCTCTGCCGGCGGGCCGACTCGACAGGCGCCGAGCGAGGATCATGATGCTGGTGCACTATTTCATCGCCATCGGCATCAGCACCATGATTGGTGGGCTTCGCCAGGGTCTCCTCACCATTGCTCTCGGCATCTGGTACAATGCCCTCGGTGGTGCCGACGACGGTTTCATTGTGCGCAACTTTATCAATGCCGCCGGGTACCTCTCGTTTGGGTCTGGGGCCATGGAGGTTGCGCTGGGCGAGCCGCTCGCCTTGAATAGGGCCTTGCTCACGTGGATGGCCATTCTGGCCGCCGTCATCTTTTCCACGGTTCAGCTGCAGGATATCTTTGATGTTGAAGGCGATGCCTCCCGCGGCCGAAGGACCATGCCGCTCGTGATTGGAGACGCGGCGACGAGATGGTGCTCTGCGCTCATGGTCCTCATCTCTTGTGTAATGTGCCCTGCTTACTGGTCGTTGGACTGGTCTGGGTTCGTTCTCCCCGTCTTCCTGGGAGTCACCATTGCTGTCAGAACATTGACGTACCGTGACCCGGGATCGGACAAGAGGACCTTTTTGATGTGGAATGGGTGGTTGGTATTGATTTACACTCTGCCTTTGGTGAGGTACCACGCCACTGGGTGCTTGGTTGAACATGGTCACGGACTGTGAGGAAAACTGGTCTTAATTTGGTAAAGTATTTTGGTGTTAGGAAAAACATGCTGATTAATTAGCGGGATCCTCTGCATGTGAGAGATACAGAATACCAGGAAAGATAGAGGGAGTAGACCAGATATTTAGAATGAATCCATATCAGTGTAGACACCTAATCTTAGAAATTCTGCCATCAAGATGTAATCATGCTGTGATCCGCGCAATAATCTCTATTGCTGGCACTCTGATCGTGGTAAAAATCATCGTTATGGGTAATGTCAACCCAATGCACATGGAAAAACACAATTCGATTGTCCAAAAGCGTTTGTGACAAGGAGATTCTCATCAAGACAAAGCGTGCGACCTCAGAACTTTGTTTCATTGTATCATGGAAGCTAAAGCAATGACTACCCAGTGTGTTTCTGCCTTTTCGTTTTTGAGCGGCGTCCAGTGCGTATTGAAAACCTCGTCACCTCGGAACTTTGCGCTGCGTCGTGTTTGCAGCCGCAGCTCCACACTAATTGGGCTACCGGCACGAATCGCGCTGCGGACTCTACTTCGGTAGTCTGTCTCCTTGCTGATCATGTTTTGTTTAAAGAATCGGAAAACGTCCTGTCCAGCGACCAAGCCCGTGTTATTGACCGGGTTCAAGGCCTCCACAACGCCCTCAGAATAGTAGGCTATCATAAAAGTATTGGCCTGGACCACAATGTATTTGGAGTAAGCCGTGTAAAACTCCTTCATTTGTACATCGAGATTTTGGCCTTCCATGCGGTTTAGAACATCTTGTTCCATACCCGGGGGACCGGCTGATACTTTGGCTTGATCAACTCGGACGCCAAGTGCTTTGAGGAATGCCTTTCGCGTAGAAGCCGGCGACTTGTGGTTATGTGGCGACTGGATGGACGAGGTTTCAGGGTCATCCATATCACCCGGAGTGGGCGACGATAAGACCCTCATGATGTCGGCATTGTTGTGTATAGTTGTCGAGCAATTGACTTGTCCGCCGATGTAGAACGAGAGCTTCCCGTTTGCGTCATACAATGGTGCTGCATTGTAATTAGTCGAAAAGCGAGCATAATTAGTAAGTAATGACCCTTACCAACATATAGCAAATTCCAGAATGGATCGCCATTTTTCTTGTAGTTTAATATCAACTCTACCGATTCACGACGATCTGCGATACCTTGCTTGAGCCGCTCGATTGGTGTTCGATCTGTCTGAAGACCCTGAAGGAATCTGCAGTTTCGGGGAATGATTTCAGGCCGACTGTAGCCAGTCACTTTGACAAATCCATCAGAAGCAAATACTATAGGATTGTCCGCTTTTCTATACGTTGTGTCAGTTGAAGGAAGCCGGAAAGTCCAGAAATGGCGACTTACGAAGGATTTGTGAGACAGAAGCAGTCGCCCAAGCCCGCATAACGGTGTCGATCGCTAGCCAGTGCTTGTGTAGCGCTGAGTGCCAGCTGGTGTCGAATGAATCTCGGATAGACATCTTCAAAGACCAACTCTTCGATTCTGGCCTGCATATCAGCAAAGAGTCCCTCCATTCCTGGAAGCGTCCTTCCGGCCAGAGCTTTGACGTCTCTTTGAATTGATCGGATGAGCTCATGGGGCACATCAAGTTGCCTTGTAGAATCACTTGATATGAAGCCCTTGTGAATGGAGCCCAGGATAGTGCTGAGATGCAACAGTGCCTTTTGGTACTCATCTACCTATAACGGGTCGTCAACACTTTGTTACACAGTCAATGGTAAGCTTGGCGAGCTTCTTACCTTGTTTAGAAACTCTATATTTTCGCTGCATAGTCGCGTTCGACTAAACTTTAAGAGTTGATGAGCAGTCGTAGGATCGCTGAGCACTGTTTTGAAGATTTCGTAGCTGAAAAACTCGGGCAAGGTAGCCGAAGAGCTGGAGCTCATGATGCTGTGCTGTTTAGACAGGTTATCAGTAGGTGAGAAGAATGAATCGTCATGCAATGCTCTCTTGGTCGACGATGACCCGGGCCGTCTTGAAGACGAAGTCGCCACAGTCCCGCGACGAGGGATACTATTGGTGTTTCGAGAGTTCATGGAAAACTGAGTATGGAACAAGCGACCGTCAACATGACCTTGGTCATTATCTGTTGTCATCTCCTTACGCGAGCGTGGCCTGCTGATATCCCTTGTTCCTGGTGGGAATAACACAGTCTCGGCGCCGAATTGAGGCTGTTCAATGATTGAATGAGCTCGTGCTGCCGACTTGTTCTGCGAAGTGTGACTTGCGAGGCTGTTGTGACTGTGCCGTCTAGTGACAACTGAAGAAGGGTTCTGTAGGAAGAATGATGTATCTGGTGCTATGGGCCGGAGGCTATGAGCTGTATCGCTGTCGGATCCGCTGTCCCCAGCCCTCCTGGCTCTCCCTATCGGCGGCGGTGTAGCGGATCGCTCTGTCTGAACAGACGCTTTCCGTGAGCCCTGGGGAAATTCATATCCATTCAGCTCTGCAGCAGCGAGGACACGGCGAGCTGCTTCAATCTCCGAGGCACTAATCTGTAGCTGTCTTTGGCTACTTTGTGAGCCGCGAACAGAAAAGTTGGCACTGCTTCCGGTACTCTCTCCTCTGGCCCTGGAAGATCGTCTCGTAGGGATACTCGTCGCTGTACGACTACTGCTCTTTCCGGGCACGGACGTCGAGTTTTCAGATAAACTTCGTGCATGATCGACACCGCTTCTCAGCATTGGCGGCATGTCTCCAAAACTATGCTCTCCGTCATCGCCCACTGACTGAGCATCCTGACGCAACCCAAAGTTGCTAATGCTGAACTGCTTGGGCTGATTTTTCCCGCCATGCGAGTTGCCAGAGTTGCCTGTGCCGACTCGGCTTTCCTGCTCATGTTGTCTGTGAGGCGCTATGGGGCCTGAGGACCCAGAGCCTGGCAAGATGCTGTCAAAGAAGTCATCGGTAGACTCCTGGTCGAAAGCGAGGCTGTCTTCATCGCTTTGGCTCGACGAAGGTCGGCTGAGATTGTTCTTGTAAAATTCTTCAAAAGCCTGGGTGCTCAGGATGGTGGAAGCCCTTGAGGTCATCAAGTCATTGGGTACCGCCATATCGGATCGAGCCTCTCTGCAGGACAGGGGCCCCAATGAAACTCTGTGAGTTGTATCGATTGGAGAAGTGAAAAAAGAAAATTTGCTTCCATTTTCTGGCAAACTGGCACAGAAGATACTACCGGGTAGCTGGTGACGCGTACCCCATACGGGCAATCTATTCCGCAATTAGTGCCTTGTTTATGCTCAGGCCTGGCCATGATCAGACTGGACCACCGTGGATGATGGGTCAGGGGGTGGATTTTGAGTGATAACGTTGGAAGTGTAGCAGGTGTATCCCCGTCTCTAGGCAATTGAATCCCTTGATTACAGATGAGAATTGGTTGGTTGTGCCTGTAAGTTGTCTTGATTGCGGGGACCAGGTTCACTGAACAAGGGGCTGTAGCGGATCAAAGCGTCGCACCATGGCCGAGCGCACGGCTTGGGCACCAGGTCCAGGCACAAACATTGGGCTTTTAGTACTCTCGAGATCAGATCAAGGGCACCACCCATCCCATGTACATCAGGGCAAAGGGGAATTGGAACTCCATGTCTGAATCCGATGAGATGGCCCGGATACCACCCCGGATGTCCAATTTAGTCTGATGAGCCACCGTTTGTGGGTTCTTTCTGCCAGCTAGCACGCGACAAACAAGCATTGCCAGACTAGAGCGCCATTCGATTTCGAGAGAGATTAGGTGTGCAGGTAGGATTCGGGTCGAGAATACATCGGCTTTCGGAAGCAAGGTTGCTGGACAGGACAATCTGGTGATTGAAAATCGACACAAGCACCTTTGGAGTTGATCATGGAATGCGACGACACTGGATTTGAAGGCCAATGGCTAATGTAGTGTGGCCGAGTTGCGGCTATCGATCTAATTTAGCGGCACTGGATCCGGGCATCTCAAAATGTTAGCGCTCATGCCTAATGCACATGTTAGTGTAGAATGCAGCCGTGGAGCCGCGGGTCTCAGCGCGTACCTACATTCTTTTAACCAGAGGTGCATTCTATTTGCAGAACGTTGAAGCTAGAAACGATATGGAACATTGAACTCGACGAGTGGCCTCCTTTCCTTCCTTTCTGTCTCTATTCAGTCATACCCGACTTGGCACTGAGATGGCATCAGTATCTAGTTGCAGCTTGAGGTCCATGACTAACCGCAAGCCCGGAAGAGCAGCCGCGGCTCCAGCAAGGGTTCTCGCGTACGAGAGCCTTGACTAGGAGCCTAGCAAGCTAGGGGATCATCGCTTCAAGTGCTGCCGTCAATACCTATTCTCACAACCAAATTGTAAAAAGTCTATCACGCGACTTCCATTGTGAATATCTAGCAATTGTAGGACACCTTTATAAGGTTCATGGCCGAGTGCTCATTCATTTCCGAGAACCGAGGACGCTCTTTTCGCCCATTTCAAAACCTCCTCATTGGAGCAGATTTTGTTTTCCATAGGTCAGAGTAGTACCTACCTACCTAGTACCTGGTACCTAGTAGTCATGACATTTCACGAGCATCATGTCCGCGCAGCCTCCAGCAACAACAATACCAACAGCAACCCATTTCAGGTACCGAATTCACAAAGAGCCGTGCGACAATATTTACTCTCTTGTCGTTTCATTCATGGCCCTTCATTCAACACCAGCGCCTGAGATTTTTCGAACTGCTGACCTTGATCCCGTCTCTTGAGCAAATGGACCCTGCACATGCTTGCCTGCGCCAACTGGGTGCTGATTTGCCCACGTCCTCTCGCTGCCCTGATAGAAGATGCAGGAAGGTGGGTGGGTGGGGAACAAGCACTTGAGGGTCTGGCAGTTGGCATTGCTGACAGTGAACACCCAGAGCTACACCCACTTGCTTGTGGCGTACATCAAACCCAAGACCGATCATAATCAGATGCTGCAAATGCACCATCACAGCATGCATTCATCTCCATCAAAAACGCCCCCAAAGTTCATATCTCCTTGACGTGCGCCTTGCACAAAAACTTCACAGCCTGAGGCTCTGGGCTATAGTGCCGGCTCTCCTTTGTTGTATGGCACATGAGCGCCGACATGTTCGGATCCGCGCAGAGTAAGAAGGTCGACGGCGGCTGCTTTTCGGCCATTTTCTCGCGTCTCAAGATCCAAACGCAAACGCCATTATTCTTCTGCTGCGAACGCCCCAAATGACAAGTCAGAGTGCCCTCGAAAGTCTGGAATCGAGACGACCAGCCCCTTGAAAGCTGGCGATGCTCCAGAACCTCCCAGCCGAAATGATGAGGTTGCAAACCATAAGATATCACATCCTCAGCATCGACTGGATAATCTGACTGGGTGCAAGAGGCGTTCCAAAACTTTCACAACAAGGCTCAAGAAATCCTACTGGAAGAGCTTACTCTGTCTAGTGGTGCCCCAACATTGATTCGCGTTTTCTCGAGAAGTCGTCTAGGGTCTGGAGACATCATTTCGGTCTAGCATAGTCAAGTCAACCTCGGCGCTATACCTGGATCTTCGAATAAATGTAAAATACCTAGTATTCTGAAGGCGTTCAGTCAAGTCGAGGTGGGTGATTAACACGACAGAAGGACTATACTGAGGACCAGAGAACGAGAGGGTCTTACAAGTGGTTCCACAAGCATTTTGGAGTTCGAAAACTGAGAAAGCTCAAGCTTGCCATCAACCCTGTGACTTACGGGGCAAGCCGGGCTATCCCATATTTCTTCGAATACGACTGGGCCAAAGACATCAGTGATCGCAAGCTGGTGGCAGAGGGGCTCGCATATTGCTATCGCACTAAAAACAATAAGCTGTATCATAGGGCGATTCTGCAGCCCATATTTTAGAACTGGTTTTCAGCCAACCGGCTGTATCATCTATCCACAAAAGACCACCAAAGCCCGTCTTTAACTTTGTTGCGCAACGTAGGCCAAGATGATGACGCCTGATGCCCAGAGCTTTTTCAAATAGCTCCCTAAGAGCTTGTTCATCTCCTTCCGCGGACTTTGATTAATTTTAGTGGTTTGGATCAGGTTGAAAGGCCAACAGATGCTGTTCGTATTGTCAAATTTCTCGTCCGGCTTGTTCAAACATGTGAGAGTCCAGCCAAAGTATTCATTTCGAGCCGAGATGACTACAGGGCCGTAGCCTCAGGGGCGCCAATCGAATCGCAATGCTATGTGTGGACCAGTGTGGTTACCGGGAACTACCCTGATATCAAGGGACCAACCTAAGGACGGGTGTAAGAGATTGGAACCAACTGGCCTGGTGAAGTCGAGCAGAAGTTTGGATTGACGCTACATAGACAAGCCACTGGAATGTACTAATCTCTTCTCTAAAAAGCACTACCGAGTCTAATGCGAACATCACTAAAGAGGTTCAGTTGGGCGTATTTTTCCATAGTAAGCAGCCAGGTCGCCCATTGGTATTGAACATTCTTCAGTGTCTTTGCGGAACTTACGGTGAACTGTACCCAAAGAAGAAGAAAAGAAAAAGAAACAACCACTGAACAAAATCAAACTCGCCCACAGTGAGCTGTTAAGTAGGTCATGTACGCCGGCGTATCACTTCATACCAAACAACTTCTATTGCGCTTCCATCTTGGGATGAAAAGTGACAGCAGCGGGCTAGAAATTGCTTTTCTATCTCGGAGTCGTTATTGAGGAATAACTGCCACCACCTCTTTATAAGAGAAGGCAATGGCAACTATAGTTTTGATCAAGCTTCTGTGGAGGAATACTTTGCAGAAAAGCATAATGCCTGAATCTGAAGAGAAGCTCGATCTGAACTGGTAAAACTGTCACATCTACGTCGCAAAATGCAGATGATCACTCAAAGCTGGCGGAAGGGTCAATTTGCAGACACAGGGCGAGGGCTGTATCGCTTTTATAACTGCATTGTATGGCAATTCACCCAAAGTTGTAGATTTTTGAGAGGATCAATGGGTTAAAGCGGATGGGAGCCCATACCTCTGCCCTCCAACCGAAATAGAGGTAATTAAGAATTCGATGAAGAGAAAGCTTGGGACTTCGAGACTTCATGGATTATAGAAATCGCGGAGATCGTCGCCGCTTCAATAAATTATCGTATTATGGAAATAAGAATTATCTGGGAGTGTCTTAAGCCTTCTTTTGATCACGAATGCCATTTCTTCTCAGGAATTTGAGACTTTACGAGTATAGGGATACAAAAAGGTGACTTGAAGCTGTCAACGTCGGCCGACGATTAGACTAGCACATTCATAGTAACAGAGAGTCCAATGGAGCTGTGAGCTCGGAGAGAAAGTTGGCAGTCAGAGTATATACGCGCCGTCCTTGGCCAAAGGGATCACGGATGAGCCTATCACTTTACGGCCCTTGGGTGTTGTGTAACCCTCAAGCAAGTCCCGAACTAGATGCCTGCATATTTTGTGTCTAGATGACAAAAACGACTACCGATCATGTATATCTTGTTACTGGCTCTTCACAGTGTGAACTTGCATAAACTACGTTTTGAATGCCCTTTTGTGAAAGCTCTGAGAATACGGATGCTCTATAGGGAGATTAGCGTCCACTATCGAGCGCTATCGTCTACCAGAGCTGTCCACCAAGGTAGCTGAGCCCCACACGGATTTCCAGACCTTTGACACCTGGACGGTCAATCAGCTTTGATGACTAAATGTACGAAAGCAATGTCCTTTTTTCCCTCACTCACTCAGCTTGGAGCGTATCAAAATCAGAATTGAGATATTATCAACTCCTCGAAATCTCAGATTGATCCCGGGCGGAATACTGCTTTAGATCATGGGCCGGACAGAGCCTTCCAAAGGCCTGGCGCCACCGAGCTTCCGTCGTGACGCACGCGCCAAGAAGGCAAAAGCCACTCTGAACAAAGCCATTCCGGCACTGCTATCGAGCCATCCGCGCGCAAAACGTGGTACTGAGGCTTCAGAGCTGATTGTCGAGCCGCCTGCCCGCAAATCTGCGTCAAATGCACCAAGAGGCGGGGAAAGGAATGGCGCCCCGTTGCCACCGAATGATGAACAACCCGGCTTGTTCCTCGAGGTGGCGGATACCCTAGCGGTTGCGAGATCGCTGCTTAGGGATCAGGAGACTGAGAGAGATGACCTGAGTAATAGGGTGTCTCGTGTCGCCATCTTGAACATGGCCTCACCACTATCACCCGGTGGAGGCTTTGTCAATGGAGCAAGCAGTCAGGAGGAGTCACTGGTAAGAATCTGCCATCTTGTTATGTCCGAAGACCGCCAGTGCGACTTTATTCCGGGCGGTTCTCCGATTGAGCGCCATATTAGAAAAATGAGCATGGACATTAGGAAAACGCAAAGAATCAATGTATAAGCCACTAACTTGAGAATCTGTAGTGCATGCGCAGCACGCTTCTACCATCCCTCAAAGATGAATTTTACCGTCTTCCAGAGCTCGGTGCCGTCTTTACTCCCGACGTTCTCGTATTCCGGAACGAATCCGGGGACGATCTGGAGAAACGGGACCGCTGGTTTGTGGATTGCGTCAGTGCCGCTATGCTCCGGATGCCGGAGACGGAGGTCAACGAAGAGTCTGGGCGTGGCAGGTATGTCAATTCCAGCGACAGGGATACCATCTTGCAAAAGATGCGCATCGTCATGAGGGTATTCCAGGCCAAGGGTGCCAGAAAAGTCGTGTAAGTGCATTATCATGCGTCACTCACTATGCTTTGCTGGTCGTGGTAGTGTTAGGTGACATCCGTTTCGCCATGACTCCGTTTCCTGTCGCAGATAACTTGTACACTTCCGTTTTGCCAAAGTTATTCACACAGCTCGTATTGTATTCAAAGTACTCATGCATTTCTCTGATATAGGCTTGGAGCTTGGGGTTGTGGTGCATATGGCAATCCCGTCGGCGAGATAGCAGCAGCCTGGAGCAAGGTACTGCTAGGTGGAAAGAACAAGGCCAAAGCCAAAAAGGAGACCTGGTCAGGTATCGACGAAGTCGTCTTTGCAATCAAGGACCCTGGCCTGGCCGATGGATTTGAGGCAGCGTTCGGTCCAGGCTTGACGCGCAGGGCAGCCGAAGATGCATCGGAAGAGGAGTCCGAGAACGACGATGCTGAAGCGTTCAGGCTTAAAGAGCTTCAGGACAAGATCAGCGAGCTGGAGCAGCGCATGGCGCAGACCGCCAATGCCCAGGTCAAGTCTGGGCTGGGCGGTATATTGGCTGGGCTGAAGAGTCAACTTGGAGGAGTCAACGACAAGGATGCCCCAACGCCAGACCGTGCCAGTGAGGCTAGCAGCGACGAGGCAGCATCAGACCAAGACAGTGATGTGTCATCGCCCCAGCCCGGCGACGAAGAAGAGGCAGAAGATGGCGATCATGATAATAGGCGGTGATGAGTTGGTGCTCGGTGCGATAGCCTCCATGAGACCCAAGTCGCTGTAATTCTCCGATTTCAGTACTACTCGCAAGGATTCTCCAATGGACCAGGCAGAGTAACACAATGTTTGCTCGCTGCAGGTTAATCGATCTGAGGGTACTTCTGCCGGCTGCTTTAATCAAACCACGCAACGGCATGGTCCTCTTACTCTCTCACTGGCCCTCTCACCTTGGATACACCTTCTGCACGAGCGTATTCGCTTCTTTTCCCCCTGCACAAATAGTAGGGGGAGATCGTCATGAAACTAGGAGTGTTCATGCACTCCATAGTCGCGCGTCGAGGCCCGCACACGTCAAGGACTCATCATGACTTCGCAGATTGACTGCTATAGGTCAGTCATCAGAGTCGGTGTGCCAAGACTAGCTACCTGTACCCTTGGCTGGCAGGGGCCAAGTTGTCAATAAATGCGAGGTTCGTTCGGATGGACTACCGAACAATACTACGACGTTGCTCGGTTTTGCTTGAGGTCTGGGCTTGGCTCCGTCTCAACCCCTCCGTCCGCCCAGAAGATACTTTCTCGTCCTCTACATGATCGTTATCTGCCAGACTTGGCAAAAAAGTCGTGTTATCCTTACTTATGCACAATGATAAGCGATCTGAATATTGGCTCGTCTCGATGTTGATCACGAATTAATCTCGGCCGAGTCTCCTGAAAGCTGAACCACGACCTCGGGATCAATAATCTCATTGTGAATGCCTGTGCCGCATGATGTGGTCAGTAGTACTATGTGTCTATGGCACAGCTACCTACCTAGTTAAGGCAAGGAATGGCGCAGACTGTGCCGCACACCATGGCGGTACTTGGCTGATGATCCATGTCGACAAAATTGCCAAAATACAGGTCCAAGCTCGACGGTCGCAAACGATCATTGCATATAACCCTGGTTTTAGCAAATCTCCTTGCCCTCCCTCGGACGTTATGTTGTCGCGTTAGCATTTGCTAAATGCTTACGGAACACATGACCTGGATCATCTGCGAGACGCTGATGGAGAAAACCTGCTGTGCCACCGAATTCCCCGTACCTGGCTCCTTCTTAGTCGTTGGTTCGGAAACATGGCTCGCTTTTTTAAATCATACCATCATGTTATGACAGGTCAGGGGGGTCTGACCACCAAAAGAGAGAGAAAAAAAGGATCGATCTCATGAAAATTGTAGATCCTCAGAAGCACTCTACATACACTAGGCTACGGTAGACCAGAATTAGTTATCCCGTCAGTCTGTTTACCGACAGGGCTGTCAAGGCTGCAGAACCACCCTGTCTTCTGGGAGAGATCTTGGGAGTCCCTATCCACCTCCTGATTCTAATCTCTAAGCGAGGGGGGGATTGTCGCTCAATCCTGGGTCAACCTTTCATATTGGTTTCCATGTACCAAGCTTACCGTAAAAGGCAGACTGTTATCCCCGCCTAGACCCGAAAGACCGACATCTCCGGCAGGGCACAAAGCCAAAGCTTTGAGTGCTCTTTAGCCTTTCAATCTAGCGTACCCGAAGCCCGGAGCTCTCCCCCTGTCCAATTGCTGAAAGCTCTGTGCCATCACCAATCCCGCAAAAAGCAAATGTCTGTTTTACGCCGACAGCCGACAACGACGACGACGACGACTACTATGCAAGACTGACAAGCCGCAACCGGGGCCAGAACGACATGACGCTCCTCCAACATATCCGCATCCCCTCGACCGCGCCCCGGTTCCCGACCTACGCTCTTGCCGTTGAGCTGCAAACGCATCTGCAAAGGCGGCTGCTCGAGCACAAGGCCGCCGCCGCCGCCTCAGCTTCCTCCTCATCGACGACGACGACGACTTCGGTAGCGCCACCGCCGTCTCTCATTTCGTTCACACCACCACCGACGTATACGCTCGGCCGGCGACAATCAGGGCCTCTAGCCCCAGCCGAGGAACAGCGCCTCCGCGCCCCTCTCCGCGTCGGGCCACACTCACAGTATGCCCCCGAGGTGGTGAGCGCGCCGCGCGGCGGCCTCGCGACATACCACGGCCCGGGACAGCTCGTCTTTTGGCCCGTCATTGACCTGCACTCGCCGCACCACCGCCACTTTACCGTGCGCGACTATGCGTGTCTGTTGGAAAAGACGACGATTGCCGCGCTGGCGCGCGTGACGCGGCGGTCAGGTAGCGAGCTCAAGGGCTTCACGACGGATAACCCAGGCGTCTGGGTCCGCCACAGCGCGTCGGGCTTGCTCCGCGATACCGCTGCCGGTGCTGCTCCTCCCACCAGCAACAGTCCATCGGCAATAACAACCGCTGAGGAGCGCAAAATCGCCGCTCTGGGCGTCCACCTCCGACGCCACGTGACGGGTCTCGGCGTCGCCGTCAACATCAACATGCCCGTCCGCGGGCCCGAGGCGTCGAATCCGTGGTCGCGCATCGTGGCGTGCGGGCTTGAGGACAAGGGCGTGACCAACCTGGTGGCTGAGCTCTACGGGGCCGATCACGGCGGCGAGGAGCACTCGTACTCGGCCACTGGCCAAGAGCTGCAGGACGAGCTGCGGCAGGCGTGGGCCGATGAGTTTACCGAGAGGCTCCTTGTCAAGACGGATAGTCTTCGTGACTACCAAGATGAGACGCTAGCCGCAATGATTACGTCTTTCGAAAATCGTGCTCAAGGCTTAGAGTCTGGGAATGGGTTCAACTCGGGGCTTGAAAACTAGCCTTCTCTATTCACACTTCCAATAGCAGTGGGAGAGTCCTAGATCGTCCTCATGAGTCAATCATAATGAATTGATTCGAAACTGGTTAGCTAAAATTATGCCAGCCATGATGGAATTGTAATGATGTACATTGTCCATGCCACTGTGAGATGAAGTAAATAAAATAAAATAAAGGAAATCAATTTACCCTTCTCTTTGGAGATCCGTTCAATTTTGAGTAGTACAAAGTATCTACCAGTCGTTACATCATTTCTCTGAAGCAAGTCCCACTATCAATATTTTTGTTTCCGTGAAAAGGAAAAAAGATGGTCATAAACACCAAAAAAAGAAGAATGCTGATGAGAGTGGGATTCGAACCCACGCCAATTTCTTGACTACGATTTGAATTTCAGTTGACCTGAACGTAGCGCCTTAGACCGCTCGGCCATCTCACCCTGGTGCTTGTGATACTTTGTGGTTGTGGGGGATTATATAAAAGTCTGTATTTGGGTCGCCGACGAGAATAGTGAACAAATATTATTTAGACTGTCCCGCATTGCTCTCCTATTTTTCTGTATCGAGGAACCAGCGACTGAGGGATTAACCAACTTAAAATGCATCATCAATCCGAGTTTGTCAAGGACGTTGGCCCAAAAATCCTGTGAGAAGCCTCAAAGTCGCGTCATGGACCAGCGCCTCGCGATGTCAAAGCCATAACTTTGCCAACAAAATTAATGAAACAGAACCAAACCACCAAAGAACACCAAGCCTCTACCATTCAAGTTTTCATTGCCTTTCAAATGCTTAAGAAGAACTCTTTTTCCGGTTAGCCATTCTACCCGTGGGCGCATCCTCGTCCTGGTCCGGTTTGTATTCCTCAGGCTGGAAGTGGGGATTGTTATAGTGAGCTGTATTGTAGTAGCTTTGTTTGAAGATATTAGTTTGGACCTGAAAAGCAGGATCTGGGGGCTGTGGAGATGCTTCAGCTCCACCAGGGACTGGAAACATGTGCTTGCTGAAGCGCAACGATGTCAGCGACGTTGCATCTTGTGTCTGAGGTTGAGGTGAGGGCTGCGAGGGTACACTATGTGTTGGTGACAACGGCGATTGAGCCACAGCTGGCGATTCCGTGTATTGTGGAATCCATGATGTTTGAGCCGGTGGGCTAAAGGCTGATTCCATTGGGGAAATTGGTGGAGATCCAAGCGGTGGGAACGAAGACGGCGGCGGCCCTCCAACACCAAAGCCAGGTATCATAGACAGCGCCCCCATATTCATAGTTGAAAAGGCCCCAAGAGAAGATACATTGCTCTGAATGTCATGATGGTGGGACAATGACGAGACTCGATTAACTTGCACAGAAGCAGGAGCAGCCGGAGGCGCAGCAGGCTGAGGTGCGAGAACTTGCTCGCGATACAAGATGTCGTAATGATCAGGACGATAAAGAAGATTGATCATGAAACCCAGTTCCGCTGGGTCCTTGCTCTTGGCTTCGTCAGGCCATCGATGCGTATTCACCTCTGTGCCTGGACTCGTATCAAGATATGCAATCTCCAGGACGATATCAGCTGGTTTAAGGAAGACATTGAACAGAAGATCAAGAGCAATCTGATCTATCTCCTTGTTGACAGGCATGATCCACTGGTCGCAGTAAGTAGTTGCGTCTCCTGTAATGAAGGCCTCGTATTGAGGTAGGTTGCCTTTCAACCACGATGCCGCGAGTAGGCGAAGATGGTAAATCATGCCGTCGGAGGCCGGTCCATTCCACATGTCCAGCACAATCGGCATGGCGTCCTGCCCTTGGTCGAGGGCTTTGATTACTTCTTCAAACAATGTTGTCGTCGGCTCGACCATGTCCTCGAATAAGTAAAGATCAAAGCCGCCGGTATGTTGAATAAATTCATTCAGCGACATGATGCGAGCAAACTCGGTTTGCAGGTGGTCAATGTCACCACATTGTACCAGATTCTCGAAGTACGCAAAGCCGATGGCTATTTGCAGTCAGTAACACTACAACCACCACACGTATGACAACCACCAAGATCACCCGTGTACCACCGCTAATAGTGTGTGTCGCCATTCAGATGGCGAGAACCACATGCCCTTGTCATTCGGGATGCGAGACCTGGGCAATGGCCCAGACTCCAGAGGCTGCCACTCGGTAAAACCCCCCGGCGAATCTTGATATGAATGAAATTGCGGGGTAGAGGTAAGATAATATGCAGGAGGATACCAGCATCACAACATAATTGCAACTCACCTCGCCAGCCACAATTACCATCACCCTGGATCTGACGGTAGGTTGTGTACGTCAGGGGCAATGCCTAGGATCATGTCTGATTAGCTTTCGCCCATATGTCTTGTCTCATGATTGGATGCTCTGTGGACTTGTGTGCGTGTGTATTTAGTCTCTTGGGGTGTGCCAATCTATGTTAGTGTGGAGGAGCAATGCTCTGCAGCACGACAGATTCTCGTCGATGAGATCAGCCGCTACGGCAATCCAGCTGTCCAGACAGGGGGTCCACGGCACGGCACAGGGTTCGCTTGCTAGTTTGGACAGTAGTAGTAATCTGCCCAACCAGGTGCGGATCCAAGTGCAAGTTGCTCCGGACGTGGAAAGTAGCAGGTAAGATAGGTAGCGAGCGAGATGGACAGGGGAAGTGCCAGCGGTCGTCGCGTGAGATAGGTTACGGCGGGCAGGGAGGCAGCGGGACGGGATGAGATCAGGCTCTCTCTCTCAACTTACCACAGTTTTGGCAACGTAAACGGGGTTTGCCTTGGCATATTCTTCCGTGATTGCTTGACTCGACTTTTTGTCGCTAACATACGGACCCTAGTGGAAAAGCTTGTGTGAGCTGTCGTGCGTGTGATTTGAATCCGGTGAAGAATTGGCCATGCATGATGCAGAAGAAAAAGAAATGAGACGGCGAGAAAAAGCAAAACCCGATAGGGTAGAAGAGAAGCTCCAATCTCCAACAAGGAGAGTTGCAGCGGGATTTGGGAAGAGCAGGTACAATGTCGAATAAATGAATGATTGAATGAACCCACCTTGAGCTCAGGCTGATAGTCCCGGGCAGCGGCCTCTTGCTGGGCGAGGTCGCTTGGGGCCTCCATCTTGACGTTGTAGGATCCTTGATCGTAAGAAGTCGCGTATCCGGGATGGTGTTGGTGGTTTTGCTCCTGCTTCTGGTGATGGTTATGATGATAAGAGGGAGGATCTGGCGACGACGGCAGTCCGTGGTGTTGAAACCGAAGATGTTGGTGTTGGTGTTGTTGTTGTTGTTGTTGTTGTTGCGGCTGCTGCTGGCTGTGGTTGAGGTTGTGGTGGTCGTAAAGACTAGAGAAGATGGGTGAGGTGAGTGCAGTACTAGCAGCAGCAGTTGTATTCGTACTACCGCTACTACTACTGCTAGTCGCAGCAGCGGCGCCCGATTTCAGGCCTGGACTGCGGTTGTTGGCTCCTCCCCCGCCTACACTACTACCACCACCACTACTGCCGCTGCCGCCGCTGCCCTGGCCCATCGGACTGGGTGCAAACGTGTATTCAGGCAAGTTTGCGTTGCCTACATTGACTCCATATGAAGCTGGTGACTGGTAGAATAGAGGAATTCGGTTTGGATTTGGCTGGAACATGCCTGGGCCTGGGTGGTTTTTTGCCGAATATAGGGCATGAGCGATGGCAAGAAAACACGAGAGAAAGATGCAGAGAGTGAGACAGAGACACAGAGAGAGAGAATGCCCTCTTTTACAATATCCCGTTGCACGCGTTCGAACTTTTCGGTGGGTGCGCGAGGCTACTTGCAGCTTGTTGCCTTGATCCTGTTTTTTTTTTTTTTTCGGGCAGGCTGTCGGCACGATGGAAGAAGGTTTTGGGTGGTGGTTATGTAGGTATGGTTCGCCTAGTACTAGCTGTCGTTTTAGAAAAAAGAACGACTGCCGCCAAGGGGTGAAGCGGAGTTGAAGAAGAGGAAGAATGGGAGGAGAAGAAAGGAAAGAAGGAAAAGAAAGGATTCCAGGATGTGAATGAGAAACCAAATACGAGGGAGTCGTTTATTTGTTAATAATAATTTTTTTTCTTTCCTCTTTTACGGGCGGAATGCAGGCGAATCAATGGTTAGTCCACCCAGGCTCTCACCACCAGTTGAGACGCACGTCTGGTACGTGTAAGAAAGAAAGAAAAAGTAGATACGTACATCTACCTCAACGACTTGGTCCGTTCTCAGGGTAATATAGTAGCAGGTCATGTAGGTAATGTATCGACCTATGAAATGTACCTACATACAGCACCTACATACCATACCTTGCCTGCTTCCATGTTGCCCAGCCATGTTACCTACCGTATGGGCGGCGCTCCATTCCCGTCTCCTGAGAGTAACGGTAACCCGACTGTCCGCATCGACTGACTGACTGACTGATGGGCGGACGGACCACCACAAACCACAATACAACTCAGCCAGCAGAGCACACAAGGGGCCGCGGGCCTGTCTAGGTAGCAAATGGCACAATGCTGGCTTGGTTATGCAGGCCCATTTGCTTGACCTTCCGACTTGCAGTGCATCATTTGACAGTACTCCCATCCAATGGATGGCTGCGTGGCACAGGCGTGGTCTAGCCTACCTATACTACCTACGCCCTAATCAACCATCACAAAATAGCTGTCAGTCAGGTCGGATCAATGAATGGTGAGCTTGGATGCGCGCTACCTACATTTACTTTACAACTACCTACATTCACTCTTCCTATCAAGCACATTTCCGGCCAACGACCTGATGCCATGCTACTACGGAAACACCCAATCATCAAGCCCTGGCACAATTCATTGAAGTCGTCGGGTGCCGCCCCACGATATGCTGTCAGCATCAAGCGGATTCGAGTTGCATGCTTCTCAGGATCATGTTCCCCATGAACCTCTGACCTTGGGCTGCACCCACGAAACTACTAACCTAGGAATTTTCGGTCCCCTGGGCAGCAGCTTCCCACGAAGCCAAGTCTCTTAGGGCTTGTCGCTTGTGATGGCGCCCCTGTTGCGAGATCCAAAGAGTACAAAGTACGTATGCGCCGCAGCCCAGAGATACTTGGGTGCTGTCAGTATAATCGCTAGGCTGGTTTGAGTTAGGGGAGAGCAGGTCCCTGCTGCCACATAGTAGTAGCATGTACTACTATCAAGACGGGGGGTATGTGTTAGTAACAACATGAAAGATGTCCATGACTTGTCCGCCAGTCCCATGGCTGTCGACCATACACAGGTGCATTGGTCAGTCAGTCACTATGCACGTACGCTGCATGTTCCTTCACCAAGTTGCAGTGCAGCAGAGGTATCCGTCCAGTCATACAAGCAGGTATATGGAGTCGGAACCGGCATACTTTTGCTTAATATCTTCTTCACTATTTGCTATATACTCGTGGCATGAATTGCATTGCTACCCTTGAAATCTTGGACCGTTTCATTCCCAAGCGAGCTCGGTGGATGCTCAGGGTCATCCGATGATGATGCTGCTGCTGAGCTGTCTACCTAGGAGACCAAGCTACTACCATATGTAGGCTCGCTCGTTCTAGCCCACCTCGTTTCTCAGAGGGCGCATCACATCAGCAACGTCAATGCTACCCATGTTTGTAATCCAGTACTGCTACAACATAGCACCACAGAGTTACGAATGCCTGCGTGCGCGCGTTCTCTTGGCTACCTTAGAACGGCGGCACAGCGACCGTGCTAGACCTGACTGGCCATGTAGTAATGTCGATATCGTAAGCCCGCTATCGGGCTACTGCATTACCGTGGTCCGTGGTCCGTGGTCCGTGGTCTCTAGCAGCCATAGCATAGCTTGTGTAACGGTCGCACAATCTCACTTGGAAACTGATAGAAACAGATGCCGAGGATGTTTTTTATTTCTATTAAGCTGGCTGCTGGTAGTACTATGTAGTTGGTTGCCCATCCCTGCCACATGTTACCACGACCCAACGACTTACCAACGTAGCTCAATCCCTGCCCACCCCTATGGAGGTGTGCAACAGTATTGACGATCTCAAGGCATTGATACCATCGATATGTATTTTCTTCTAGGTGCCGCGGGCAAGGCTATACCCTCCTCGGGCGACGCCTTCTTCTGTCCTTTTTTTTTTTTTTTTCTTTTTTTTTTCAAACTATTGTTACCCCGAAATGCTATACCCGAACGGGCCCCTCTTTTTTTTTCTCTTCCTTTCTCCTTTCCTTATTATTTTGTACTAGTTGGCATGCGAACCTTGACGCCACTATGGTTGCCGCTTCCCGGGATCAAGAGACCTTATTCTGCGATCTGCAAAAGCGGATTTTTCAGCTATCAAATTCAGCCGACGCCAGCGTGAGGCTCGCAGCTGTCACTCCAGACACATTTTGTGTGTGCTGGATACGAAACGTGTGCGACCAAAGTGATCACTCATACAGAGACAGACTTGTTCTCAGACACAACGGGCTCTAGGAACTCAATGGACATGCCACTAGCGGCTTACGGCTGCTGCTCGACGGCATGATGGCATCCATTCGGAAACCAGATGCGGCACATCAACTATAAACAGTACACAATATGTTGCGTCACCAGTCCCCCCCAGGAACGGCCCAAATTCTTCAGCCTAGTAAGCGCCATCTTGTCGATATCTGGGTCTCGTGTCGGCTTGTCTTGGGACCCAGGATAGCTCGATCGGTTCTCTGCGGCAATGAATTTGCTGATTTCATCTAGACCTGGCTTGCTGGCCCGGGCCCCAGTGTCACAAGTTGCGGCGGCACGCTCGCACACACACACACACACACACACACACACATACAGATTACACACCACACACATATACACGCAGCCTATCCCAGAACCTTGTCCCTGATCGATCACTAGGGGTGAGAGCATCGCACCGCACAACCACAACCTGCCAACCTGCACGCGGCTCGGCTTCACGGCCTACCTATCGGACACTTCGTTCCCACTCCTATTACGGGCAGTGCACGCGGATTCTATCATATTTTTAATTCACATTTCGGGTCTCATGTTGAAGGGGGAAAAAAAAGTCAATTCTCTGCGATCAAATGTACCGGCAATTGAAAACACCCATGACATAAACGACAAAGAAGTCTACCCTGACAGTGGCCCTGGTGCGCAGCTCGGCTCGGTATACTCTTACCTATCGATGGAACCTACATGCCGATGCCTGTTCTATATCCTCTCCAACGACGTCAGCTTCATGCGCTGACTACATACTCCAACAACATACAGGTGCGAGCAATGTCATTGACAAGGTGTGTGATACACACGCCATGGTCGCAACCCATGCCAGACCTGTACAGCCTGATAAATCTTTGTCCCGGGCATGATACATGCTCTGGATCGAGTATGCCGCTTCACGGCGATTGCAGGAAGTGACGGGGCCATGCAATCCATCATCCTACGAAGCAATATCACTGCAGCTTAGGCGGTTATCTTATCGTCGGCGACAACTATAGGAGCAATAATATTGTGGCCCTCTACTCCTCAGCTGCAAGATTTGATTGATACAGGATGTCCCATTGCACAAAAGCCCTGAATCTAGCGCCGACTGAAAGCCACGCGAGTTTCCTAAAGGCTGGGAATCCCAGCAGCATGTCAAGGATGAAAACCGACATGATTGACGTACGTATAGCCGTTGTGGTTTCACGGGAACGCCCCCGCCTTTCTCAGTCAGTCTGCCAAGTCCAACAAAGATATGTATGGCTTTTTCTCAGTGTTGCACAACAGCTTGTGCCATGCCTGAGCTGGAGAATCACACAAAGTGCGCTGCGTGGACTCTTCTTACTCCCTCTACGATGCAACATTGCCTACAAGCCTCTCCATCATTCTCCTTCTCTTCAAATACCTACTTCCAAGCACCCCATGACCGACGGGTGCTATTAGGTGCCTAATCCGCTTCGAATATGATCAGCTTGCATCCTTACAAAGGACGTTTGATTCCATAGTTTTACCGTACCTTGCTGTTGTTTCCGCTTGGCCTTGTCCCCAATCACCCTGGGTCAGGATTTCTAGCCCCTGTTTGCTGGGCTGGACCCCAGGATACAGAGCATCGCGCTGCTGCGCTGGAACAAGCGACCAGGTCCAGGGTGCCGGGCACCGTGACCCCCCTGAAGTTCCGGGGTACTTTCCCAGCCAGCTAGCTTCGGGGATAACTCAGATCGATAATCGCTAAATCACCTACTGGACGTCCTGCAAGTTTGTCCATGAGCCTTCATGACACTCTGAGCCATGTCTCCGCTTCCGAGCGAGCATAGCTTGCATACATGACTAGAAGGATTTCTCCCAGTCCTTGCCTCGAGACCTTCGGGCAGTCGGTCTTCAAGCTCTCCTGGTAGGATCGCCAATCGAGCAGCTTAGCACGTTGCTCACAGGATTTCGGACTTTTACCCTGGACGGATCCATGACGGCATTCCCTTGACGTACGTACTCGGTACCGATTCAGAATTGAGCAAGAAGGCAAGGTAGGGAGCGTGCACACTGCAGGATATGGCCCCCTCCCAGCCCGCGGCGGGGGGGTTTGCTTTTCAATATCTCCGCAGTGCTACCACACCCTCTGTCCAGCTTCTGAATACCATGTTCATCACATCCAGATATCCGGAGCCCTCGTCCTCCATGAGCAATTCCATTAGCTGCATTGACCAATTGGCTCTTGAGCAATCAAGATAAAGCAACACGTCATCCTGCAATATTCTATCGTTCTATATACACCTCAGCATGTGGTGCTTATCCAAGCGCATCCTATGTGCAGCTCCGTTTCTTACGTATAATATTAGACAACACCTTGGCTCGCGGTTTATACGGCGATTATATTGATCCGGCATAGGATATTGTCGTCCTCCATGACGATTGCTTCGTTTTGGCTTGACAAATCAAATACATTCCCATCTCCAAGTATGCACAAGCCGGCGCTATAACGACTCCCTAGGACTATTTAGAATGGGCTGGGGGTCGACCTGGCTTGCCTGGCCACTGAACATAGCCGTACATTATCTACCGCAGCTCCATGGATGGCTGTTTGGGTGACTGCAGCCTTCCCGCAATCCTGCAACATTGCACGGCCTCTCCTGCGCTACGTACCATGCACACAAGCATACTAAATGCGTGCACCGTGCCTGTGGCAGCAAAGCCGTCTTGGACCTCAGCACGACAACACGCATGGTTTGAATATGCTAGGAAAGCACAATGGTGGCCAAAATCAAAGCACACAGGGTATCTCTGATGTCGAGTTGCATCTGCCTGCGCCAAACCATTACAAAGGGACCGGCCAACACTGTGCTCTGGCAGCCCGCAGTGGGAAAGCCGCCCATGGAGAATCTCCGAATATGATTTACAACCCCATTGATGCAGCATATGGAAAACCGCATCAAGGACAGTGCAATCTGCCATATGAAAGCTACACCCTAGCTGCGATTGGCCGAGTCACCACCCCCTTTCGCTCTCAGGTCTTGCATCGTGCTTCTATGGTAAAGACGCTCAGTAGCAAGGCGTAATTAGGTGTACGACGAATCTCGTCCCCCCTCTTTGCCTCGGTTTTGAAAGAATCATCCAGTTTCCTCCCCACATGATCTGTAACAAACTCTCTACGTGGGTACTGACCACCAGCCAGACCAGACGGCTAGTCATGGTCCAAGACTGTAGGACGGCCGGCCCGATGGGCGGGCGGCCGCAGCGTGGCATCGCGATTTCGTCCTACTGCCAAGGCTCCCCACGGCAGTGCGACCATGGGTACACAAATCCGAGCACCAACGGTTTTGTTGCGTCGCTCATGGTGAATCATTTTCTAGCAGCACCCGTCTCACCTCCCACAAACGGACACGAAGCAGACTTGTCACATTGCTGTAGAGACAGACGGACGGCACGGCATGTGATGACGAGGGAAATCGCAAGAAAGGAATGAAGCGTTTCCAAACAGTCAAGTAACGAACAGTACGATAGCTTTGTTACCCCTCCTCGCAGTTCTTGGGATTATAGACTTCAGTCAGAAGCGGTCCCCTTCCCCTGGCGGGCCTCAAGTATATTGTGTTCAAGCATCATCGCAAAGCTTAATAACTGGCCATAGCCGAGACCACCCCTGGGCACACGAGGAAAATGAGGGAAAAAGCAAAATAAATGAGCCTCGCACAAGTGGTGAAAAGAACCTCCTTCCCGCATGAAATTTCTCCATTTTCCCACCTTCATTTTCCCCCAATCGCCGACATGACTAGCATTCTTTTGCAGCTTGTGTGTGTGTGTGTGTGTGTCGGCCGGCCAGTCTCTCTCTTCTTCTTTTCTTTCTCTGTCTCTCCATCTCGTCCCATTTTCTCACGCCCGACACTGCGGGCAATGCATGGATAATGTATGCGGCTCTGCCCAATAGGATGCTCCCGCGCATGCCCTGTACTGCAAATCATTGGACAGGGAATGTTTCATTCGCTTCCGGGCCGCCTCCGGTAGGTAGGTCCGTCTAGGACCAACAAATCCCTTGGTTTTCTTAATTCTGACTCTTGTGAATCCTTTATTCTTTTAAACAATCTGTCAGGCCTGAGAAATGGCTTGCTTCTGCTTGTGAAGGGAAAGGAGGGGGTTATCCCATTCTTTTTGAACATGAGAGAAATGCTTCTATATCCTCACCTGTCTCACAGTATTCGTAACTACATGTTCTACTCAAAAGGGTCGGATCAACTTCCGCTGTAGCCGCCTTTTTTGTGAGCTTGGCACCTGCATTCCGTTTACAGGCAGGCCACGCTGCGCGGCGGACTGGGGGCGGAGGAGGGTCCACTGTCCTGTCGATCTCATTCTGGGGTATGAGACTTTAAAACCTGACTGCAGAAGTGAGAAATTTCCCTGCGGTAATAGAAGGAAATTTTTCCCTTTCTTTCTTTCTTTTGCCTGTCTTGTCTAGACGGTATGATTGCGCCGAGCCAACTGCATCTCACCTGCAGGATCAGAACGCCGCCTACCTATCAAGCAGGTGCTGGGGGAAGGGAAAAGTTGGCAATTAACGACAACCATGTAACAGGTTCCGGACTTTTGTGCTAGGCAAGAGGCACCAGGGGATCAGTCCAGCTTCCTTGCTTTCTTTCTCTTCTTCCTTCTACCCTGAAGGAAAAGGCGGCTGAATTCATGGTGGCCGGGGGGTGGGTTAATTGCGAAAAGCGCGGAATAATTAAACCCGCCGATGGCTGTGTGAGCATAATATGCAGTCTTCTCAGCTCGCCGAAGAGAGAGAAGAAAGAAAAGACAAGAATGGCCATGTCGGCGATGTTTTTTTAGTAGCCAGCCAATCATTGGCCGGGTCACAGGCAGCGGGATAAGGTTATTATATGCATCGACGGAGTCATCATGCAAGATGGTAAATGTTAACTCAATGCTTGGTGAAACGGGTATTCTGGATTGACTCAGGCACCAAGTTATTTCTTTCGACGTTTTGTACCTTGCATAGGTATTCATGAGTCGTGATATGTAGGCTAGGCGAGTAAATAATTATGTCAGCATGAATGTCTGTGACTCGCATGTTCTGGCTCGTACGCCGGTGCCACGAACAAGGCGCCGAAATGGTATATCGAAAATTGGCTGAAAACGGCTCCGATATCCACCTTGTAGGTCGAACGGCGACGCCGCCGTCATATTCTCTCTTCGGCGTGCCGATATTTTGATTTATGCTTCTCGCCGCCCCAACCCCCTCCCCTCAAGTTCGGGACTGCGCATTTTCGAGTCCGGTCGGTAGATTGTGAGTTGATGTTGAATATCGTCACTCCATGTTCGTGAGTCGTATTCCGTTGCCACTGACTGACCATGACAGGACTTCTAGAAGGGCTGGATCAGATCGCATAATTGAGAGGAGGAGGAGGAAGAAGAAGAAGAAGAAGAAGAATGACAATGACGGACTCAGTGGACATTGCTTCAGGGGTTGTCAGATATTCGACGCGCGGGCATCAGGGTCGTGAATCGACCAGAGGGGTTCTAGGAATGGACTCTTCTCTGGTCCCAAGAGTCATTTGACCTTGGCCACCCGCGGCCCAGTCAGTCAAGTTCCTGAGAATGCCTGTGACATGCTCCTTTACTCTTTTGGACGTCCGTCTACCTACAGAAGGCCAATGATCATGGGGGCGGGCACGAGCGGCGATACTTCGCGGTGAAATGTCGGCCATCAGGCATCTGATCTCAACGTTTGATTCTCTCATCGCAGGAGAGCGACGGAAACTCTCGCCCAAGCCACAGTCCATTGCTCACACACCTCCGAGCTCTTACTGGTAAACCTGAGAGGTCCAGCAACTTTGTTGTCGAGGCATCCTTGTGGCTGGTATGGCCGGAGAAAGGGTAGACTACAGGTATGAACTTTGTATAACATTTTGAGGCTCCGACATGCAGTGCGTTCTCTCTCAGCGTGTGCCGAGTACTGGGCTGTGTCCAACATCTGGCCTATCAATCGTGAGATACACTGGCCTTTAGCCTTTCCCTTTGCCGCATGTGTGGACGACCTGGTTGTCCAAAACCGCAGAATAGCGCGAGTCACCAGGTGGAAAACTTAAAGATGGGAGGACGCGTCGGAGAAAGCATTCATAAAATTCGAGCGAAACGGCAACCCTCTGGCCATTAAATAATTATAAATACAGCGGGAACGACGCCTTCTGCCACTCATACTTGACCCAAAAATTATCACCGTTCGAAGTTTCTTCTTTCCATTCTTCTCGCTGAGCCGCGTCTCTTTCGGTGGATTCACCCACTGATATCCAGCCCTTTCACGTATATACTTGTACGCCCCGTCCAGACGCTTGACTTGACGCATACACACAAGGTCCAGTCTCAAGTGACTACCTGTTCATATATCTGACGCAGACCTTATTCGCGATATACAGCGACGGGTCTCCAAGTTACTCATAACCTGTCTCCCTAATGTAGGTTTCCTGATCTCGAATGGTCAACTGATGAAAGGAAGAAGCTGATCGCAAAGAATAGTCTTGGTGGTCGATCTTCAGCTCGACATTCCATCTTCAAATATGGCTGACAATCATACCCAATCTACCATGGCTGCTGTCGGGCAACACTGGCACCCGGCTGCACTCGGAACTCAAAGCCGACCTTGCGGCACCATCGCAGGTGTATCGCTACAGCCGCTCGGCACAACTGGCGAGCAAACCCTTCAAAGCTTCTCCAGATTTAGGCTTTTGACCGCCGAGCTCCGGGTACTTGTCTGGAAGTTTGCTCTCACGAACGAGAGCGATGAGCGCCTGGTCATTTTTGACCGATATGATATGAGGATTATTCCCACTCCTCACCTTATTTCGCCTCTCCTATTTGTCAACTGGGAGACGCGCGTGCTTGCGCTCAAGCACTATAATACAGAGGTGGCCGTCTACCACATGCCTGACACGCAGACTATGATAAACAGTGGCCACGGCGGCTTGGTCATGTCCGATGCTGCGATCCAACATTTTGGAGCCGCAGAAAATGAATATGGGCCCAAGGGATGTATTCGTCTCAGGTTGACGTCGGACACTTTCATGGTAGGTGAAAAGAACACCTACATGGATTGCCGACATGAAATCTTATCCCGCCGCACTTGGGTGGGCGCTCTTCGGGACGGCAACAGTCCACGGATACCCCTTGGCCACGAGATGGCTGTCTCTGCCCGCATCTCGCGGGCTCAACTGAGCCTGGTCCAGCGTGTCATAAAGCTGGATTATGCGGAAACAAAAATGTCTCCTTCGTGCTGCCACCGACATCGGCAGATGTTTTTCAACTATTTTTGTGGTCTACAAGTAGACGTACTTTTCGTGCATGCCGAGGCTTGCTATCTCTTTTTCGATGCTGGAGAGGCATGGCATACTCTTTCCAAGGTCGTCGGCAATTTATTCGACCATTTGTCGAGATATTCGTTCAAGAATATACTGACTATTTACGGTCAAGACATGGTGAGTGCATACTGGAAAGAGCATAGGAAGTTTTTGGTTTGCTAATATATCATTGTCTAGTGCGTCGAGGACAACATCGACAAGACGCGCGACACCTGGATGCAGCCGCCGGTGCAAACAATAATTCCAGCGCATAGCGAATCCAGACCTTTGCATCTTTCCAGGCTCCATTGGGAACAATATCCCGCCTCGTTTTGCCCAGGTCGGTTCTCGGAGAAGGACTATATCCGGCAACAGGTCAGCAAAGCCGACGATTCATTGTTTGGCAAAGGCGCGGCCGAGGATGAGTTTAGACAAAAGATTGCCCAGACGCGCCCGGATTCGTTTTTCCAGTTTCCATCATTCGTGTCGTACATGGAGACCAACAACATTCCTGCCCATGCCGCTACAACGGGGGCTAGAATGGCTGCATATCTGCAGGAGGTAATGGACCGCACTGTAGACCAACAACTCCTCTTGCAAAGTCGACTGGATTCTGACTCCGAAGATGACAATGACTTGGATTCCGAGGATGATGATGATTTGGATTCCGATGATGATGATGATGTTGATATGGATTCCGGGGATGATGATGATCTTGCGCGCCCTCGTGAGTCTGGTCGAGGGGCGATACAAACCTAGGAGCCCACAAAAGAGTCCAATCTCACTTCAGTGAGATAGAAAAGAGATATTTTCAAGGAATCAATACTTTATTGAAACAGATCAGGTCATTGTACCGGGAGGGAACACAGGTATAGCACAGGTGATCGTGCATACCAGTATATCGTATTATTGATAGTCGGCATGGTGTTTAGTCCTTTGAGGGGACTACTATTTTGAACGCAATAAAACTTGTTCACCCATTTTTACCGTCAATATAGCCTCGTGAATCAATCTCAAAGATCGTATGCTAGCTCCCCTGAAAAGCCAAATGGTACGCTGATGTTTGAATTGATACGATCTCATTCCTATGCGATCCTGCGTGCCTATAGATAAGCCAAGTTCATTCTATTTTTCGTTTACTCTTTGTTCGTGACCATTTGAGGGGGTCGTGGGCCAGATCGACGTGAGCTCATTTCGCCGCCTCCGCAGGATGGCCGTCATAGACCGAACGTCCGGGCTAGGTACTTGAGGCTCAACTCTAACTGGGCAAGGTGAAGTTGAAATAAGGCCCCTTGCAGTAGGCTGAGAGTTATCAGTAAGAGGTTCAACGGAGCATGCAGAAGTCCTTCGTCGACAGAGTCAAGGTTGCTGCCGTATGCTTCGTGTTTCAAGGGACCAATCTCACGCGAAATCATGCGAGTTAAGGCCATGACTGAGGCATGAATAGTATTGGGCATGGAGCAAGCAACTTATAAATATCGGTATAGATTCAAACAAATCGCAACGCTGTAAACGATTGAAAACAAGCAATGGGAATCATGCAATAAAAAATGTACCTCTTCCGACTCCATCTCCTATACCATGTAACAGCAACCCTCCCGACCGAGCGCCAGAAAAACGCAAATGCCAAAGAATAATCAATAAGCCTCATAACCTCCCGTCTGTTTGCCAGAGAAGGACAGGCGAGACCAGACGCGCCTGCTAAGTCTCGGCTTGGTGTACCGATACATCTTAATATCCGAATCTCGTCGTGGACTCACCCGCGACCAACGGTTGCTTGCCCGGCGGATATCCTGCCAGGCCGTCTTGCTGGCGACGGCGATGCTGAATCTTGACTTCTTTAGCGAAGATACGGGCCGCTCGAGCTCATCCTCGGGGTCGTGGTATAGTTCGGCAGCCTCGATGATTTGAGCTGCCATGCCGGGCGGGAAGCTTTCCAGGGCGGCATGGAGTGCCGTCTGAAAGTTGGGGTCGTCGATGGATGCCCCATGTAGACTGAGTTGTTGCAGGTCAAAGTTGCCCGACTCCATAATGACGCGGATATAGTTTGCCTGCTCGGAAAAGGCGGCATCGTCGTCGTGGTGGTGCGAGGCGGCCGCCTCGCCGAGGCCCATGGACGGGTCGAGCATGCTGTACCGGAACCGACTCCGCCACTTGGTCGACCTGGGAAAGACGGGCCGCCCGTTGCTCTCGCCGCCGTCTTGGTGGAACCCCCCTTCGTGCGCCGCCGCCGAGGCCGCCGCAATGTCTGCCTGCTGCTGCGGTGCGCTCCAGCCCAGCCCCTGGCCGCACCCCGCCGTCACGGCGGATATGGCAAACTGCTGTCCCACAAATGACAACCGTGAGTCCCGCAACGAGTCTCTGGCCGACGCATTGCTGTCGCACGCAGCACTCGCGCGCCGCCGCCGACTCAGCGGCGGTCCATTTCTTGCGGCCGACGATGAGGGAACGAGAGGCTCAATCTTGCCCTCGAGTTTGGCTTCGGTCTCGGCGCGGTGCTGTGCTACCGCGGCCACGGCATCGACGGCATCGTCGAGCACGACGGCAGAATCGCGACGCTTGAACATGTTTTCGAAACGGCCTTTGACGAGCTGGAAGCGACGTCGAAGCCAGGAGGCTCTTTTCATGTCTTTTCAAAGAAAGCAAGAAGAGGGGGGTAGGCTGGGCGGCCCGCGTGCAGGCGCCGCTTCAGGTTATATTAATCTCGACGGGAGGCTCATTTCTTTCTTCTTTCTGCAATATGCTCGTGACAGACACATGTTGGGGCTACCTCCAACCAGATGCTGTGTTCGAGCTGGACCCCCGGGGGAGGGGTGGTGCTCTTGCTTGTCTTCTGCCGGGGACCCAGGGGGAATCTTTCGAATTGCAGTGATCTTGGGGCCCGCTGGCCCGGGTCATAGGGGAAGGGAATGGGAAGGGGATCGACGTTGCGTTACCACTGGAGGACCTTGTGCCGATCCCGCATTGATGTTGTCATCGGGGGATTGCCCGATCCGGAAGTTGCCCTGGCCTTTGGCTGGGCAGAAGAATTGTTTCACGCCGTCGGCCAACACCAAAACAGCTCGATGATGTGCGCATTTCAACAACTGACGTCTTGATCTTGGCGTTTTCGAATTAATGATTTTATTGCGTATCAATGGGCAGTTTGCATCATGCAGAGATTTGATGCTCGTAATCAAAGGTTTGGTGGTTATCGCCAATGATTGATTGACATTTGAACCCAGTTTCTTAACAACACACACACACAAGCACATGGGTTACCTTGGTTGTTTGCCGCAGAGTCATGTATTTGATTCTCATTCGCTCTATTGTAAATTACAGAGGCTTGTTCCCCGCATTCTTTTTTCCAATGCAATGCAATATACCTGAGGAGCTGGAACAGGTGATGCCCATTTTGGGGTGAGCCAAGACTCGCGTTCAGCTCTAGCCTGGCTTCCTAATCGGGAGCTCCAAGCGGCCAAAGATTGACAAGGACGCGTACCGGTCGGACGATGGCCTTCGGTCGCCGCGCTCATGCGGCTCTCGAATCCCTCAATGTCACGGAGAATCATTCTGGAAGCAGATGTAGTTACATTGCGGCATTGATGCTGTCCTTACATAGTACGCATCCAGGATTGCGCGTACCCACAGACTAATATTCTGCATTCGACCACATCTGCCGTGATGGAACCCGGGTAGCATTGATAAGTGACAATGCCTATACTCAATTCTGGTGTTTCATCCCGCGATGCAGTGGCGCAAAAGGTTAATCCTTGGCGATCGAGCCGATTGAAACATTATAACGCCGCAATTCCAGTTGACGCCATTTTACTTGACCAGTCAAGAATTGTCTTGACTAGAACTTGTTTATCGCCAGTTGGTTTTCCACATGCAAGTATCGAGCTCATATTGGTAAGAATAGGTAATGCTTTGTCAGTCTCTCACGCGTCAGAGAACAGACTGTCATGCATATTATTAAAAGATGTGGTATTAAGTATTTCTCGATTCATCGGTCCCAAGACTACACCACAACCCCAATAGGCCCTTTTTGGCACGAAAGCTTGAAGACCGACGCTCATATTCTTTAGGTGCATTACCGCATTAGTCGTAATATTCCGTATTCCCGTTTGTCGTTCCCTATCTGTTCCAATGCTGTGTTCCGACTCTTTCAAAGTGACGTTCATGGCGTAACTCGTAAAGGCCAGCAAGACAAACAATTCCATTAGACATCGAGCTTCTTGCGGTCGCTAGCACCCTTGATAACAGTGCTAAGATCTCCGACGGGGAGGTTGATGGGGAAATCGACGGCTGCAAGAAGCTGAACGAGCAGCAGCCACCATCCGCCAGCGGTCGTGACAAACGAGCAAGCACCTCCAGCCTATGGTTTGGTATCGTGTTAGAGTAGCCCGTTGTATCATTCACGTGCGAGTGTAAACTTACGACTAGTAGCTTTTCTGCCAAGACGGCATTTCCTTGGGCCAACTGCCAGTAAGCACCGGTGATGAAGCCAACACACATGGTAAGGGAGAAGAAGATGACGACAAAGACAATGTTGGTTCGGACGGAGCAAATAAGGAAGAAGAAAGTGACGATTCCGAGTGACAAGATGAAGAATCCTGTAAACAGTCATTAGAATATTTTGTCCAAATTGAGAAAAGCAAACCTTGTGATATATCTTACCGAAGCTCGCATTGAATCCTTGCGTCGCGAGACCGGCGGCAGGTGAAGTGGCATCGGCTGGTGCGTACGGCGCGTAGGCGTTGAACTGTGGTAGAAGAGTACCGCCATAGCTCATCCAGAAAGCACCATAGTTGAGAAAGACTGCACAAGGGTAGGTATTGCCGAGGAAGAATTCGAGGACACCGCCGATGATCATGAGGACACCGCCAAAGAAGAAGAACACGGCACTATTATTTTGCCAATCAGCATCATCAATCATCAATGGGCAAGGGCGTCATCATTCGCTCACCTGTTTGCAGCACCGGCACCACCAGCTCCACGCCAGCCCATGAGATCACAGGACAATGGCCCAAGACACATGAGGAAACCAATGATGGCACTGTATACATGATTAGTCCATCGAATCACTCGACTTTTAGAGACGTTATACGGACATGGGCGTAGGGTTGGCGAATGTCCTGCGCAAATCACCCTTGACCTTGTTCTGAGGTTGCAAGTAAAGCTTCTCAAAAAGCTCTGGGGTGAGCGAGATGCTTCCCGCCGTCTTCATCTTACGCAACGCCTCGTCAGAGCTCATCTCGGTAGGACCGGCCTTTTGGTGTCCGTTGGTGTACTCTTCCATGATGGGCGATTGGAGGTTATCAATAAAAGGGTATATAGGTAGCAAAGAGGAGAGTGATGAATCAAGCCGAGTGATGTTCTTGTAGACAATGGTAGAGCGAATGATTCGAGCAAATGGAAGGCTATATTCGAGCGTCCTCACTTGTCTTTATATCCATTTCCCCGGATCCCCTTTCCCCGCAAAAACCTAGCATTCCCAACCTGGGGGAATCTCCACGAGTCCGCGATGCACCTATCCTTAGTTCTTGGGCTTTGCTCGTACGATTGGTAGTAGTAGCTCAGTTCAAGCATGGACGTACCCTTTCGAACTCGACTGCCGTCATCGCCGGGCCACTAAACGGCTCGAGTTTCTGCCACCGCCTACTTTAGCTCGAGTACCTTTCTTCTTTTCTTTTTTCTTTCTTTTCTGAGCAATGAGCATTGCAGGTCTCAGGTTGACCTTTGACGCTAGGTGGAGTGATATTCTCTTTTCACACTTAACCCCCCGCGCCGTTTCCCCAGACTTCTCCAATCGCCATGTGGGATATAGTCCCCAAACTAGGCTCATATAGGGTCTAGCTTGGGGGGAGAAAACGCACCGGGCTCCTCTTTATTAAGTTGGCCACACGTTCTCTCCCTCGGGCATGCGGAGGACCATCGACGACTTGTCCATGGCCCTAACGCCTGGCTTGCAGCTAACCATTCCCCTTAGCCCTATGATGATTACCACTTCGGGCTTGGTACTAGGAGAATGGGCCTACAAGATCACCACGCTCGTTCGACTACTGCCATCAGGCTCGAGTCATTGGCCGCCTGCAGTTCCGTACGTGCGGAATAGAAAGACTTGGTCATCTAGAAGGGGATCTCATATGGTACTCTTGCATGGGTTCGACGGAGGGGCCAAGTATGATGGGTGTTGAGGTCTTTGCATTACTTTGCACAAAGGGTCTACGGATTGCGAACTTTTGATCTCGTTTTATGTACGGGTCGCTGCCTGGAGTATTTGCTTTGTCGTGATGCTGAAGAACTTGTTCCGTGTTGCCGTTCCTTGGGCTACAAAAATACGTCTTACTGGGAACTACCTCACTACATAACCTACACGTCATACAATTTTCGTTTTTGATCATGGTTCTCTGGAGAAATCCAATCTACGAATTTGTTGAGGCAAATCACACTCCAGCCTGGCGATCCCAGCGTTTCAGCATCTTGGATGATCCAGACATCGTTCAAAAAGTGTTGAGAAGTCCTTCGTATGCTCTGGATGATGCATCGCGTGGTACTAGGGCAGAGATCTAAAGGGACCACAAGTACCCACCCCAGTCAAGTTGATATTCCGTATCTACCGGCATATCATCCCTTTGCCATGCCTCAGGGCTGGATATAGGTCCAGACACCCTACTAGCACATGTCGATCACTTCGGTCCCCCATGGCCCTAGCATATTGACCAATGAGTCGAAGTATTCCTGTACAAGTGTATAACGACGCGTGACCTTGGGGCGGGCTGTCGGTACCATGCATTCTACCGCGGCTGTCATTCCGCACCCGAGGGAAGTTATACTACGCTCCTTTTTGCCACGGAAAATCTATCAGAATCTTGGTCTCTCTTCACAGGAAGGATCATGGACATCAAGAGCATTGCCATTTCTCGTGAGTAACGAGTGGTCTTGCCTGGTCAGGTCCATCCATCCCTACATATAGTCGGCGGAATATTGTAAATGCTCAGATGCCGCTATTGCCAACCTTTCATCTTTGATTATCTGCTGGAACACAATTTGATTACACTGTTCATCGCGACTAGAAATCTATCAATGCAAAGTCGAACATCCGGTAAGCCAATCAGATAGCATCATGACTACCCGCGGCAGTATACTATCATTGTCTCCCATGGCTACCATCGTGCCCACTGGCCAGCTGGGTTGATCCACCATTATGGAATCATTGCCATCAGCAGTGGACCTTTTGAGTATCTAGTAAACAGTAGTTAAAGAAAAAAAGACATAGTTGAGTGGCTGGTCTGGCAATTGCCAATCGTCTCGGTTCTCTTACAATCATCCTAGGCCAAGTACGCGCTTCTCTCACCTGTACACCTGTACCGGGGATACGGAAGAGAGTCCGAGCGCGACAATAGTTGATCAATGGACCCCATGACGTTTCTTTCAAGTAACAATGCTTGTGGTTAGCAGTGTTCTTCCACAGATCCCCCGCCTCTAGTAGGTTTACAAGTCACCAGGTACAATCGTTCTCTGTCCATCTGTCACTAGTCAAGAAGCTTCTTGATGAAGCCCCAAATAAGTCATTATCATCTCCGAGGCCTCAAGTAGCTGGAAAACACCGTAGACTCACACAGAATGCAGGGATTAGCACGTCGGATACAAAGTCATTATCAGCAGTTGAGGTATCTTCCTATTCTATCCATGTGCCCAGGCCAAGTGCAAGTCATAAAGAGCGGACGAAGCCGGAAACACTATTGCCCATGGCAATCGCCATTCGCACTTTTCAATGTGCCTCGCTGTAGTCTATGCGTGTGCTCGTACTTTCTCGGCCGAATTGCGGTCTTGTTGGAGATACACATAAGACTATTGGCACCAAAGGCCTATTCCAACCTCACCGCCCACTACCCTTTCAGGTCTTTGACCTAGGACGCATGACTGACAATCATCAAAACTGAGGAGCTCGCCGTGCTGTTCGTTCGCCTCTTTTCATGCCCATGGAAGGATCCAACATCACATCCATCTTCTTCTTAACAGTTTCGATGGTCTCTGGACCTTGAGACTCGATCTGCTTGAGACCATCTCCCTCAAAAATGGTGTTGTACATGCTCGTAAGTGATGTTGCCCAGTTACCAATGGCTTTTACGCGCTCGGCATCGCCGCCAGACTCAATTTCCAAGGTTCCAGATTGTTGGTTAATCTTGCCGTCAATTTTGCCATCCACAATCAGAAATCCGAGAATGTCTTGTACTTCGATCTCGGGGATCTTCAATTGGCGGGCTATCCAGGCCAGCTTCATGCGTGTGTAAGGTGCAATGAGCTTGACCACGCCCTTGGTGCGCATATTGCGGGTCACTTCATCAATGTTCTCGGCAATAAAGGGATCTCCTAGAATGTCCTGGTTTGACTGAAGCACCTTGGAGTATTGATGCAAGTCGTCTCGTTGATATGCATCGACAAGCTCAGTCATGGCGGCGATCCGCGGATCGTTGCGGTATGGCTTTGTCTCTTGTGAGTCGAAGGGGTTAATATCCGATTTCATAAGCATAGTGGTCAGAAGCAGGTACTTCAGAACCTGTATGCGCTGCAGAGACCCAGCCTCGTCGTAGTTGCGGAATGATTCGAAGAAGTCGCTCTGTGCATCCTCCCAGTTCTCCTCGCTCATGTGCATTTTCCCACCACACTCGCGAATGATGCCCATGATTTTAGGGTGGGGCACAGCGGATCTGACTTTGAGAGCCTTTTGGTACAAAGCCTTGAGCTGCTTATTGTTTCGTGTTTCCGAATACATTTGAATTTCTAAGGCATACACCTCGAGAGAGTATGTACCCTTGTTAGGATCGTCGGTGCCATCTTCTCTTTGGCATGCTTTGTGGAGCTCTCTAAGCTTCTTAGTGACCGTGAGATAGTCCTTTCGATCCAGCAACAGCTTTGCGAGCTTGATGTTTGTCTTTAGCCAGAGTCGCTCGTTATTGGTACTTTGGAAACAATCCAAAGTCAATGAGTAGAATTTCTCAAGGCACTTTTGTGCCTGCCCATTTCCTGCCTCCTTCTCAACAAAGTCCAGCATGTTCGTAATGGACTTTTCGGAGTAGTTTCGTGTAACGGCCGACTTGACATAGGTCAGAAGCTCGGTATAGTGCTCAACTGCGTCATCGTACTTGCCAAGCCTAAACTCCAGCTTGATGGCTTGCTTGAGACCCTTGAAACCCCAGTCGCCCTTTTCGCTCTCCAGCTCTGGTATGCCCAAGAACTCGGTTATGGCGTCTTCGGGTTCGGAGCCCTTCATCTGCTTGGCATTGTAGTATTTGTTCTCGATGTCGACGTCACCCGATTCCTCCTCGTCGTCATCTTCGTATTCGAAATCATACCTGCGGAGCAAGTCAGGAGAGACCAGAGTAGACAATGTGGAAGCGACTCACTGTTCGTCATCCGACTCCTGCATGAAATCGTCGTCAGACATGGTGGCGGTTGGCCAGCGAAGGCAGGAGTGGAATACGGATGCTGAGTATTCTGGAATTCGTTCTTGTCAAGATTCCACCAGTACTGGACGGGTGGTAAAGTTGTAGGATGTATCGGTACTTTTGCTGCTTTGTTCTGAGGTGTTCGGCAGAATGCTGTTTTGCAATGAGGTTGTGTTGGGAAGCGAAGCGGTGCCAAGTCGCAGCTGCGATCAGACGGATTGGAGGGGATGGTTGCTTATCTTATCGGAGCTTGCTGGTTGCTGCCTTCAGTGTTGTTGCAATGGAGTTGCAAACACAACGAGCACACGGCTGCACTGACCTTAGCGGCGGCCTATTGAAAGCGGAGGGACGCCTGAGCTGGGGTGTCCACTCGCGGGGTTGAGGCGGGTTTCTGGCTGCGAAACAGTGGGGTTTCTCGGTCAGCACAAGCCTAGCGTTGCCTTACCTTGGTGGCTGGTGGATCCGCAGGTCTTGTGGCAACAATTTCTCCTGCCTTTTGACATTGACTTGTTTGTTCCAACATCACATTTTTATCAATCGTTGCGCACCTGCCTTTTCTCAGTCACGTACACGACCCCTAAACGCAAATATCAAACGCGCGGCGTACCCACATCGATAATCTCTTGCGCGACAGATCAACACCGTCAAGATGGGAGGCGGAGAGTAAGTCGCCCAAGAAGCAGCATTGCGCCCAAAGAGTAATCAGCTAACTCTTGTCGCAGTCTCAACTTGAAAAAGTCCTTCCACCCCGGACTTATGCGCAACCAAGTCCGGGTTGCTGAGGAAGAAGCAAAAGCTCTAGCAGAGAAAAAGAAGACCGACCAGCGACTGAAAGAAATCCAAGAAGAGCGACAGTGAGTACCCCCAACAGCACTCGGCCAGGATTGAATCGCGCCGTCTCGCTAACACTATCTCAGGAAAGAAGAACTACAACGACAGCTTGAAGCAGCCGGCGGAAAGAAACGAGTCGATCGCGTAGAATGGATGTACCAAGGCCCTACCGATGGACAAAATGGAACGACGGAAGAACTCGAGGGGTTCCTACTAGGCAAGCGGCGGATAGACAACCTTCTCAAAGGCAACGAGCAACAGAAACTCGAGAAACAAGCTGGACAAGCCAGCTTCATGGCCCTTCAAAACGCAAACACCGACCGGGATACCGCCATGAAGATTAGGGAGGATCCATTGCTCGCCATGAAGAGAAAGGAGCAAGAACACTATGCGGCCATGATGAAGGACCCCGCGAGACAACGCCAACTGTTGGCCATGATGGGCAAATCTGAGGAGAAGTCTTCGAGACGGGAAGACCGACACGAAAGGCGGCATCGGCATAGGCATCGTTCACAGTCGAGAGATCGCGACCATCGTCACCGGCGCCATCGTCGATCAGACTCCCGAGACCGCGACGATGATAGGGATCGCGAGCGCCGGCATCGACACCGTCGCTCAGACTCGGAAGACCGAACACCCAGATCCAGAAGCCCACGCACATCCAGGACGGAGGAAGACAGATACAAGAGCAAGCGCGACTATTCGGAGGAGAGGTCGAGCATTGGGCGGCGCAGGAATGATGCTGATGAGGATCGTCGAGACGCCAGGGACAACTCTGGGCGAAGGCGAGACGAGACGCGCGACAGAGAAGATGGCTACGATCGAAGCAGACGCAGGGACGATTATCGGGATAATCGCAATGGAAATGAAAGACGACCTCGAGGCCAACAGAGAAATGGATATCAAAATGGCAGAGACTCAAACAGAAATGGAGGAGGTTACGGCGGCAAACCCGACGATTCATCTGCCCAAGAAGAACGGGCACGAAAACTCGCGGCAATGCAAGCAGACGCTACGGAGCTCGACAAGGATAGAGAGGAACGACTGGCAGCCTTGGAACAACGGGATCGTCTGGCACACGAGGCGGACAACAAAGCCCGTGAGCGCTCTGGGAAATATGGAGATCAGGAGTTTGTGAATGGATTACGGAAACAGGCTTTGAACCTCTAAATTGGAAGTTGGAGCAGTGTCATGGTCAAAAGTCGGCCCGGCTTCAGATATGAACGAAGAAGGATTTCAATGAATAACGATTCGACTCCATAATCAAAGAACTCGAATCCCAACTCCCAAGTGAGAATATACGGGGATATTTGCTGGCACAAGCGGTTCTTTTTGATCAACTGCTAGTGATATTTCAGCTTGCATTCATTGACTATACTTGCACTAACATCTTATGGATATCTGAATGTCTCACTGACTCTTACGATTATTCGCATGGACTAAAAGTGAGACCATGCTCTAAGTCGCTGTCTCGAGGACCAGGAAAGTGAGTGATTCTGCAGTTGCAACAAGCCTTGGCTTGGAAGATTTTGAATAACCCCTTAGTAGCACGTCACGAACAATTTGGAGTCTCTGAAGTTGTCGAGGGGACAGTAGCTGGATCACTGCATCCGTAAATTACTTCTCTATAAAGCGTCATGTCCCCTCGGCTTCATATCTGTTTTTCAATAAAATAATCAAGCAAAAGTCTTTTGCTCCAGAACTCCACGAAGACAACACAGACTTGCACTCCAGCAGCTAAGCAAATATGTCCTCTTATCCACAGGAAGAAGATCACTCAAGGCATCTTGAGTATTCGCAAGGTGGCAATTATGCAGCAGACTTTGAGTACTCACGCGACAACGGTGGCCCAGCACACGCCGAGTACCCACGAGGCGACGGTGACCCGGCACACTTCGAGCACCCACGAGCCGACGGTGACCCGGCACACTTCGAACACCCAAAAGAAGACAGTCACGCAGCGTATTCCTTGAGCCCACAAGACAGTCGCGCAGAATATAGCTCAAACCCACAAGAAGACAGTCGCGGAGTACACTTCAAAAATCCGCAGCATGAGTATTATGCAACAAACGGCGAGTACAACTATAACGCAGTACCCTTCAGGTATCCACATCCCTTCGAGTATCAGCCACGCTGCAGTTACAATTGGTATCATAATTAGTACCCGGGCATACCTAGACAAGAGTACAGGCGGGCATTCGAAGTCGTGCACTATTCAGATGGGCCGTGGACCGAGGAGGCGGAGGAGGCGGAGGAGGCGGCCTTTTCGCAGGGCTTTCCATCAAGGGACGGCAAACGTGTTTACATGCCCTGGAACGAGCTGCCGTATCACACCTTGGGAATCGAGCATAGGCAACCTCCCTCATCTGATGAGAAGGACAAAGAGACTGAAGCCTCTCAACCCGCTGAGACCTAGTCTGGAGATTCTGGTGAGCTTCCCGATCGTGCGCTATACCATGGCTGCGGACCCGATTGCTCCTACTGCCAGGAGACTCTAAGTGATGAGGGTAGATATGAAAAGGGACACGGAAATTCAGCTGCCATGCTAGATCTCACGAATGAGAGTTATTGCAGAAAAAGCGATGCTGATCGTTGAACTTGAGATATACGGACCTCTGAGACAATGAACTGGTCGTCACGGTCATTCGAAGGATGCAAATGGTGGGGGTTAGTAGAATATTGGCCTTGAAATCTAACTAGAATATTCTCCTAAATGTCTCCTGCCATCCATTATACGCCGTATGTGAAGGATTTCTTAGTTGTCCATGGACGAAATCATAACTTCACCATTCCCATCGCGCAATAGTGTAACAAGACGCCCGAGCACCTGGATAGGTGGGGGCCTGGCAAGTCTTGGCTTCTGTAACGCAGTTGAAACCGAACCCAGGAGCGCCAAACCTGTTCCCCACACGAACGACGGATCGACGGCATAATAATCATAACCAACTGGATCTGATGAGATCATGGACAGTTTAAATTTGAATAGATTTGTTGCCTCTTCATGACCTCAGTCGCACTCAAGTTGATTTCAACAGAATAGGAATATTTTCTGCTTGACTGGTATAGTCGTCACGAGTCCCTGGTCCTCAGACCCTTTGATATACTAGCCCACATAGTCGGTATAACCCCCTGCTCACAGGCCCCCCTGCGTTGATGTGTGTCAGTCTGAGGTTGTATCGGTCGACAGTGCATGGCGAAACCAAACATCGCTACATCAGGCCAGGCCAGGTACCATTCTTGCCCAGAAGCCATAGGGTACTACATTACCCATGTCGTGCCTCTATGATATTCGTCTCAGATGCCCCATGGCGCCAAACTGCCCATGGGACGAAGGCATGGACGTCTGATGGGATAAGATGAGACGTGAGTCTCGAGCCGCCCATTCATATGAGCGATAGCTTACACTTCTCCAGTTATTCTCGTCTTTCAGATTCACCACTACTGAGCACACAATAACGCAGTACTGTAACTGGCAGAGAATTCGAAAAGTCTACTGTCTAGCCATGGAGCCACGCGACAAGACATATGAGACGGTGTCGACAATGGAGGACAGAGAAGAATTACTATCCAACACCGAGGTGGAGGACTCGCTCATGGGTGACGAGGAGAAGCAACAATGGCGGAACACATCATCATCTCACAAGTTACTGGGACACGACCTACGGCGGAAGAGAGACGCAATGCGTTCAAATCGATGGCTCATTGGAACCTTATTACAAGTCATCATCATTGCCCTGTTGACGCTTATACTCTACCGGCAACAACAGAATGTGCGGCCGCCCTCAGAGACGCCGCAAGTGGGAGGTGATGTCAAGGGAAAGGGACCGACGTGTCAGTAATCACTTTGATAAATCACTGTCAACAAAATGATACTGTTTGGCATGCTAACATTCTTTACAGTGGACACGATGATCGTGAAATTCGACGCGGATGCCAGCTTCGTGCCATGGAACACGACAGAACTCATGAGCGATGGGGTTTTGGAACAGTGGAAGACAATGTTTCCTAGTACGTGATTATCCAGTAGTCGAAGTTCCAGCTCTTCCCAAGACATGATAATTGGCTGACTTGTCCATCTTCTAGGCGGTACTGGCTGGGGCACCGACCGGACCACCTTTTCCACCACGACCATGACGCACCAGCTGCACTGCCTGTTCATGATGACGCACATCTACGCCGGCCTGGCCACCAACAACACGGCGTCGCTGCCGCACGACTACAACAGCCACTACCTGCACTGCATCGACTACCTCCGCCAGGGCGTCATGTGCGCCGCCGACCTGGCCACGGAGCCGCACAAGCCCACCGACTCGGACGACAATGGGCCCGGCGACGGCAGCTGGGGCGGGCTCCACGTCTGCAAGGACTATGGTCAGGTCACCGAGTATCTCGAGCGTAAGTGGAATCCTTTTTTTTTTCTCTCTCCCTGGGTCCCCTTCCAAATAATTCTCCGAATAAATCTTCAACGAAAACCCCCCACCATGAAATGGAGTTTTAAAAGGGGAGCCGCAAGATGGGATACAAAAGACCCCGCAAGGCTAATCTTAATTCTTGAAATAGGAGAGATCAAGGATGGAAACCGAGTCGTCTTGCCTGTTGATGATTGATCATCATGCCTTGGGTCCGCGGCAGACTGGAGCTGCCGTTACCTGACGACGGGACCATTATCCGTCGATCCGTTTACCGAAGCTGACCAGACATCGATACGCCATCAATCCGTCTGGCCTTGCCAGCTGCATTGGGTTGGGATTGAGAGAGTTTTTCCAGCATTCGTGCTTGTTGGTCGACGACTGAGGAAATGGAAACATTTTATACTTATAGCCATTGCGGAAAGGATTGTCCATAGATGCGATAGGAGGTTGTGCTTGCATCTACCACATGGTGATCACTGATCACGAGTTAAGGCAATCCGTGCTGGCCGGATATGGTTCCGAGATGAACAACCGTTGCGCCAACTCTTCCCACGGATTGCATCTTGAGTCGCATGTGAAAGGCGCCAAAGTTTGGGACAACGGTTTACACAAGTGTTGATCCTCCGAAAGAATGGCTACTACTGAGACTTTGAGTGTCGTCCGTTCTGATATCGGCTGAGTTGATCCATCAATCACCAGACTTTTGATTCAAATTACATTCTTCTATCATGTTGCATGCCAATATAGTCGTGATTTCTTTTTGTCGATATTTATTCCATCTCCGCGTAAAGCTAGATCTGAAGTCTATTAAAACAAACGATAGGCATCGTGACCCCCAGGTCATGTGGCCGGGAACAAAAAAACCGGAATAACCGTATGTACAGAGAAAATCTTCTACGAGTCCAAGAAAAGGGGAGTTGCAAATGCTCATAGAGGGGTTAAAAAAAGAGTGCCAGCTTTTTTTTCGCTGGTAAAGTTGGCCAAGACTGTAGCAACAATGACCAGTTTGACGCCGAGGCAACCGTGGAAAACGCTAATCAAACAACAACAACAAGGTATTTCTTCCCACACAAACTCCTGCACTCCTTCTTTGTTTGGACGGAAGAAACCAGCAAAGGAAAGACTTTGGCCAACAGAAGGGCTGTCCGCCTCATGATGGCATAGTGACCATCTCTCGTGGTAGAGGGCCCCCTCCATCATTGAGGGTCCTTCAACATTATTCCAACATTGCAATGCGACTTGGCCATGTTCCATTACATGATGCAGCATTTTGAATCACCCTCACCCGACGGTTTCACACTCAGGGCGACTCGAGCAGCCTCGGTGAAAGCCTCGTTGACACCACGATTCCTCATGGCGGAGCATTCAAGATAGCGCAGGGCCTTGATCCGCCGGGCAACTTCTAGACCTTGGTCGTAGGTAATCATGGGCTTCTTTTCGCGTTGTGCGCCATCGGGGGCAGGCGCCGGAGCCTCCTCATCCTCTTCTCCGTTCTCACGCAGATCGCACTTGAGGGCGACCAGTACAAGCTTCACGCCGGGGCAGTTCTCCTGGATCTCCCCGACCCATTTGCTCTCTACGTTTTCTAACGAGTCCTTGCTGTCGACACTGAAGCAAAGCACCACGACGTCGGTGTTGTCGTAAGAAAGACTTCGTAACCGATCAAATTCTTCTTGTCCGGCCGTGTCCCAAAGAGACAATTCAATGTGAACATTGTCAATGAAGATGTCTACAAGTTTGTAAGCATGAGCACAGGTTGTGGCAAGACCACCTCGTCAATTGCGCCGACAGAGAACCACGTCGATTCTGCACGAGTATTGCATGCACTGGACATGAATGGGGCACGATTGGCTGCGCGCAAGAGGCAGACGGCTGGAAGGGAAGGCGGGCATACCGTGGACGTAGTTTTCAAAGACGGTAGGCTCGTAGACAGTCGGGAAGTAGCCTCTCGTAAAGACGTTCAACAGTGAAGTCTTGCCGCATGCACCATCGCCACTGTGTTGTCCCGACCATGTTAGCATGATTGCTTTTCTTTCAGATCAAGACACCAGTCTGTCTAGTCGCGAGGACTCTAGCGAGCGCAGGGACAGAGCGATACGTCATGATGGATCGATCAGGGGACTTTTGCATACAGCAGGACCAGCTTGCGCTGCACGTTCTTAGACCCTCCACAAAGCGGCATCTTGGGTGACAGGAACGATCGTTGTATACAGAAGTTGTTGGAGAGAGAGGAGGAGTCGTTGGGATGACGATGGGATCGGCTGGCTCAGCGTATCCAGAATCTGGGGTTTTCGGTTCCGAGTGCGGTAGTAGGTGCCTGTCTACCTAGAGCTGGGCTTTGGACCTCTCTAAAATGCCTACTAGTCTTAATCTGGCCTTGTTCGGATATTGAAGCCACCAGACAATGAGCGAGGCTACTGGTGATCGGAGGTTGTTGGTCGCGGGTGTTTCGTGTGAAGAAGTGATCGGCTTCTGGGCAGAGTTCGGGAAACGGTAGAAGGAAAACTTTGGGGGGTTGCAAGAGTGCAGATTGAGGAATGAAGCACGGGAATGAGGATAGCCGACGAACTGGAGGATGGTAATCAAATGTTGGCCAGAAATGAATGAAGTCCAGAACCCATTTGGATTTCACCCACACCAGAACAAGCGCCAAACCCACAACGAGGCCTTGTACCTACCCCACTGCGCTGTACTGCGCTGGGCTGCACTAATTTCCAAGGTACCTCTTTGGCTGCCGAAGGGCAGAAGTGTACATTATTGCTAGGCCCCCCTTGCCCTGGCTGGCCTTCAAAGAGCGCCTTTGCCGGGTGGCGCCCGCTGAACACTGCTAAAAAAGCGAACGCTCGTGGACTTGATGCGCCTTATTTTAGACGTCGCATTACCCAAAAGACTGGAATGAAGCATTGAACAGCAATAGCACTCACAGCAGATACGTTCATGAATGAGAAAGAATCCAGTCCAATACCAAATCTCGAGGTTCGTATTAGTTTTGCTTAGAAAATAGTCAAAAGTCTTGGCAAGGGCAGGCATTGATTCGAACAAGAATCGGATTGGCAAATGACAGGTAGCAGCTAAATTTGGTACCTACCCTAAAGTCTTTGGGTTCCCCATCTTCTCGCTTCTCGCCAATCCTGATCTGGGTCACGTCAGATCTCACTCTATTTCTAAACTCGACCTATGGAAACTCTGAATGGGCCATCTCAAAAACCAGCGAGATCCTGTGTAGTGTAGAAATCTATTCAAGGTACTGACTGCCATTACTGCATCCGGCGCCCGTAAAGCTTGGCGATTGTTTGTGGGAGCTGACTGACCCGCCGGCTTTGAATGCTTGCCCTCTTTCTTGACAGAAGGCCACGCGACTTTCAATAATCCCATTTCCTTTTTGGTAGGTAGATTGTCAACTCCACTTGAGTACTCTCGTCTGGACTCTGCGCCGCAATTTACAGTACACCCACGACTAGCAAAAAAAAAACGAGTCAGTCTGACCATGATGATGATGATGCATATGCACGTATGACAGTGATTACTATACAAGGCGCAGTTGTTCACATGCCTCTAGGCATCGTCAGAGGTTGTTCTCTCCACGCGCGACGTTAGAGGTTTGTCGTTACAAGCTGGAAGCGACAGTCTAATTCTACTCTTCATGCGCTGTCACGGACTCCGATAGCGCGCACCAGTGGCCATCAGCCTCATTTCGATAGCGTGCTTGGAACGTCCCCAGATTTCAGAGACGATGGGTGTCTCTACTAATCAGCTACTATATGCATGCATAAGCGCAATAATCTGAGCTGAACGCTTTCAGCGACCCTCTATTTCAATCTTCTCAGTGCCGCCTAGATCTTTTCTTCTTCTTCTGTTCAACAGGATCCCGAGTCCAGCCAACTCCGCCACCATCATGTCATCCCAAAATGTCGGGTCAGAGAACCCTACATGTTTTCGACAAGAGTGACACCTCGCAAGCCAAGTCGAATCTCCCCAGCGCACAGTTCGACCTGATCGTGAACTAGGGATACATCATGGTGTCTGCCCGCTCAATGCAAGCATCATCTGTTCTAATTTGAACTTGGTTTACGACTTCTTCTGAGATTCTCAGAACCAAGACTTGACGATATTCCGTGGCAAGATGTCCCATCCTGTGGCCAGTTCATCCGGATATGCAGTAATTACCCTAGCCACGTAGGCCATTTTCGATGAACTCCAATGCTGTCATTGTCGATCTTTACGCAAATCATGTCCAGTTTCTGCCTATACATTACGCGGCTTGAGGCTTGAAACCGAGCATTCTTGCAATGGGTCTCAACATGTTGGGGCTATACACGTGTATAGTCAGCCAGGTAGGGCTCCATCCAGTCTTGCATCTGCATTAACTGCTTTGGTGTCTGGTGGATGGAACGACTTGCTGCGGCGCCACAGTACAGCTCAGCTGAAAATGTTCAGTGTGGTCGGCTCGATCTCGACCGGCCTCGCCCCGTCGCCTAGATATGCTCTCCATCTCTATGGTCCAAAAACAAAGAAAGAAAGAAAAAAGGGCGTCGCTGAATCTACCTGCTACTATTAGGTATATACACGAAAGTACGGAATACGAATAAGTTGAATAGATCCCGGGGCTAGCACGGGTTTGGCTGGCCATCGGGAATGGTCAGGAGTTGCAACTCACAACCCGCAGATTACAATGGCCCACCGCGGACAGAACCGACATTACGGCCCACCCGGACCACGACTCCGTCTCACTTGGTTCAAAGTTGGCCATCTCCGGCCGCCATCTTTCTTGAACTACACAGTCGCTATTCAACTGCTTAGCTCGAGACCAACAATTAAAGTACCGGACACTTGCCCCCTTCGACCAGAACAGGAGTTGGAATTCGTGATCTCCCCTTAAATCCGGCAAGGCCCGGCGGTGACCTTATGGATGCGGCGGGCCGTCGTCCCATGTGGTCCATAAGGTCTATGCACTCGGCCTTGTACTCCTTTGGAGAGTCAGCAGGTTTCCGTAAAGGGGTTTCACGCAGAATTGTTTGTCTTCGCCTTTGACTACAGGGGCAGATCGAGGCGGAAGGGTCCATCGAATCATGCATATCTGCTTGTAGCTGCGTTGATGTCACCATACCAAGCACCCAGTTCAAATTTCCGTGTCCCTTGCTGCGTTGAGAAACTGGTGTGAACCTCATCCTCTGGTGCCTGGACCTGTATGTTTATGCTATGCAAGGGAAGTGGCGTGTTCAATCACTTGTTTTTACTAGTATGGCTGAACTCTGCGACTCCTCCAGAGACACGCATCTCAACAATGATAGCCTCGAGATTAGCAACGAGCAAGCTATGCTGACCGACATGCCGACTACGGAAGGATTGACAAGAACTTGAATCTGTCTCAAGGGCCCAACACGGAGTCAATATTGCTCAGTTGGCTGGGATTCAGCATCTGCTCTTACCGAAGAGGAAAATGGTCATCGACAGAACTTTCTCATACATCAGCAGATTCTATTATACCCAAGTGATGAAAGCCCAATAATCACCTTCTAGAAGGAAAATCTAGGTAATCAATCCGCGCACGGCAAGTAATCACGTTGAGAAGTGGCTTTTATCGACTGTGTGTTGATGAACGTCAACCTTTTTTAACCAAATAAATCGACATGCACTGCCCTGGTTGCTCTACACAACTCCCGCAATTCATTCAAAGCATTCTGTTGGGCTTGCGGCAGAAGAAGATGCCACTTGGGGATTTGTAAAGTGGTAGAAAGGTAAAGCAAGGCCAAGCCAAAGGATGACTTCATTCAGAGGTGAAAATAGCTTGATTCAAACACAGTGTGACACCCTGCTCTAGGCCACACATCTGCTTCTTTACGCTTGTTTCGGGTCCTGAAAATCTCGCAATTTCTGAACCCTGGTTTCCGAGAAAATAAAGATTTCTGAACCTTGCCGTGCCGTGTCTCGTGCTCGCGAGGTAGAAAACGGGAAACAAGGGGGGAGCTTTTTTTCTTCTTGGTTGTTTACTCAATCAAACCTAAAATGCGACAGAGGGGGCGTACATGGCTAATTTCTGATAGACAGCCATCTTTGTTGCTAAATGCCTCACGTTGATCATGCTGCCTTGCCTGCCTGGATGGAGACGGGAGTCAGAGACAGAGCTGAGGATTTCGGTAGTTGGATCGTCAAAGACATTGTTCTTCCTGCAAGATGAGTGTTTATACAGAGATATCAGGCGTCAGATCAAGACAGGAGGCGTGTGATCACATGCCCATGTCGTAGTTGGACTATCGTGGTTATCATGTTTCATACAAACCAAGTATCGAGATATGAAGAAGCGCAATGCAATAGTGAAAGAGGGCCTTGGCATCTTGAGAGGATCTAAGACGGGTTGGCACTGAGGTGAATGACAATCACGGGAAACAAAGACGACATCCCGAGAATATCAATACATTGAGGCAGAAGAAATCAGTAATTTATTTGTTCATTTGCAAAGTTTTAACACTTTTGCGTGGGATATCTGGTGAAATAATATGCAAAGAATGATCAAAAACCAGCCCTGATGCTCCAATCCCCGTATTAGGTAGATGAACCCGCCGACTCGACTTGTGTAAGCCTATGTCCTTACCCCAGTCCAGAACGGGTGAATGGCGTAATAATCTATATGATGAATGACGGTCAAAAGAAAAGATTAGACAAGCATGAAACCTTGTCTTCCTATTGCCCCAAGCTCACAAGCCACTGTCAATCTGATTGGGCTCGGCACCAGAAGTCCAGGCATTCCAGGCGTCGCACCCTTCTCTGATGCTGTCGGGCAACTCGATATCGGGAATCTGATCAGGCTGGAAGACCATTTGAGCAAAGAAGCCGGCGCTGGCGTGCCAGGCAATGTGGCAGTGGAAGGGCCAGGCACCGGGGTTGCTTGTCTCGATTTGCAAAACAATGTGTCCAAATGGGCGCACATTTTGCACGTCGCGGCGCATTGGGTTGTCTGTTCTCACGAGTGCCTGATCGGTAAAGTCGCCGTCGCCGTCTGCGAGGATATACATGTTGAGACCATGGGCATGGATTGGGTGTGGTCTGTGAAAATGGATTAAAATCGGCTCTCAAATACATGAAAGAGGACAACTTACGCAGGCAGAGGGTTATTGATGATGAGTCTGACAGAGGAATTGCTACCGTAGTTGATCACGTTCAGATCCTCCTCAAAGGTCAAGTTGCCATCCATGACCTGGAGTAGCGTTGGGTTGTTAAAGTCGACGCGGGCAGACACTCCACCAAACGTCCACAAAAAGTGACCCGTTTCATTGACAGTCGTGTTAATGTTCAGATGCTGCGTAAAGGTAGCCTCGGGCAGCGGGATGGGGTAGAGCGGAACTGTGTTTTCGAGTACGTCGTTGGCGCAATTACCCGGATCCGGTACATCCCACGGCGTGCTGGTGGGCATAACATCGGCATCTGCATCTTCATAGAGAATGGCGGCAGCGGCATTTGGCTGGTTGGCCCCGGAGCAGCTGGTCAGATTGGCGCGCAGCCAGAATGATGAGTCTGATGCACCAGCATTGGCGGTAACCAAGACATCAACTCGCTGGCCCACACCAAGAGTGACAACAGTGGTATTGTACGGCTCAATCTCGACAAAGTCATTGGCAACGACAGACATGGTGTGCTCGTCAATAGAGATGCGCTGGATGCCCTGGGAACCCGAGTTGTAGAAGCGAAGACGGTGTATCTTTCCAGACTGGAAATGGAAGTTGGCGACGCCGGCATTGCTGGTACAGTTGGTCGTGTCATTAGCAGCAATACCGGCGCAGTCGAAATTGTTCTTTCCCTGGATGAGGTTATTGTCGGAAAAGGAACGACCTGTAAAGTTTGGTGCCATGATGTTTTCAACAACTTCAAAGTATTGATCGTGCCACCAATCTGGGTACCCGATTAGCAAAACTCGAACTCGACAATACTTTGTATGCTGTTACCTACCTCCAACAGAAATGGGGCCAACATCGAGATCGTATGGTGCGTTCAGAGGCCCATATATCACTATAGGACCGAAAAGACCGCCCGAGTACTGAGCCGAATAGTGTGAATGATACCACGAGCTGCCATACAAGTGTGCCCTGAATCGATATGTGAAAGTGCTGCCGGGTGCAATGGGACACTGCGATACGCCCGGTGTACCATCCATGAACGGCGTGCTCTCTTGTAGCATGCCATGCCAGTGGATTGTTGTTCCTTCGTCAACCTCCTCGATATTGTTGGTTACAGTAACCTCGATCCAGTCACCCCAGTTGGCCTCGAGGAGAGGACCCGGAAACTGTTCATTTACCAGGATGACACTCTTGTTGTAGCCGTCAGGTTGGATATAATCTCTTGTAATGGTCCAGTCATAGTATCTTGTCATTCCTGTATCAGGTGCTGCGTAGTAGGGGTTGTCAAAGGAGCTTAGGTCTCCCCAGGGGCTCCTTTGACTTGAGATGCCATTGTCTTGGATCCAACTTGGTAGGTAGGGATTAGCGGATGTACCCCAGAGTGATTTGCTATGAGCTGGTTAGCTATGATTGAATCAACCAGGAGAAGTTTGCCCGAGGGCTCTGTTGTATCTCACCCATTCTGCAGATTCGAGCTCAGCTCGCCAACAAGGCCACCTGCATTACAGCCTCTGAAGAAATCCATTATACACAACAATGATGAGAACGACAAAAATATAAAACAAAGCCTCAAAATAGTATGAACCGTGCCTTGATGAACAGTTGAACGAGTGAATATCCCCAGGCAGGCCAAAGAAGAAAGAACTACTAGACTGAGCAAATTTGACAAGAAAAAAGCGGCAGAGACATAGTTCTCTTATACTGACTGAATGGACTTCGGACAAAGTGCACCAAGCTGGGGGCGGCAGCCACAACCTGAGTTCAGCTTTAAGCCGGCCAGCCGTTCCCAAGACACGGATCATCCATGGATTACGAACGAGCTATACCTTGTCGATGGGAGCAACTACTACTACACCTGTATCCTCGAGTCCCACCCCAGCTGTCGCACGAGTCTTCCCGCGTAACCGGTACAGGTGAAATTGGGGCGGCAGTCAAAGGTCTTGGCTTGCTGGGTTGCTGGTGCCAGATTTTGAGAGACATATCGATCTCTTTTCAGCCGCAAGGCAGCTCCACTGGGCGCATTGAATTCTGGGATTTTTTTTTTTGCCCTCTGTTCCAAGAATCAGGGTGCCATGATATGAGACCCCAGCTTGGGTCTAGCACAGGTGAGTCGTATATTCGACGTTCAAATTAAAATCCTGGACACACGTCCTTCCACCTGATCCACGTCCCTAGAAGTCATCGTCTCTACTGGCGGTTCGAGGTCAGAGCCAAGCTTTTGGCTAGTCGTTACACTAGTACAACTGGACCTGGAGATCGTACCCATGGACTATACCTTTGTTCGTACCCTGTAAGGAAAGACACACTCAACGCATCGTGCTGGTGAATCATTTCCAGAAGGCTGGAATCCCTCATTTCAAGGAACGTTTACAGAGTTCAACGTTGTTCTACAATAAGATAGCGCAGAGAGCGCCAGAGCGCATCAATGTGATGTTGGCTTGTGGGCTCTTTTGCTCCCCTCGGCGGCTCAGCGATCGAGGCAGAAAAAGCAAGCAGCCAGTTCGGCGATCTCTCCTTGGCCTCTCTGAGCCCCGAAGAGAAAGGTCGATGCAGGGGGACCGCAAGTCTCAGGTTGGGGAGCCCTTATCCATCAAGAACTATTCCATGCATAACGGGGGGAGGACCCAGCGAAACTTTGTTTCTCCGGTTGATCCATCATCCAATTTTTTTCCCCCTCTGGCCACAGCGTTGCAGCTCCTGAAGCAAGCATGTGTTACTTGATCGCTCTTCGTTGATGAGTATGAGCCTGGCCACGTCTGAACGCCACCAGATGCGGTAGCCCATCAACGCTCGTGTGGTGATGACGATGTGATGTTCTCGCCCCCCTTCTGCTTCAATTAGAGACCTGCCTACAGTGAGCGATTTTCATAGCCTGCTTAGACTGCTGTTTTAGAGACTAATCGTCAATTTGAAAACGCCTTGGCCTCGCGTAATCGGATCTGTCATTTTTGCCACGGGCTTTTGTTTACGTTCAAGTCAATATAGTTGTTCGAAGGGATGCACTGGACCCTTCAGGGTGCTACCTATAAAAAAGTACGTGTGTAGTGCAACTAGGTAGAACTGTAAGCCTGTAAGAGCCTGGCCCCATATCGTAGATCGCTGCAACCTTGACCAGGGTCGTTGGCAGGGATATTTACTATGATCATGTACGCTTAAATGGCGAGCCTATTTTGACCTTCAACAAGACAACATTGCAGCCAGGGCTGGAGGAAGGGATTCAAACAACTGCCACATGACCGAAAGTGAGCCACCAATCCACTGATACAATGATCTTGTCTCTCATGTATAATACGATACCTTCACACACACTCATATGCAGTCATCAACACATATGCACCACGCACACACACATATGTATGATACTTTTGCATGCCTATCCAAATTTCGAGATAGCGCGACCCCGGATGTTGGCAAGTGCCCGGATTTTGGATACATTACGCACGATAGGCAAACAGGGCTGGCTTATGGATTTCAGGTGCCGTTTCTCATTAGTCCATCCCACCCGGGGGAATCAATGTGGCTCTCTTTCTGCCCATAGCGCCATTGCTTTTTCCTCCTCTCATTGGCGCCAAGTTGGTGCGCGGCTCCAACTAGGAGAAAAAGTCAATCCGGAGATTCGTTGGGGGAATCAACACGACGCCGGGAGTCTGAGCTGAAGCGGCAGTTTAGCCTGTGCTCCATAGAATCAATCCAATGGCGATGATAGATAGGCGAAAGGGAGAGTTGCCTTTATATTGTGAGTGACGAGTGAACTTGCCTCCCCTAGAAGACAAGAAAAGATGGCGTTGCGTGGCTGTCCACGAATACAGCTTTTCCATGACAATCTTGTTTGTTTGTTTAATTTGATGACGATGCACATAATTACGGCTCACCGGGACTGCAGACAAACACGGCACGTCGTCGATAGCCACGAGGAAATCTATTATTAATCCATACTGCCAGAGCTTTCAACCGAGTAGTGGTACGATCAATGAGATCGAAGGCCCAATTTTTCTCTCACGCAAGCTAGAGAACCCGGCGCTTCATGGAAACAGAAAACTGGAGCCCAGATGGTCTTGTATCTCCCATGGATAAACAGGAGCTCCTCGTGTTTAGATATCACCACTCCGATTACCACGACCTTTCATGATTTTTTCGGACTACAAAACATCGGATGACTTTCCAACAAGCATGGTCCGCGATATTCCTTGGGAGCCCATGCGTCCGCTCAAACTTTGTCTAGCACAACTGCGCAAGGACTTGTGATTTCATATACATCTCACACTCCGGTACCAGTCCAAATGATGCGGGCTCAAGGGTTTGCGTATTGTTCATTACTCTTCACTGCCGGAACAGAATTGGGGTTCCGATGTCAGCGTTTTGTTTTCCAGCCAAAAATGTAAAAGTCACATCATTTGGCCAACCTGAAACGCCTCCAATATGTACATACTATACAGACCAGGGCAGGTCAAGATTCTTCGTTTGGAAGCATCTGTTATTCTCTTCATCAATTCGCACACCGCGTGACGCCTAGCAGCCTCTCGGGCGGAAGCTCTGCTGCGGCGCGGCCATTACATATGGTCGTCTTTGTGCCCGCAGGAAGGCCTGGTTTGCCATTGGCGATGCATCGGTCCTGATCACACTGCCAATACCCATGAAGAAGCTATTTCGTCAGTCAGCAGACGTCCTTGTACTTTTTTTCCTTCCTCTCTTGTGGTGTTACGAACCCAAATGTTGCTCCTGAACCAGCCATGTATTGTCCTAGTGTTCGCATGATTCCGTTCGGGCCAGCGCCGTATCTGAAGATGTTGACGGTTCCTGTGTAGAATCCCTTTGTTAATGACTGAGTCTTGGGTGGAGAAGGTCGGGTATGTCGCATACCGAAAACAAAGCCCATAATGGCACCAACAGCTGCGGGTGAGTTGTTAGTTGAGGCTGTTCGAGTTATTACAGGGAGACCCAAACGTACTTCCGCCCATCATGGCACCCATCTTCACTGTTGAGAGCCCTGTTAGCTAGAGATCACGGCGACGGCAAATGATTGATGGCGCAACACTTACACTTGTCGAGGTTGGAAGGGCCGTGGGCACCGTGGCTAACTGTGCTGGGAGGTGGAGGCATGGTGAATGATGCGGTACTGATCGCGACAATATAGATTAATTGATCGGTTTGTTTGTGTCGTTTCTGCTGACAGCGCTGCGAGGCAAAAAGAGTCGTTTGGCGTCGGGTATGCGACGTTAATCGTGTGATGTGATTTTCGGGCGGGAGCTTCAAGAGCTCTTGTCTGCCTCTGCTCCGTCTCCACATTCAGCCGAGCATTGCATGGACTTGCATAGTTGTGCATAAATATTTTCATCGGTCTTGTGCACTTTCCCGCCGACTGCTCGGCAGGTGCCAGATGGCAGATGCCAAGAGAATGGAACTTTGGTCAACTCATCAAATTCCCGGTCCCGTTCTGCCAAGAGCACGGACCTCCTAGATCAAAGACTAAATGATACGGAGCCTGGCAACCGGGTCTTGTTTTTCTAATAATAATAATAATAATAAATATTTTATTTTCTTGTTTTTGTCCAGGTGCAGGTCCCTATCGATACGAACGGACAGCGATGATTGCGCCAAAAAAAGTAACCGACGGACCGCAATGTGGCCTGCACGGGGGAGGCCTCGGCTCGATCCAAGCTTTCAAAACGTTGTCATCATCCCGTTTGTTGCAGGGCAGAAACAAAAGAACCCATGAAACCAATCAAACGATATGCCCACTCATTATGAGATGCAGAAGATCTCTTGAGTGGAAAGCCACTGGAAAGCACAGGTACTTTGACTGCCCAAGTACCCCAGGTATGAATAATACGTGCATCTTTGCAGGTGTCACGTGAGCTTTGTTCCCCTAAAATAAGAGGCGAGAGACCAAAACAAAAAGAGTTGGAGCATCTAATGTTACTGTACCGAGACCGAGGATTTGGTTTCAACACGCAGCAATACATGGTACATCAGGTTAAGAATGGCCCACTAGCACACCCTAGACGCAGGATAGACCAGCACGTTGAGTAGGTAATAAGTCTGCGCATCAAGTAGGATACGCACCGTAGTTATCGTGAAATATCAGCAACGCTCCAATAGATGGAATCGCCAGCCAAAGGATAATAAATTTTCGGCTGTGCTGCAATTCCTTTGGGCTGCGGCTCCTGGGTCGGACTCCTCCAGCAAATGCAATGAATGCCCCATGCTCCCTCGTGAAAACCCGCTAAATTAGACGCCTAGCGAGACGGACTGGGGGGGCCTTGACCGAGCCGTCTGGACTGGTTGGTCGACAGTGGCTGGCCACTGATGAGCTGAGTGACCCAGACCACCTAAACTTGCCAGACTGGATGAATCGTCGTCCTTTTGGTGCCAAAAGTAAAGTGTCTCTCCAAATCTCGAACAACGACCATCAGCGTCATCACGCACGAAAACGCCCTTCGAATACCCCCCCTGAGCCATCTCGTAATCGCTCCTCAATTGACTGGTATGTCTTGTCTGGTCTGAGATCATCACACATGTCCGTCTTGCGCCCTGCCTGCACCACCGACCGGCTGTTCTGCGAGAGCCAGTTGCGACCGACCCTTGACCACCACCTTTGATTTTCTCGGCACCTTTTCTTGGTTACTAACAAATTTTATCCATCAAGGCCGACCCATAGCCCAACTTCCGACTTCGCCTACTTGTCTCTGTCCATTGTCTCCCGACCCGTATGAATCAGAGACGCACTTGCCCGTTATCCAGATCCCTTGGTCGCGTCAGCGGGTGGAAGAGGAGTGACGACCTGCGATCTCCTGTCGTTTCACTGGCGACTTCTGGGACGCTTTGAATACACCTCAAACGATCTTTGCCAACGCCGCTCAACGGAATCTGCCTTTGTCGCATAGCCATCCCCCATGACAGCCGTCGCGAGCCCGCCCACCCTATCGCAGCACAACCGGCCGGCATGGGGCATGAATGGTCATCGTGGAGTTCAGAGTGTCGATGCCATGAATTCCGACGAGTTGAACCGCATGTTTATGCCACGAAAGAGCTTACAGCGCAATAACTCATCTTCTTCTATATCATCTAATTCGTCAAATACCTCAACGTCCACCGTTGTTGGTCCCAACGGACAGCCCGCTCAGCCAAACGGCACAGCAAATGGCGCCCCTCTATCCATAGCTGGAGCTGGCGATCTAGGCTCCTGGGTGCAACCTGCGCCGAGAAAACGTCTACAGCAAGCCAAAGGCCCGTGGCCACCAGCAAAGCCAGAGACACAGCCGGATTTCGCTAGGATGGCTGCAGGCCGACCACAGCTGATGGGCATGAACGGAGCGGGATCTATGCAGCCTTCGCCAATTTTACAATCTCAACAGCAAATGTCGACACAACAGGGCATCGCTCGGCCTCTCGGCGACCCGATGCCCCAAGGCGGACAACCAGTGCTTTATCTTTTGAGTCTCAACGGCACTTTTGAGCGCAAGACCATATCTGTTCCCTTTTCCCCTGACACCCTTAGAATCGGTCGTCAGACAAACGCGAAGACAGTCCCTACTCCTACCAACGGTTTCTTTGACTCGAAAGTTCTTTCGCGACAACATGCCGAAATATGGGCTGATCGACAGGGCAAGATATGGATACGCGATGTCAAGTCATCAAATGGCACGTTTGTCAACGGCACGCGCCTATCCCAAGAGAACCGCGAGTCCGAGCCACACGAGTTACAGACTGGTGATCATTTGGAGTTGGGTATTGATATTGTTAGCGAGGACCAAAAAACCGTTGTACATCACAAAGTTGCAGCCAAGGTCGAACATGCCGGCTTTTTGAATACTGCCAGCAATCTCCTCGACATGAATTTTGGGGATCTTGATCCGTCAAATGCCATGATGATGCAGCACGGTGGCGGCATGCCATTTCGAGGTCGCACGGGAAGCCAGGCGTCGCTCGCGAGCAATGGTCGCGTGATGCCCAACAACGGAATGATGGGTGCTCAGGTCAATGGTATACCACAACAACGAGCCGGGGGCTTCTTCTTTTCTCCTATCAGCACCGAGCAGATTGTAAAGAGACTGCAGGTAAGCACTAAATATTTCCTCGATCGTACTCGCCATCCTTCAGTCAGTCGATTAACTTTGATTCAAGAATGAAATGCGGACAGCACGAATCCAATCTTCAGATCTTGACCGGACTGGTCATTTCATCAGTGCATTACTATCGAAAGACGATATCAAAGATATGGAAAAGCCAGATGGTGCCGAACTCAAACATCAAGCAGTGAATGGAAACGCCGTACAGTTTATGCGAGCCGACAACAAAGCAAGGTTCTCCGATCCCCCGGCACCACCCCCTCAACAACCGCTTCCCGAAAAGCCAGATGTCCCATCATTGAAGCGCGGTATCACTGAGCGTCCCAAAACGAGCGTCTCAAGCGCCAACGTATCACCGATTCGCCAGGATGGCAACGTGAGCCAGATTCTACAATTAACCGAGGCCCTTAACAGTGCAAAGAAAGAGCTGGAAACGCAAAATACCAGGATGCGGGATCTAGAGGACATGCTCCACAAGGAACGACACGCCCGTGAGCTGGCAGAAGAGCTGGCCCGAAGATTGGAAGATGCCGCAGCCGCGAATGTCAACGGGACTTCTCACAATTTGGAACAGGGAGTGGCGGAGCCGACGCTTATACTGGATGAAGCCTTCGACCCTCCAGTGGAAAATGTTTCGTCTCCTGTGGCTGATACACCGACCGGTACCGTTCCCGAAACATTGCCAGCAGGCCCAGAAGTTGAGAACATTGAAGCATCTGCCACGCAACTACACAAGCAGCTCGAGTCCATGGTGCTTGAGATGAAGGACTTGAGGCAACAGCTCGAAATCTACAAGACGCGTGCTGAGTCCGCCGAGGCAGAGCGGGACACTGATCGAAAGACTCTTGCCGAGTTGGCTTTGCAAATCAGAAAAGACAACGAGATTAGAGAGGAAGCTGCTCGCTGGCGGTCGTTGTCCTCCGAAAAAGAAGGAGCCGACAACGCGACATCAGCAGACAAAGCAGCCATGGTTCATGTACCATCCATGAAATCCGGCACAACGGCCGGCCAGTCCACCACAGAAGAGGAAAAGGACGGATTCACATTATCGCGGTCCGACACCATCAGGCCATTTCCTACCCAAGGCGGTCAACTCGCTCATAATCAGGTACTGGCAAACAGTGTGCCATATGCCTCCATGCTCGGCGTTGTCCTCCTGGGCATGGGCTTAATGGCATATATCAATGGCTGGCAGCCACAGCCTCCACGACTCGACCGGTAGAGACCAGGAACGAACAAATACCACCACCACACATACCTCCCTTTCTCTCCATCGATTTTCTTTGTACCTATTTTATACGACGACTTTGTCCTCAGCCACGAACGACAACCTTTTTTTTCCTTGGGCTACTTTCATGTAATATGGTCAACACGGGGCGTTCAGGTAGCGGCAAGCGAATTCCTGCCTGCGATTGGATTTGCATTTTGAGGGAAATGCTCAATGATGAAACGATGCGCATCTACTGTCGCTTGCGCCGGGCACCGGAGATGAAAAATGGACAATTGAGGATTGTGTAAAATTGGTGCATACATTTTGCATCCTCCTTGCATAATTAGGGGATAGTGTAGAAACCCTTGGCATTAAATACATCGCTGTACAGTCCTCAAAATGATTGCTTTTGGTGATCTGTTGAAGCATTTCACGACAATAGTGTGACGTGCCTCTTATCTCCCGTAGGCATATGGTCATTGGCATCTTCATTTTTGTCTCATCCAGCCAGCATCTATCTATATTTTCAGACAACTACATACCTGATTTACTTTACTGGCCAAGCTGGACCATACTGTCACTAAGGGTATAAATTAGATGTGCCCTTTCCCTAGAGCAAAGACGAGCCAACACATTTTCAAAACGCTTTACCTTGTCCCTTGTCTTGTCACTTACGGCCGTGTCTAGGCCATCTACAATAAAGACCATTTTCCGGGCACCGAGCAAGTCCAGCCGTGGAAGACCGGCAAGAATCTCTAGACCTGCATCAAGGCTGTGCTCGTCTCCACGAGCTAGGGCCTGAAACTTACCTTCCCCCAGAGCCTGGCCGGCGGCTCCAAACGAGGCCAGATTATCAGTGCGGAGCAGCGCGATGGCGGCATAGACGAGCCCGGCCACGAGCTTGACCAGCGTCGCGGTGCGGAAGCAGCGCACGTCGGGGAGGACGCGGTCCAGCGAGGGAAAGACGTGCACGACGAGAAACTCGCGCGCGCGCAGGTACTTGGCCAGCTCGTACCCGGCACGTGTGGCTGTGATGGGGAGACCGTCGGTGTCCTGTCGCTGGGTCAGTTCTTCGTCGTAGAGGGGCACCACGATCTCTTTCAAAGTGCCGGTGATGGTGCCACGGCGTGTTATGGTGCGTGTGCGCTCTCGTCGCACCGGTGGTCGCTGGTCCTCCTCTGGGACTTTGACCTTGAGGGAAGCCTTTTCGGAGAGAGTTCCGCGACGAGATCGTGCTAGTGGCTCCCGGCACGCTGCTCGCGGGTCAAATGCGACCGACGTCTCAATGTCGTCGAGAATCTGTGCTGGTTTGGGGCACCAGAATGGCGTATCGGCCAAGCTTAAACTCTGGTCCCTGTACTCACCTTCGTCGTCGATGGACCGGAAGCGACCCGGGGCGCCCAGCTCGGTGCGGAGTGGCTCGGAGCGTTCGAGGAGCTGTGTCCGGGAGACGGTTATACCAACGGCTTGGAGCATGGTCAGTTCCGATGACTGTGCTATTGAGAGGCTGAAGAGGTAAAATCCCGGACAGATCTCTGCCGTGTCAATTTCAACTGAGGATGTAACTTGGACGTGCTTGGCCAGGGCTCGATGGAGTTTTGTACAGTGACTAAAGACAAAAGGCCGTTGTTCATGGTACAATGCCATTATACCACATTATTTTCAGCGGCTGGCTCAATTTATTTTGCTTGTCCCCTGTCCTCTTTGTCAGAGTGCTGCCATTGTTGACACTATTGACCCATGATAGCCTACTTTTCTCAAATCGTATTGTGCCTGTGGCAGGTGCGGATGCCTTGAACGCAGTCACAGTCTATTCTTATCTCATTGTAAAGGAAATGCCAACACGATAGCTGCTTGGAATTTGCTATTATTCAGTGAGTAGATACCAGGTCTCCATTGAAACCTATAGCTAGATGCGTAGGTATGCTATTATCTTGTATCAAGCTGCTATAGTTATGTGCGCCAAATGGTTGTTAAGTCAATGGCGACCTCTACATCAATTGATCTTCGTATTTATACAAGAGGTACGGGAATCTATAGTCATGTGAATACACGTTCAACAAAGCAGTCGAACTGATGTTAAAATATACTGACAACGACATGGCCGAGGCCAAAAATCCTATTGAGCTTGACGCCCATTGAAAGTCAAGCGCTATTGAATAAGCATCACATACTAGTACGTGTGTTGATTTTACACCTCAATACATTGAAGTTCCAAAATGAAGGTGCAGAAAGTCCTACTCACAAATGTTACACGCCCCTGAGGAACCTCGGTATCTGATCCGCAGCCCGTGCAGCGCTCGAAACATGAAATTGAGCTTGACTTCTTTGTTAGGCTCCCTGTGTGCATTCATATGTATAGATAGATACATGATGGAGGTGAAGATAAGAAAATAAAGTACTTCAGACTCTTAAACATCATGACGTCTTTGTTAATCCACTTTTCTCCCAGTAACCCGTCTTTTGGCTATGAAGCTTTGAGGGTCTTGGGCTACCGCAATTATGGCGGCGCCGACGTCGCAGAGGTGATCGCGATTTGCTCTCGCATTCTAGCTGGGGATGAGGAAAGTTGGATGAGGGAGTGGTAGCACGTAGCTGCTTACTCTATGCAGACGGGAGAAGATAGCCTGGCCAAAGGCAATGTCCGTAGGGCGGAAGAAGCTTTCTTGAGAGCTTCTAACTATTATCGGACTGCCGAATTCTATCGTCGCAGTGCCCCTTTCGAGGACGAGATTTCGAACAACCTGGCCACTGCTTTTAGTGCGGCATTTGTATCGGCCGCACGGCTGATGCAATACCCTTTCGAGGAGATCAGCATTCTCTACCGGAACACCACACTGCCTGGCTTCATCTTCAATGCAGCACGGATACTTCGCCACGACCAACCATTATCTTCAACGGAGGGTTTGACTGTGTTATCAAGGAGTCCTGGTTCGCCATCGCTGCTCCAGCATTGCAGCGCGGCTGTAACGTATTAGCGTTTGATGGTCCAGACCAGGGTCGCGTATTACGGAAGTAACGTTTATTCTTCCAGCACGATTGAGAGCATTTTGTAACCCCCGTAGTCGATTTCGTAATCACATGTCCGGGAATAGACCCCAATAAGCTGGTACTCTTCGGCTGGAGCATCGACGGCTATCTCGCAGCGCGTGCCGTGACAAGCGAGCACCGCTTCGCAGCTGTCATCTTGGATGATGGTGTCTTCGATTTCGGCAGCGCCTTTCGTACTTCGCTGCCGTCCTTTGTGAACTATCTGACAGATAAGAACTGGGACAAGACAATCGGGGTCATCTTGAGGACGGCTTCGAGGTTTGATAATGGAGCTCGATGGGGGATTCTCAATGCGAAATGGACCTTGGGGCTCATATCCGAGGCCGAGGTTCTTAAAGAGGTCTCGAAGTACAATTTATCGGGGTTGACTGATATGATAACCAGCACCACCCTGGTTTTGGACGCACCGGACGACCATTTTCTGAAGGGTCAGCCCCAGGAACTATTTGGTCGGCTGAAATGCGAGAAGAAGTTTGTTTCCTTGAGAAGTGAGCAGGGTGCAACCACACATTGCCAAGGCGCATTCTCTTCATTGCACCAGGTCATTTTTGACTATTTGTATGAAGTTGGGGTTCTTTCAAGCTAGTGTAAATATAAAAGTTGGAACATCTGAAATCGTAGCACAATTATGATCATAGGTATGATAGAGGGCATTGAAAGATTGTAATGTATCGGCTCGACCATTCTCTGTTGAGGTTCAGGAAGTGAGATACCTGACTAATCTATGGCATGTACTCGAAATTTTGACTCGTGGCTCAGCTGCATCGATTTTACCGGAAGATATAATCTGGACCTGTTTGACCAGGGCTCAATCAAGTTTTGTATAGTAACTGAAGATAAGGAGTTATTAATCGTACTATACCATTATGGCCCATTAGTTTTAGCGATTGGCCAGATCCATCTTGCTTCTCTCATATCCCCTTGATTGAAATACTGCCATTGTTGAAGTTCTAGTATACCAACGGTAGATACGGACGTCTTGAACGAAAGTGGCTTGTCATAATCTATTATTATCTCTTTATTAAGGAAAAGCCAACGTGATTGCCGATCAGTATTCTCCACAACTCAGTAAATTGATACCAAACCTCAATTCAAATCCGAAAGAATGTTTGATTATTCTGTAGCATCATTGTTCGCTCCCAGGAAGAGTCCGCTTTTCATGTTGAAAACCTTGACAATCTCATCATAGCCATTCTCCGCTGCATAACGAAACGCCCTGGCTTGGCTCTCCTCGCTACTAACATCAAACATGAGATTAACCTTGTCACTATCTTGCGCGGCTATTGCATAATCTAGCGGAGTCCTTCCGTCGTGGTCTTGGATGTCTGGGTTGACCTTATAAGTGTTGACTAATAGTCTTACTGTCCTGAGCGAACGATCAAATATCCTACTTTCCATGGCTAGATGCAATGGCGTGATTCCTTTGTTGTCTCTGATCTCCCGGTCGACATGAGCAGCACTGAGTAGTATTTCAGCATTACCTTCTGTCCAGCTTTCTATCGCTTTGTGCAGCGGAGTCCTCCCGTCCGAATCTTTGCTGTTCGGGTCGACGTGATAAGTATTGAGTAAATACTCAATGGTCCGCTTGTTCCCAAACAGTGCCGCCAGATGCAGCGGGGTACTTTCTGAACCATCTCTGCTTTCCGGATTAACGTGGTACGTATCGAGCAATAGTTTAATTGTTTCTCGTTGACCTTGGCACGCCGCACGGTGCAGTGGTGTGCATCCTGTTCTGTTTCTACTTTCTGGATCGACATGATAGGTGTCAATCAACAATTTGACGACTGACTCTGCTCCTTTCTTTGCCGCTAGATGCAAGGGTGTGTCTCCGCTGAAATCTTGACCTGCCGGATCCACTTGATACATATCAAAGACTAGCTTGACAATCGCTGCGTGCCCACTTCCTATTGCCAGATGCAGCGGGGTATCTCCCCTGCTATTCTTAATATCGATACTGGCTCTGTGACTGTTGATCAGGAGCTCGACGGTCGCCTCTCTTCCGTGATTTGCTGCGAGATGCAATGGCGTATTGCCTTCTTCGTCTTTGCTCTCAAAGTCAAACTTTTTGGAATCGATCAGAAGCTGAGCAATGCCTTTGTGACTACTCTCCGCCGCAGCATGCAATGCAGTCCTTTCATCACGCTTCCACGCACGAACAGGGTCGAAGGTATCAAGCAACGATTTGACAACGGGGTAATTTCCTCCTCGGATAGCGGACATGATCGGCGGTTCGTAACGGAAATGATATTGTGAAGCGCCCCATTCAATCAAGATATTCACAATTTCAGCAGAACCTACATCTGCAGCGTAAAAAAGCACAGGTAATGAGTCCATGCCTTGGAAATCCGGATCCGCGCCGGATACCAGGAGAGCAAGTACAACTTCAACCCAGCCGCACTCTACTGCTGAGAAAAGGGCTTCCCCCTTCTGAACTCGGGCCATGCTGGGCAAACGCTGAGAGATGTATAACAAGGCAGCAGTTGAGTCTTCGTTGTCTTCGATCCGAGAGAGATGTTCAACAGTATGCAAATTGTCAATCCTGTCCAAGAAATTCCCATAGCATCGAATGGCTTCGCAGCAGGTATTAGATTGATCGTAGCTTTCATCTAGCAGCCATGTGATCCCAACCTTGCCAAATTCCATGCTAGTATTATTCATGAGTGCTGATCTGTATAACTCGCCCAGAGTCATTGCGGACAAGCGAGCATAATCCTTTGCATGGTCTTCGACTTCTTCTGGAGGCTGTTTGCAAATACTCCACGCCCATCGCATGATCGCTTCTGCGCTCTGCCAGTGCTTTGCAATCTGATTCCTCTTTAAGGCTTCTATTGCTATTTGCAAAGCTACTTCGATCGGAGCGCTTTGGAGTTGGTTTCTCATCGAAGGCAGAATGCACGATAGAGCCTCCTCCTCATTTGAGCCCAGGCCATTACGGGCGAAGGCTTCCGTTATGTCTTTGAGCATACTACTGGATAGAAAAAGGCCTCGAGGACCTTCTTCCACAGCAACACGGCCCACACTAGTGACACCAGCAAGAAGGCTTTTGACAAATGAGCCAAATATTTCTTGCGCACAACAGGATATGAGACTTCCCGAGTTGGTTGTACACATTTTGATGTGGGGGTGCTGGAGATGCCCACTAAAAGTGGCTGTGGAGGCTTAGCTTAAAGTGGCTTTATAAGTCCCTTCGGGACTTATAAGCCTTTGTTTTTCGTTGCGTTTAGCATACAGGACGATCCATCGTTTTTCTCAATCAAGACTGTTCCCATATATTTTAAGATTTTATATGCTATTTGATCAAAAACCACATAAAGGCCACAGCCTTACGGCTGTCTGTCTTAGGTGGGGTTGGTTTGGTTTGGTTTTTGTTCCCCATCTCAATTTTTAAACCATCATAGCTGAAATCCACATTTTGTGTCTGCGATGCTTCTATGTTGTGCCAGCCAAAGTATCTGGCGACTCGTGGATTGTCTTCCGCGCCTAGGTCTCGTGGAAGGTTGCTGGAAAGAGGCTCATATGTGCTTGAAACATTCTGTTTGAGGATAAAGATATCGGACGGCCTCGCAAACTCGACATCTTTATAAGCAAATGTTTCATCGTGCGTATGGAACGCAGTGCCGGTCCATAATTCCAAATCTTGGAATTCCTCTCTTGTCGAAATGATACGCCGAGTAGGAACCTCGAAAGCTCTCGATATTCTCACATGATCATATTTGTCGCGCGTTTCCGTTGAAAAATCGGATACAAGAGACCATAGCCAGAGTCCCAATATCGCCTCTACCTCGAGCGGCTTTTGGAACACCAACCGGTCTTCCCCGAAATGATGTAGTCCAACATGTAACGGAGATATCTCAGAAGACGCGGAATCAGTCTGGTGGCTGCTTGACTCGAATCGAGTGGCTACTGAGCAATTGACTTCCCACCAAAGGATGTCGGCATCGGCCAGGTTGACGCCGAAAGCGCCTAAGTAGATCATACTGACAACATCCTCGAGAGCTTGAGTTAGCTGTTTGGCCACATATTTAATCTTGACCATCTCATCTCTAAACTGCCTCGATGAACTGGCTTGGTCCGGGCTTGTAGCTGGGGAGTCTGTAAGCTCTGCCAGACGTGTTCGATAAGCCAAAAGCTTGGCAGCGGCATTGAGTTCCTGAGAAGGTCGCGTATCACTGGCGATATGCTTCGACGTGCCGCAGAACTTCCAGAACTCTCGCCTGTCGTCCGCAGGACTGTGCGCAGCCCTCTGCTGCATCTCGCTTGACTCATCTTCTATGTCGTTACGACCAATACGCAAGGCAAGCCAGTCCAGTTCGTACCCGACAACCTCGTCCGGGCAGTCGACAAGAAAGTTATCCCGAGGCTTCAGTCGTTGCATGCGCAATGAAGCCCGAGCAGCACTCATGACAATTATGGCGCCAAGTTGTGCGACTGCTGCAGTAGCATGAATGCCTCGAAGACCAATGAATTGCATCACAAACCCAATGGTAGTCATACTAACAGCGGCCCATATCTCGGGCTTCTTTGCTTCTGAACGACGCTTCCATGAGATGAGATACTTTGGCAAGGGTTGTTCGCGGTCACTGTAGCAAAATGCATCAAAGGTTTGGTCACCGAGGACTTGTCCGCCAGGTTGTAGCCAGTATAAAGACGGCACTGACTGCTTGGTGTCTCCCTGTCGTCTAGAACCGTCGTTCGATGATCTGCGATAAACCTGCTCGGTTGTACTCTCACCCACGAGAAATGCGCAGTAAAAGACTCCACTGCAGACCAAGAGAGTTCCAATGATTGTCAGAGGACAGGCATATTCGACAGAGCCACTGTTCTCAGACTCCCACTGTAAGTAGTAGGTTATGATGCCAGCATAAATCAGAACGCCGATCTGCAAGACAGCACCAAGAATGGCGACTCCCAGGAAGACGGCATCGGACTTTCGCTTGATCCCAACATTGAGCGAGAGGTTCGGGGCAAATGGGCCGCTGTCATTGTCCTCGCTTTGAGACTCCATATCGGTGCGGGCACCTTGTTCTTTCCAAAAGGATTTTCCATTGTTGGTCTTGAGGTAGTCCATGAATGTGTATATTCCTGCCGTCTGGGAAAAGTTGGGATCCGACGGGTCGTGTATGACCTCCAGGATCTTGGGCCGACCAAAGACACGCGCGATGCCGCCGTTGTTGTATAGTTCGCACACATTGCGACTCGTGGACGAACACAGCTCCGCCTCGGCATTTCCCGCGCCTTCCTGTGCTCTGCCGATAAAGGCACGCAGCGACGGGCTCCCGCATACGCGAATGGCTGAAACAAGCGCCGTCAGGATGCCCATGGGCGCCATTGCAAAAATTAAGTAGTCGAGAAACGTGATGCTCTCACTAAGATATTGCATCGTGACTTTTTCGCCAAACAGGGAGAGTAAAGGCGCAAGATCTGTCGCCAGGTTGTTTGAAAAGTCATCCCACCAGTCTGCGCGCACCAGTGGCAGGCCGCCAAGGATAATATAACATGCCTTGAACAACATGACGGTCATATTCGAAAGTTTTCGCTTGATTAAGAGCGGAGTTGAAGAATTTTTCCAAGTCAAATCAATAAGGCTCTGGACGCACCCAGCCACAGCGCCCGATTTTGACCCCCACGGCAACACCTGCAGCGACCTGCTGCGATGCTGCATGATTGGGCAGCGAAGCTCACAACAATGAGCTCCAATTGGTGTCGCTTTGGTTTTCCCGGGGGTACAAGACACCCGATGAAAGGCTTTGTTGCATTTGGCTCGGTTATAGATCACGTGCAGTGCATATCGCATAGAGTCTCGATCCCACAGCTTGTCAAGAAGGGGCAGCGCAGAAATATCGGCTACCATGTTGGTGGTACACAACTTGAGCTTCCTTCTCATGTTTTTCACTGCCCATTGAGCAATCAAACATGATCAGATCAATCAAAAAGACTTGCTTTCAAATGATGGACTGCGCCCGCTGTTGTATTCGTGTAACGACAAGCAAGGTGATTGACTTTTTACTAGCAATTGACAGCCACGTTAATAATCCAGTAGCCTCTGACGAATTCTCTCGCTGGTTCTCGTCTTGGCCAACGGTGGCAAGGATAAGTAAAGATAATCTGCGTAATCGCTAGATGGACCACGAATGACCTGGCAGATCCGGTGCCATGGTTGGGTAGCTTGCAAGCGATCTATAAATGGGTACGCCTGCCTTTGGCATGTCGCTTCGACAAATTCACATGCAGGGAACTTAAACCGAATTGATGCATTAGTGGAGGATGAGAGATCTGATACTAATCATACCTAAGTAGCGTACGCGGTGGACGCTTTCGAGAATTTCCCGACCCAATCGATGAATATTCCTCTTCTCTTGCGAGTGATTCGTGAAAGCGTCAAAGACTAATTAGACGCACACCTAGAGACCAACCATATTTGCTCAATTACGAAGTCGAGCGGAGTCTTGTGTCCAGTATATGGTTGATCTGCAGACCCGTTGCCGCGGGTTGCAGGACTAAGGACCAAGAGTGGCTCATTGCATAGTCCTACGTACGTACTCAAGCGGACCCCAGTACGGCTGTTTCCGTGGATGATAAATGTTCTCTACATTTTCATGGACTCAAAAAGTCTTGGCATATCGTAACTTTTGTCTATGCCCCTCTCCCATCACTAATCCCTACGTGCGACCAGGCTGTACCGGCCCCCTTGCGTACATGCACATGCATGCTACGTCGTTCAAGTCGTCATCGTTATGAAAACTTCCCAGTAGGATGGCTTCAAGAAAATGAGTGTATAGAAAGTCTGCTTTATTCTACATCACAAAGACTTCTCATAATGGTCACGCATTAGTAGCATGATTCCTGCTCAGAACGAGATACGGTGATAGAAATCCTCCAATTAGTCGATGAACCTTCATTCTGGCAAATTCCTATCTACTAGATCTACAAAGGAATGGATAGTTGGGACTGCGCAATAAGGGCTGACCCCTGTCCGGCACATGGTTTGGCGTGGCGCCTGGGCAGTGTATACGCGTCCTACCGCCCGCATGGGACAGAAAAGCTTATTCCATTTACCTTACCCCGTACATTGGTCCCACTTCCAGGAAATTATACGTCACTGGAATTGCAAGGCTGTTGAGAGACGTCCTCAGTGCCATTGAGGACTGATAGAAAAGACAGACAAGATTGATGTTGGCAAGGCATGGAGGAAATGCGGTTCTCAGTCATACTTCCCGGCCAGTTACATATTTTCCACGTCTATATTTAGCGTCGATAGAAATGGAAGCTATTTTCCACGCCATAGCCTCGAGATGTCAATTACGTAGAGTGGACCAGTTTGCAAACTTCTATGCTTATACGCACTCCATAATGTGGCGGGAGAAACAAGAACAAGCTTAACAAAATGAAACAATATTCGTACTTGAGAATCTTTGCAACTCATGGATAATGATTGGTGCCACTGTATTTAAACCCCCGGATCGGACGTGACGTGGCCTGGGGCGGACGGGAAAGACGCTTGGACGACCGGCACGCCGAGTAAGCTCGGGTCCGCTCGGTGATAAAACATGATCCGAACTTGGGAACCACCGAAAACGCTAGACCGCCAGCGTGTTAATACCTCTGCTATCATTGGTAGTCCTCATTTCGAAACATGTCTGCAGGGTCTCTGGATGTGGCAGTGATCAACAACAAAAGAATCTTACGTATATTTCAGGGTTCCCAATGCCGCGTCCAGATCATGTAGCGGAGAGAACGCGTCACCAAGGTGGACACAGCCATGAAGAAGGCAAGCGAGGTTGACGATGGAAAGTGAATGAAAGATGGGAAGAAGGCAAGGAGAGTAAGGAGAGCCTGGCGGCGACATTGGTATAAGGGGGACCTTTGCGAACTGGACGAACTGATTTGATTTCGAGTCCATCATCAAGTCAATCCTTTCAAAGTCAGTCATCAGTCAGCCACAGTCTTTTTCGAAACCAAAAATCTCAAAATGCGCTTCTCCGTCATCTCTCTTACCGCTCTTGCGGCTTCTGTCGCTATCGCTCACCCTGGCGAGAAGCAAGTCCGGACTGATGCCAAGATCGCTGCCGCCAAGCGCGAGTTCAAGGCCGGTGTTCGCCGAGGTCTCGAGGCCTGCTCCGGCAAGCTCTCAGCCCGTGGCGTCACTGACCGAGCCGTTGCCCGCCGCGCCGCCACTGCCAAGAAGTATGGCCGCTCCGTCGAGGCCCGCGACACGGATACCGTCCTCAACACCAGCCACTTGTCGACTGCCAACTACACCCTCGACACTCCCGAGTCGACCCTCTTTGCCAGCAGCGGTACCTGTGCAGTCAACCCCGAGGGCGAGACTGGCCCTTACTGGGTCAAGGGCGAACTGGTCCGCAACAACCTGCGCGAGAACCAGACTGGTGTACCGATCGTCATCGAGGCCCAGTTTGTCGACGTTGAGACTTGCGAGCCTCTCGAGGGTATCTACTGGTGAGTATCCCAGCCTCCAGTAATTCATTGACCCAGACGTGCTGCTGAACATGAAAAGGGATGTCTGGAACTGCAACGCCACTGGAGTGTACTCTGGTCTCGTAGCCGAGGGCAATGGCAACACTGCCGACGCAGCCAACCTCAACGCCACCTTCCTGCGTGGTGTAGCCAAGAGCGACGCCGACGGTGTCGTTCAGTTCGAGTCCATCTTCCCTGGTCACTATGATGGCCGTGCTACTCACCACCACATGGTCGTGCACCTGAATGCCACCGTCCTGCCCAACAACACCCTGACTGGCGGTACCTACGGCCACGTCGGTCAACTCTTCTGGGACCAAGACATTATCGACACCATTGAAGCCACTGCTCCTGTGAGTACACATAAAGATGACCCATGTAGTGTTCATATGCACCGTGTTCAATCCCATTGCTGACATGACCATGCCTCTAGTACAACACCAATACTATTTCCATCACCAACAACTCGGATGATCGTGTCTTCAGCACGGAGACCACAGACACCACCACGGACCCCGTCTTTGAGTACGTGTACCTTGGATCCGACCTTAGCGACGGTCTGTTTGGCTGGGTCACCGTCGGTGTCAACACCTCTGCCACCTACGATCCCAACTACAGCTACGTCTGGACCTCGTCGGGTGGCGTTGCTCAGAGCGGTGGTACTGTTACTGTCAACAAGCAGTAAAGTAAAGTATTGTGTGTTGGGGAAACATGACTTTGTGATCAAAGGGCGGCATAAAAATAGAAAGAGTGGAGTAAATTTCCATAGGCTTCAAAGTGCGCTTTGCTATTTGTTTGTTTGTTTTAACAATAGAAATTTTCAAATTGTCTTCTGAGCTCAGAATTCGCGCCCAAAATTACCAAAAAACTTTTACGAAGCAGGTGGGCGCATGAACATACATATATCCAACTCGTTTTGTTCGCAGAGGCAGATCGCACGAGGTGTTTGGGCTCCACTCATTTGGGGGTCTTCGGTCGCCGAAGTCTTAAATGCGAGGCTGCTCAATTATAGTTTGGACGCGAGTGTGGAGCTAGCAAAACTACACGGTGCAATAATCTGAGTCTTATATACCAGTAAAAGTAATCTGTTATTCATCAAACCATGTGGATACAATTCAGTTGTTCCTCGATGGTCTGGGTGATCATAAACACACTTGAGGTACCGGAGGTAGGTCTCAACCTCGTCCAGTGAACGCCAGACTCCCAGGTGCGAGGGAAATAATGAGATAGTCGAGTCTCTATTGTGGAAAGTAATACAAAACTTCAAGACTGACATCTCTTAGATGCTCATGAATGGCTGTTAATGTATCCAGGTCTATGCTGGTCCAAAGAATAGGAACATGAGTAGGTATTCGATCAACGGTGACTAAAACTATCTCTTTTCCTAAACAAGCCTTGGGTTTCCGGGTCACCGGACATGATTGGCCGACGCTACATAGTCCACTGTATTGGCGCAACTGATCATACTAGAATTCAGACGGTTCATTGAGATCCGTTTCGCTCCAATTCCCGACAATCAACAGAGTCGCTCCTGATTATTTTAACAGATCCCGCAATTTTCGGAGCTTTTTTGAACCTCGACACTTTCGGCTTTGTCATCTCGATCTCGATGGAGTTTGAACGAGAAAAGACGCTGTGCAGTACGTAATTATGCGTGTCTTCTTCTGAAAGCCGACCAACTTGCCCATCATCGGGATGACTTGCCAAAGGTTGAGCTCGAGGTATCGGCTTGAGGCGCCTTGCGCGTAGATCAGACAAACAGTCGGCTTCAGCAGCAGTAAACATGTGCAGAGTGGAAGTGTAAGATGGCCTTTTAATATCCATACCGCGGCGCTTGTCTCTGTCAGTGTCCGTAACTTCCTTGACGACAAAGTCAGACTGGAGTTCAATACAGAGATCAGGCTCCAAGGCGGCCTCGAATTCGGTCGAGACTGCCATGTCATTGGCATAACGCCAAAGTCCCACACTGATGGCGAGATCTTTCAAGGATCCACGCCACCAGGGTGCCTCGAATTTGGACGGCCTTCTAAAGTGCCCCTTGTCCGTGTCATCAGAAAGGACTTCTTGAAGCTGGTTGAGCTGTTGTGATACGGAGTACCCGTTGGTGACTTCGATTTCCCGAGCATAATAAACTGCTGAGAGAAACCAGTTCCGGAGGAATGGGTGAAGGAAAGTGAGCTTCCAAAAATGGCTAAAGATCTTGAATTGCTCGAGGCTGACCTCGAAAAGGGCTAATACGGGATTGAAATTTGGCCCTGCCCGCTGGTACAACCAATCTTGTATTCGGCTCTGGGTGATGAATTCAATGACAGTGCGATGGATAAATCCAACACTAAAGTTGAACAAGGCTGCCTTGGTTGGATGCTCATAGATATTTATCAGGTCCTTAAATTGGGCAATGAACTGCCTCTTTTTCCTTTCGACCTCTGCAGCTTCCTCTTCATTTACGTATGGCCAGTTCTGCAGGAAAATTTGAGGGTCGAAATGTCGTCCTTCCCGGCTGTCTAGAAAGTAGAATGTCACGAGGGGTAGCGACACGCGGGCGTGAGCGAGAACCAAGAGTACTTTTGCTGTCCGACTCTTGTAGAAGTCGGAAATGTTATTGAGCATCCTTTCGAAGAAGGGCTCAAGTTAGTGTGACAATTCGTCGAGCCGCCGCTGTAGATCCACAATGTCGTCCGCATTCACAATCCCTCGCAACAGGGATCGTACAGCGAGCTGTACCCAGAGAAAGACGCCCTCTGCCCTATCAGTGATGCATGAGACAAGCTCAAGCGAGGCTTCCGGATTTTGGGTCTTGAAGAGTTTGAACCGGTTGTGAGCTTCTAGTGTATGTAGTTTATAACGCTCTATGTCTTTTCGTGTGTGATCATGCAAGTAAAGCTTCCATGACGATTCAGAGAAAGCATCGGAAAATTCTATCCATGGTCGGCTGGAAACACAAACTTTGACGTTGGAGAGTCTGCCAAGTGTCTGGACGACTTCGATGAGATTGTCTGGCTCGCCGCTGTATTCGTCCAAGCCATCCACGAATATGAGCACACAAGAATCGCGAGCCTCTGTAAGGAAATTGGTGAGACCACCGAGAAGCTCCTCCCGTGGCCATTGGTTCTGACTTAGAGTCTCAACAGGTTGCAATGCCGCCTTCCATCTGTCCGGGAAAGCCTGAGACGCGAGCTCTGGGCATTGTTTCAGAAGCTGAAAAGTTAATGTACGCAATAGAACCTCTTGAGATTGCTGCATCACAGTTCCTGACCCCAGAAAAAATGGCTCGCGATGAGCACTTTGCGTGTTCCAGCCCATCTCTGGAGACCTGCTGGCAATTTGTGGTGCTTGTGGATGTGCTTCATGAGCGTGGATTTACCAGAGCCAGCTCTCCCAGCAATCCAATAAATTGGGGCTTCAGGATGTTCTAGCCAGGGGCCGAAGTTGGCAGTATCAGCTTTGAACACCCAATCATATGTGCTCATATGGGGGTCTGAGATGGTGTCACGGCGCTCTCCAACTTGACTGAAATACAGGCTTTTGAGGATTTTTTGGGTTCTTTGGAACGACTCGTAATGGGGCTTGAGTGATTTCAACGACCTTCCCAGGCTGTAAAGCTGCTCGGAATCACCGAGCCACCTCCAGTGCAATATATCATCTTCCTGATGGTGTATGATCGCATGTGTTTTAAACTCGGCGGTTTCACGATCAAGCCTCGAGATGTAGTCTTGGCTAGTTTTGATAGTATCGACAAGCGCAGACTGCACTGAGGCTTGTTGTTGGCTGGCTACATATTAGTATCTCATTACCTAGCGAGGAACACGATCTTACACGAGGATGATGTTTATGTGCAGACTGATCTGATTTCGCAATTCGGCCAGTCGCGCGTTGAGATTCTGGAAGACTTCCCTCAATTTCATCTCTGTCCATGTCGCATAAAAAGACTGGAGTCGTTTCTTCTTGGCCCTTTTAGCTTTGATACTTTCAAACTTGGTGTCAATCTCTGAACAAATCCTACTCGCGGCTTCAGCCAAGTGTTTGAGTTCGGCGCTCGCAACATCATGAACGCCATTCTCGTCTTGAAGCATTGGCAAATTCTTTTGGAAGTCGGACACAATCAACTGCAGCTCTTCATTCTCTTGCATCAATTCTTTCTCATCAAGAGCGAGCTCCATGGTCTTTTGTACAGCCTTGCCTGCCATACCGACAAATTGTGCGATATTCGCCGCTAAACCGAGGGCGTCCAGCGCTTCCATGGTTCACCAGGAGAATCGTACCGAGTAGCAGCATGCGAATACCGGAACTGTGAGATGGCAATGCGCCAATGCATGGGCACGGATATGATGCATATATAACAGATGACGGGAATCTCCCCGTACGGACAGACATTCCATTGACGGGGTCGTAAGTTATCCATGACAGTCAGATCAGAGCTCAAAGGTCAGGTGCTAAAGAGGAGTTCACTCCAACAAATCAACTGGGGCCGCCGACTATCGATTATGCAAGCACCCTGGTACCATGGTGACCAGCAAGTAAAGACGTGGCGGGCCCAGAGATCATCATATTGCAGTTGCAATCATGTTTCTTAATCATATATTTCAACTCCTTGCTCTTCCTCCTTTCTGAATCCTTGATTGAAGATGTCTATACGCAATTTAAGGTTTCGGAACAGAGCGCCATCCCGTATGTAGGTAGGTACGCTGTTCTGGGGGAGCTGCACCAGTCTCCGGCCTCTTCAGTCTTGGCAATCCAGCCACCATTACGAATTGGTACGACAGCTGACCCCATCTAGCATTGATTCTCGAATATCTAGATCATAATCCAACAAGAATAAGAACCGCCCGCTCGTGCCTCTTGACTTCTTCCAGCGAAAGACTCTGTCCAGTCGGAGGGTCTCTGTCCTTTATAGGATATGATCAAACCCCCTGTCCTGTACCAATCTGGCCGATGACAGTACGCACATCCCCCAGGCCGTGGACTTCGGGACTGTTGGCGGCGGCAAATGGAGACAAGAGTGAATCGTCCCTGCCATACTCATATTGAAATAAAACCGCCCTTCTTCGACAAGATGTATGGAAGAAAAGCTGTTTTGTGCAGGGCGCGGCTGGTTCGTTCTCGAGAGTGCGATACCTGACGGTGGGGTTAGTATCAACAATGGGCTATACATTTGTCAAATGACAGCTTCGTGAGTATATCCAGTCACTTACACGTCTCTGTAGCAGACTTTCCCTTTCTCGTTCTTTTCCACCACCGAAAGAATTTTACGCCAATTGCTGCAGTGGCCGGCAGGGCAAGAGTCAAGCCGATAATGCCAATGATGGCATTTGTAGACAGATCCATCATGGCGGAGAGGTGCAAGGACCGGAATTCTTGGGATTCTCCTAATACAATGAGACATCAAATGTTTGATCAACACTACAAAAATGGTAGTGGACGCCATACATATGTATATAAGACAGGAGTGGTGTTGGGCTTTGGCTCGATCTGTTGACATTGGGGACTGGTACACGACCAGAGTTCCGGATTGTGGCATTCTCCAATCAGGATGAACACCATATTCAAAACCTTTTTTTTTTTTTTTTAAAAAAAAATTGACTTGTAGTGATGTCTTGGGTGTCTATAGCAGGGCAACAAACAGCTTCTGCCACATTTATCAAGACGACGAGATTATGGGAGCCACCAATCACTGATCAGCTTAGCAATTCAGCGTTGGAATGCAAGGGTCCACTAGCGCATGGCCTGACAACCCTCCGTGTTGTAAGACACGAAGATGTCGACTCGCCTTCGTGAGATTGACTAACGACACCACCGTGCGCAAGGCAGTCCGCCAAAAGCAAAATGTCCTTTTGCCAGATGTGTCGTGGTGGGTCGAGATGCCGCAGTTTGTGCATAGATCACTCACATCGGGCGGCATCCTCCGTACTCGGGTGCATATCAAAGAGGGAGCGGAGATTTGAGGCAGGGCTATGCTTGACCACCAAGCTCTTCGAAAGCATCCGATTGGGTAATCCCAAAATCTTGGATGCAAATTGCCGTGGGGAGACTTCCAGCAAGCTCAGATTATGGAATTAGCCAATAAGGTACGGACTCATTACATGGCGAGCCCAGACTCTGGATAGACCAATAAAATCGCTTCATCAACATGCCCGACATTGCTGATGCTTGGGGTCGCACAAAGCCTGATCGAAAGTAAGCTTCGAAAATAAAACACCAAGTCCCCGCTGCCCAGCTCGATTGATCACTTACCAACCACCACATTCGGCCAAAGCCGCAACACAACACGATGCCACCAAGAACCAAGCCATCCAGTGCTGAGTGGGAGCATCACAAGATAACAATTCGCAATCTATACCTCGGCCAGGACCTCAAATTGAAAGAGGTCCAAGCGCAGTTGGATGATTTCGGCTTTGTTGCTAGGTATGTTACTCGGCTTTGCAAAAATTGATGCAATGCTAACTCAGTATAAAGCAAATCGCAGTACGAGGCTAAACTCAAAGAGTGGGGATTCTCCAAGAATATACCTGTGAACACATGGAAACATGTCGGCCACAAGATCGAGAAACGAAAGCGAGAAGGCAAAGACAGCGTAATTTCCATCAACGGGGTCGAAATCTCCGCCAAGAGAGTGAAGAAGGAGACAAGCAGGCACTTTTACTCTGTTGCTCAACGTCTCGAAATCGGTGAGTGTGGTACCCGGCTATAAGTCGAAGTGCCTCTGACACAAGTCTGGCAGAGAGAAACAACGCGCCATCACCACCAGACCTTTCTGTCGCCACCCCGGCTAGTACCCAGGAAGTCTTCTTTATGGGTGGTTGGCCAATGAGCCTTCCATGGTTCACATTCACCAGGTCGCTGGACGCCCATCTATCCCGGATACATCGAAACCCACAAACGTTTCATAGTGAATTGTCTTGGATGCGGAAGAAAACTGAGCAGAGCCATTTACTTTCAGAATCCCATCTTGGCGCACCAAACTCAGACGTGTGGCAGATTGTTGTCGACAATATCAAGGAATACGCACACTTGAGTCTTACCCACACCCTCTTGCCACTCACCTCCGACATCGAATGTCCCGCAGAAATCCAACAAGACATGTTCCTGCAGTCGACGTCCACGGACCATTGGGGTTTGAAGGTGCTCATCTATTTGACTTCGAACAAACTCTTGAAAACTAGCAGCGTTGAGCAAGTATGGCAGATGATAAACGAAACAGGCATCAGAGAATTGGCCAAATTCTCAGAATCCTTACATCTGAATGATGTGTCTTTGGCAGCTGCATTGGAGCATTTGTTCCAGGTTGGGATGAAAGCGGAGCACATGGACCTTGTCTCATGGTTGCTTGATACTGGTATGAACCCAAACAGAAGAATCAAAGCTGTCATTGAACGAGCGATCGACAACATGCACCTACCACTTATCGCGGCAATGGATTCGACATGGAGTCCGAATGTCAAGATGCTCCGTTTGTTGCTTGAAAACGGGGCGTCCCCTACCTTGAGCTGTTGCGACCAACACAGATCTCCGATGCAATTTGCCCTGGAGAACCATTCGCATGACGAGGACTCGGAAGTCTTGGACCTTTTTTTGGAGGTTGCAAAGGCCTTGAACAATGATCCGGCATCACCATCAACCCTACATGTCCACCACGGAGACGAAACTGATGTCAACGCCTCTTTATCGAATCCAGATCGAGACAATGCATTTGACAAAATGGAATACTTAGTTCAGTTGATCCAACATCACGCGGCTAAGACACCACAAACATCCACGCCGCTGATCACTCCCGAGGGTCTCATTCGCGCAGTAGAGAGTAAAAATCAGAGACTCATTCGAATCATGCACAAACATGGACTTTCAATGAACTGTTGCGACGGCAATGGTCGATTCCCTCTTCAGGCGGCGGTGGAAATGTCAGAATTCGATGACTATAACGATGAAATAGATCCAAGTGGGGTCGATCTTCTTTTGGACCTTGGCGCATCACCAAATTACGATCCGAAGTACCACGTCAACAGTCACTGTTCACCTGCCCTGCAGGCTGCGGTAAACGATCCGTATTTTCAGTGCGGGAAAATAGAAGCAATCGAAATTCTATGCCAGCGCGGTGCTCTCGTTAAAGGTCGTCCCACTTGTGGCAAGTATGACCACCATACCCTCATGGATTGTGCCTTCAATCAGAAGAATTGGGATTTATGGCAACGGACAGAAGTCATGCTCGTCCTGCATAATGCTGGATTATCGTTACCTGGGTCATTTCTGCTTGATGCCCTTGAGCTTGCTTACGTGGAACGTGAAGACGATTGGCAATACGTTTTCAAGGATATGATCAAACAGTTACTTGGGGATTCTTTGGACCTATCCCTTCGATCCGAACGCGGCTGGACAGCGCTGGACTACGCCGTGTTCATGAATTACCGATTGCTAAGAGAGTTCCTAGTCGAGAAGAGCGTCCAACATACGCGAAAATTTGCGTTCAAATACTGTCTGTCCCCGAAAGAATTCTCAATGGAAGAACTTGAAAAAGTGCTGGCGAGAGTTCGGGCCTCTCAAAATACCAAACAATCGCGCGCCTGGCTGATTCACCATTTGATCGGCACCCTTCGTGCTACCGATTGCAGCGATCGAGGCTCAGAACGTGTCTTTGAATTACTTCATGATTACAGTCTGATAGCCCGAATTCCGGACCATGACGCGTATGTTCTGTACAATGTGTGTCGTACAGGGGACACCAAATTCATCCGGAGAACCTTGGAACTGCTTCCCAACACTCACAATTCCGCGGCTCTTTGGTTTCTCATAAGCGACAGCAACCTGTGGGAATCGTTCAGTAAAAGGCGCCAGAAAACGGACAGATTTGCGGACTTCTTAGCAGGGACTTGGATATTTACTTGGGCTGTGCGAAGAGCCCTCGACGCCGAAGGGGATACAAAGGCCCTAGAGTGGTTCAATCAACATGACCGAAAGCCTGTGGAGCACGCCAATCTTCATGCATCCGCCTTTTCTATCAAGGTCCTCAGGACCAACAGCCGTAAAAATCTATGCAAAGACGCTGATGTCACTCAATGGTTCACCCGTGGACTCAAGGCAAGTTGCTACCTTGGTCTTCTTGTTATAGAAACTGGCGACGTCGAAAAGTTGAGTGCACTCTTGGACCAAGGATTTCGGCCCAACCGAAGGATTGCTTGGTCCCTCACAGCTCTTCAGTTCGCCGTGCTACGAGCTGACAGGCCGATGACTCTTCGGCTCCTCCAGGAAGGATGTGATGTCAATGCGAGATCTCCATGGAGGGACATTCCGGGTAATATCTTACGAAAGATTCCGTACGGTGTCCTGAGCGCATTCATATCTCAATATACTAGCACATCCCGAAGGAATGCAATTCAATTGGCCGTTGAATCAGGGGACATTTCAATGATCAAGTTGCTGCTGGACTTCGGGGCCGACGTGAATGGACCGCCTTCGCGAGTTGCGGGCGCGACTGCTCTACAAATCGCATGCATAAAAGGATACATAGATATTGTCAGACTTTTGGTGTCCAGAGGAGCCGATATCAATCAATCGGGAGCTGAATATCACGGAAGAACAGCACTGGAAGGGGCAGCGGAACATGGGCGCCTGGACATAGCTTGTCTCTTGCTTGAACACGACTGTCAGGTGAATGGCTCTTTTAGACGACAGTACATTCGGGCGGTTGGATTCGCAAGAGCGCAAGGACATTATGTTCTTTCAAAGACGCTCGAAGATTTCGGCGAATGGAAGACGGCAGACGAGGATGTGTTGAAGAAGACCGACTTGCGTGACAAGGAACCAAATTCACGCGATTTGGATGAAGATTTGGACGAGGAAATTAGTGAGGTTGATCCAGACGAGTTCAAGTCCGATTCTGACAGCGCGTATCCGTTTGGAACAGACCACGAGAGCGACTCAGAAGACTATGAGAGCGACTCGGGAGAGTACGACATGACCAGTGGAAATGAAGTTGTAGCACAACCTCTCAATTACGCTTGTCAAGAGGTCATGGGCGGACCTAATCGGCTCGAACAACCGGTCGAACAAACATCACCGCAGCCGACAAATTGGGAAGATTTGCTTGATTACTATGGTGATGACGAGCGAGAAGTCTTCTGATTCTGGATTGATTGTAAATATTCAACCGCATATACAGTCTCTAGGTACCCTTTGTGGCACATAATGGCTGCCCGCACTGAGGGTGCAGCGTAGGGATAATAGTCTCTTTCAATTTATACTTGCGTCTTTGCAGGTACATGCATGAGTCACGTCATGGATCCTCGGAACGATGACACTCGTAAGGTGCCGCAAGCGGTCATTTTGGTTGCTTGTTTGAAGAGGGTGAAAATTCGACGGTATTGGCAGTTGCAATGTGATGTTGAAGACAAACTGCGGCTGTGTTATGGTTGAGGGGCAGACCCTATGACAGGCAGTCATCTCGTTCAGTATCATTATTACCTTTGGAGGAGTAAGCATTGCCGTTGCATACTGGATATGCATGTCACAAGTACAGATTGTTTAAAGGTTTGTCTGGATAGAGAGAAGGTCTAATGAAGCCGGATTCCCATTACTTGACGAGATATTCACTTCGCCTAGCGCTATGAGTTCATACGCCCGACACTCGAATGAGTCGGTGCAGTTAGGACTTAAAAGGGCTCAGAATCCCAACTGCAGGATCATTGCATTGTAGTTTACAGTAAGCTCATGGCAGGTCCTAGCTATTTCATTGTGATTCTCGTTGTATTCTTTAAAGATCAAGCAAGTTCATTTGGGGGAGGTTTAGGTCACTGGAGCGCTAGGGGCTGCCGCTAATTAGCCGCTGCAGCGGACCGCATCCACGAAACCCTTCACACCAATCCTAGCTCCACACAATCTAGGAGGGGATGGTAAGCAGGCTTTTGGACATGGTGAACTGCAAGACAGACATTGACTATAATGCTTCAGGAGTAGCTTTCGCTTGATATGCGTAGGAGCTTGTTATGACTTGGCTCTAAAGTTGCTAAGTACCTACCCATTGCGTAGAGTCCCACAGTCAAATCTTTGATCGGTAATCTGGAGCGATGCTGCGCATCTGACGCTTTGAAGTTGTGTCCAGACCTGTTGAAGAGCATACGACTGCAAACACGGCTAGAACGGCTAATAACAAGCATAACTGGCATCTGTTCACAAATCAGCGTGAACTCTACTCTGTTCACAAATCAGAAAATTAAAACTTACCATGTACAGTGCCGAGGTGTGGATCCGCCTCTACCACAACAAGCGTAGTCGACAGTGAGACAAATCAGCGGCGTATGGGCTTATCTCCTAGGCCGCCAATGAATATGTCAGCATGATCTCAATCGTAAACCACGTGACGGGACTGGGCTCTATAGCAGAATGCGCTGTAACGCATTTTGACATCTCGTGGATGTCAACCAGACTAGGCGTACTCTCATCTGAGCGCCGTCTTTCTATGATTGATAATCTACGTATGGGATTTATAATGAGATTTGAAGGGCATGATATCTTCACAGGGCATATTTAATGGTGACATCGGCCAGAGTGTGAGGAAAACTGCAAAAACAAAAGGATACTGCAGATTACGCTATCGGTTTGAACGCACTTTCCTCTTTAGTATTGCCCATCACTTCAACGATACCGACGCAGCACCAAATTAGATCACTAGTAATACCATGTCTACACACAAAGCTCTCGCAATCCATGCTTTGGAGCAGCCTCCAGCATTTTTGGAGCGGCCAACTTCAGCCCCCAAAGAAGACGAAATCCTCCTGAAAGTATCAATTGTTGGATGTATGTGTTTGCAATGATTTCTTCTTGTGTCTGCACATATCTAACTATTGATAGTAAACCCTCATGATGCTTCGGGCAAAAGATTTGGGACCTTTATCAAGGAAAACTTGCCCTCGCCCATCGGAGTTGATCTTGTTGGAGACATTGTTGCTCTTGGTCGCAATATAACCGGGTACAAGGTCGGCGATCGCGTCTTTGCCTTTGGCAACCCAATGTCTGCGGACAGCACCGGCACTCAGGAATACTGTGTCGTTCCGGCATGGCAATCAGCCCTGCTGCCCAAGGAAATCAGTGCAGACGAAGCCGCGACTTTCCCGTTGAATGCCATGACCATGGTTTTTGCATTATTCCACGAGACTGGGCTCAACTTGCACAGCCCTTTTGGCCTCCGCCGACAGGATTGTGACTACAGCGCAGAATCGATTCTGATCATCGGTGGAGGCGCCGCCACGGGACAATTCGGTGTGCAGCTCGCCCGGCTGGCGAAATTCAGGAACATAATAGTGGTGGCATCAAAAGCAAGGGAGTCCCAACTCAAGGATCTTGGAGCCACCACTGTCATTGATCGCGCTCTGGACGAATCCGAGATCGAGAATCAGATTAGGAAAGTGGCCGGAGATGATTTGGTGTTTGCCATTGACTGCGTTGGGCGTGGCCCAGGTGGGCAGACATTGGGCGTCAAAGCTCTCTCTAATCATAAAAAGGGGACTCTCGCAGCGCTGGTCCATAGAGGTGATGTTGATGATTCCCGTATCGGTACCAAAACCGCTGGCTACGTACGAAATTCGGTACTGTGCCATACGGCCAAATATCCGGATATCACAAAGGAGTTCTGGGCCGTGTTGCCCAGTTTGATTGAAAGTGGCACGCTGAAGCCAACAAGCTTTCAGGTTGTCAACGGCCTCAGTGCTAAGGAGGTTGACACCTTTCTTGATAATTATAGCACAGGGGTTGCCCAACTCAAACCTCATATACATATAGGCAGCACTTTTGAAGCGTAGATGCAATGTAGTCAGTCTAGTCTTGCTGCATAATGGAAAAGAAGAATCGACACATAGAAACTGGATGCCCGTCCCTCTCGTGAATTCATAGTCTGCGATTGGGCCAAGAATCAAATTTCTGGTCCCACACGCTTAGAGCCGGAATTAGACCACGACTAAAAGTTTCTCTTTGTAAGACGGCAGAGGCGAAGGCAGAGCCAATACGGAAGCCTAGTGCCCCGAAGCAGATGTGCTATCACCTCTCATCAGCTGCGGACAAGTGCAGACAGTATTACAGTCTTGGTGGGACGATTATCACTTCTTGGTAGAGTGATACTCACCACCCGAAAGTGACGATTACAACAGGAAATCTTATGACCACACACAGGCCGGGGAATACAAGTGTTGGTTGAGGTGGTGCTTTCCTATTGGAACTTAAAACTGGTTTGATATGGGTGTCAATTGTGTGATGTATTGATCTATGTTCTGCGCCTTTTAGTTTTGACGAGGTGCATGCTTATGTGAGTAGCCCCAGCTAATTCCCAGAAGTCCTCGAAACATCTGTATGAACACCGCGGTGGTGTTGATCAGTGTATATTGTACTCCAGCACACCCTGGTGTATGGGATCCATGACTCACCATGTGACGATTAGCCAGTTTAAGGAGCAGCAAGGAGTTTTTAATAAGTTTTGAATACCGCCAATTAATAAGCCTCATCCATCAAGAATAGATCATCCACCTGGACTTGGTGTAATAAGGTCTTATAACTGGCTACATCCCCACATGCCAGCAAGACTTGTATAACTCATCTATCAGCCAGTCGCTTTTGCAGGTTGAGACTTTTCCCTCAAAGGTGATAAAACCCTCTTCGTCGGAACCCCGATCCGTGCGTAACACTTTCGATGATTAACCCGCACATGATACCTTAGCATGTCACAGCTTCCTTCCGGGTTTGCTCTCCGCAGCAACGGAACCTGCGCGGCAAATGAAGTAGATTGTGGCACCACAGTTTCACCATACAAGGCATGCTGTCCAGCCGGATCATACTGTCCATCTCAATTTAATGTCAACGTAAGCAAAAGGATAAGTGATGCGCTATAGTACACCACTGACTATTCAACTTTCTCGAAGTGCTGCCCAACGGCCGCGAACTGCACTGCGAGTCTTTTACAAGCTCCAAGTTGCGCAAATAAGACTTGGGATCTCTATAACAACGATGGATATTACTGCTGCTTGAACGACTCTATAGGGTACTCCGCCCAGTCTACCCATAGTGATGGTTGTGCCTCTCCACGCTATGCCTTCCAGCCTGGCGATGTTCTTTTGAGCGTAATCAGTGTTGGTCAAGGTATGATTTATCAATACTTGTAAACGTCACCAAAGTAACATTGGCATATTCCCTTAGCGCCAACATCCAGTGCAACGACTTCCTCTAGCGAACCACAGGCAACGCCAACAGCGTCTGGGACGTCAGCACCAGATAAAGCGTCGTCAGCCGCTGTGACGACCAATATAGGTGCGATCGCTGGAGGAATCATAGGCGGTATATTGGTGCTCGTCCTCGTTGCTGTTTGGATATTATTGAGGAGAGCACGGAGGAGGAGAGTGCTATCGGCTGGCGTGACGCATGAAGCCAATGAGAGGGAACAACCACCGGAATTGGCCGAGTTGATAGAATACCACGGAATGAGTGAGCTTTCGAGTCAGGCCAAGCAAGACCAAGTAAGCGTCCAAGCAAAAAATCCGATAGAACTTCCATAGCAGTGGAAATGCATTCGCGACGGTCTGTAAAGATAATATTAGTACTTTTATGGGATGCGGCTTTATTCTGCTCTGTGGTTCAGTCTTATTCGTTATTGGAGTGGTCTCGATGATTCTTGGTACAATGAATGTTGAGCACAGCAGCTACAGCTTGGTTTTCATTTATTAAACCTTCTTGGATTTTGTTCCCTGGAAATTCGCGTTTCGATTATATATGGTTATTATATCATCTTGCAAGAGCAAAATGGACGGAACATCCCTTGACTCCTACGACGTCCCAAGATGCTGACAAGCTTTTCGCCTAGGCAGTGAAGTAAGGTGCTTGTCGAAGTTCAGCCTTAGAGCACTTTCAGCGGGATAGTATGTATATTGAGCAGAAACTGAGGGAAAACGTCACATGTGTTAATTATTGAGTAATGGCCGCCCCTTTGTACTGTATGTACCACACTGGTTAACACCACAGCAATGGATAACCAAACGGGAAACTCGCGGGCTTAAGCAACGACGATTTGAATGACCCTACAGTACTCCTTATGAAACTATTACGATATGGTGGATCAGTAAAACATCCGACCTTTTACAAGCCTTAGCAATTGTCAAGCGGGCGGCCCTATTAGATTCGTTATATGATTGGTGGTATTAGATCATACCTGTTGCGTTAACAGGTGGCCAACCACCTGTCCGGGATGGGTCCCAGACTGGCAACAAGTCAAATTCCGTCGAGAGTTGCCAGATATTCTCGATTATTATTAGCTTGTATGACATTGGCCTGTCATAATCTGCAGATTGGAAGCCTGACTGTCAAGTCTAGTTGTACTAGCTCATGGGCCTCAACAGTTCTCAAATCTTCTCCCTGCGCAACAACCATTATATTGGCTTTGGTATCACGATGCGGATGACAATTTAAGTACGCTTGTGTCAGCGTCTTTGGTAGCACGACTACAGAAGCACCAGATACGATGACGGTCCTTTGTGCAAGTCTAATCGTGGTGATAAATGTGACACTAATTTGGCCGCGTACAACGCTCCGGCCTCCTTGATTTTTCTTTCTTTCCTGGAACCTAGCCGCTGGATTCAGCTGCACAGGACTCAGGGCTAGCGCATATGCTTGGATAGTGGTCTTGTAGCTGGGAGGAATATGTTCTCCTGAAGCGGCGCGAGGCAATGAGGCAAGGCCGCTAGAAATGAAATCTCCGATGAATGGTGATCGCTTGCTGGGCTGCTCGTTAGTCAGTGCCTCTTGTCGAAGGCCCCGACCGAGTAGTCTGCTTGTGGACAAGTTCTAGTCAGAGAGATTTAGTTGTTCTATGGATCAAGCACTTATGACTAGTCGAACCTTAAATGGCAAGTATTTTTGCTGAGGGGACCGTGAAAGGGGCGTTCTCCCGTAAGACCCTTTTCTTCGTTTTTATCCTTGGATTCTCACCGGGCCCGTTTAAAGAGGTCCTTTCGAAATGAATATTTACTTAAAAGCATTTGCTCCGTATTGAGCAAGGCGTGACAAGTTTCGCTCTTGTTCTTACGGCCCTTGTCAGGATGTGTTGGTACTTTCATGGGGACCTTCCTGGGTGCGTTCAAATGTATTAAGGAATCTAAAAGGAAGAAAGTGTTGTTCTAGCTACGAATCCAACCAAATCCCCCCATATGCGCCACAGATCTCACCGTTAAATTGTTTGGTATACACTAGAACAATTACTTGGAGTGGCGCGCCAAACTAGGAATCCATCGTCCAGCCAAGGAACCGATTAATGCTTAGGGCTCCGCCAAGTTACTAGGTTAGTGACCTATGGATAGGCCAAATCCTACACTCAGGTACAAAGCTGTATAAAGGAGAGAATGTAAATTTACAAATTAGGATCTCTGTCCAATGCGATCAATATAAACAAGTTTCAAAATAGGGGACCTTCTCACCGTGTCCATCTCAATGCCTCTTCGCCATGTTAATCGAGAACGACCGGCCCGTCACTACGGTAGCCCCAGGTCCTAACTCGGCATGCCGGCGCCCAATGCCAGTAGCGGGCCACGCCGCAGCCGGTGTATAGGTAAGTCATACACCGCCCGATCAACGTTTTTCAAGACGGACCAAACGGCACGATCAAGACACAGTCTGCATTATTACCTCACTCTAATACCCATTCATACCACTTTGGCCCCTACATGCTGCCTGGCTGATGCGACAATACAGCTATCACGATTCGACGACCATGACCAATGCGGCCTTGCATTCGTACTCCCTTCCAATGCCATTTCCAACGTCATTCGCCCAGACGTGATTCTTTCCCATCAATGGGGAGCAGAAGAGATCATCCCCGCAGGTTTATCAAAGCCCACGACTCTCCACGTAAGGGCCTAAACTTGTGCTTTTTAGTCAACGTCGCTTTAATCAAGCCGCTATTGGTAGACCAGCTTCGCCAAGCGTATCGGGAGGTACATGGAAGTATGGATAAAACAGCTGCGCCGCCACGTAATCATTTCGAGTCAGGTAAAGGACCACAGACGACAAACTAGGCTGCTAGGCTTCACTTTTCGCACTTCTCTTTATAGTGCCCTTAAAGAGATGAACCAACGAGGTCGGACCGTTTGAAGCCCGATGCTTTACCCACACAACGGCTACTGTAGCATCAACCGTCGAGGCTCACTGGCAGAGGTGATTAATCAAGGTCCTAGTTTTGGTACTTTACGCTTTATAATGCGTAGCTTGTTGCTATATATTCTCATTGAGCCTCGGCACGGCTCTCCTCTAGAGATGAGGATATTCAATAATTCATCTGTCCGTCGCCGAGTCTGCGGAGAATATGGCGGATCGGTCGGGAGCTGCACGACGCGACGGCTCGCCGGTGCAAATTTGACCTAGCGCGGTTTAGTACGTTCGGATCCGACTCCGACATCTCAGCGGCGACTCGCTAGCCAGGAGATCCAGAGCGTATCCAGTGCGGCTAGTTCTTGGCCGCAGCTTAGTCCGGTCGCCATTTCGACCTGGCCAGTCATAGTCTCAAAGTCCCTGACAAAGCCATCCACTAGACGAGTTACCTCTAGTGGTTCGATCTTCTGCATGGGGTAGAGATCGACGAACCATGTAGCCGGGTTCGGGGGATTTGCACCGTTACTAAGCCAAGGAACGCCTCTTGGTATAAGTTATAGGAGATGGAAGCACTAGCTTGCGAGTGTTGTGCCCAAAATGGTTGGTTTAGCTCATGCTATTGCCTGCCAGCTTGTCATGTCTGAAAATCACAGCTTCCTGGACAGGGGCAACGCTTGCATAAGCGTCTAGCCAGTCTGCGCCCGTAAATATATTATCCCAGATGCACCGTACCCATGTAACTCGATGTCTTCGGCACTTCTTCCTCTGTAGAAGAAGCAATTTATCGCGACCTCACTCCTGGTCACGTCCATTCCTTATCAATCATGGCTCAAACGGGTTTCCTCGTACCGGAATGGTACGTGGTAGAAGCGCCCAGTGAGCAGGACATGAACGTTGCTAGTATCATTTGGGGTTTCTCATTGGCTGTAAGTGCAAACTCAAGATCTGATTCCATCCCATGCTTCGTTGTATTGGAGTATAGTGTTCCGATGTGTGCCTTTCCCACACCACCGGCGCCTCGGCATCAGCTACGTGGATGAACACCCGACGGGAGCTTGCTTCCGTCATCAGCATATAAGGTGCATTGAGTGATAACTAACTTTCTTTTGACAACCAGTGCGCCTGTTTCACCTTCGTTAAAGCAACTCGGCAAACATGGTACTCTTGGAAGAGGACCCAGGCTATCAATACATATGTCGTCATGATATGGGCCGAGTGGGTGGCGTGCGTCGTGATTTCCGTCATTAGTTGGCTGTTCCTCAAGGGAGTTATACCCATCAGGTAAGTCTTTCGTGATGCAAAAACATTCATGTTGATGATGCTGACTACCTGCAAAGCTTTTGGTTCGTCTTTTTTCTGCTTTGCCTATGGGTCATTCAGATTCAATGCATTATGCAGATTATTATCAACCGAATTGCACTCCTCATGGTCCGACAACAAAAGGCGAGAACCTTGAAATGGTCTGTCTTTGCCTTGATAGGGCTTATAAACATCAGCGTCTTCTGTATCTGGATCCCGGCCCGACTTCAAATCAGCCAAACCTACGTCGACGTCAACAATGTATGGGACCGATGCGAAAAGGCCATCATTGCCGTTGTTGACATGGGTCTCAACTTTTACTTTATCCATCTCATTCGCGCCAAGCTCATCGCCAACGGTCTCACCAAGTACAATGCACTGTTTCGCTACAATCTCGGTATGATTGCCATTTCATTGGCACTTGATGTAAGTTTATCCCTGTGACCCTCTCTACACGAATTCCCAAAACTAACCATTTGTGAAGATCATCCTGATTGGCGTCATGTCACTCCCAAACAGCGCTGTATACATTCAATTCCATCCACTCATTTACCTCGTCAAGCTCCACATTGAGATGAACATTGCCGACATGATTGCACGCGTGGTGCGTGCCTCGAACCCCCACCAGACCGGATCCTACGACAAGTCCAACTCCAACAACCGATACGGAGGAACGACGCACAAGATGACCACGGTTGTCACCACCAGAACCGGCAACGGCAACAGGAAGCTCAATGCCAATGGAACTCATGTGGGCTTTGACGTGGACAGCGAGCGAGATATCCCTACCGATGGCATCAAGCGTACTATTGAGACCCAAGTAGTGCGTGAGCCACATGTAGTAGATGATGATAACCAGAGCGAGTCAAGCTCCACGCGTGAGTTGCAGAAGCACTTTGCTATCGTCTAAAGCACAGCTCCGGCTGACTTGGGCAGCGAGACGATCATGAGATCGCGCTGTTTAGAGATGGACTTGCCGACCTCGATCGCTTATCAAAAAGAGGGATTTCTTATTTCTGTATATGTATTTGTAGGTAGATAGATCCATCATTAATTATTAGAAGTCTTCATAACCAAGTTTGCATAATGCATCTTGTTAAATGTCCTCGAGTCCTGACCTGCATTTAACGTGAGATAATCGACGCATTTGAAACTACGGCAGTGAGTTGAAGTTTCCCATTGGAAAGTCTAGAACGCCATTCTTTGCTTCTGAACATCATTGGGAATAGAGCTACTCAAGTGATCAAAGTCTATGGTGTCACTGTACCAGCATCGACTGCAGAAAATAAGAAAAGGAAAGAAAAAGAAATGGCCCATGGTCCAATGACAAGCAGCGAAAGGATAAGGTTCGTATCCATAGCTGATACCCGTGAATTATTGCAGTAACTTAGTCAGCATCTGCCGCGCAATGCACTCCTCGCAACAAAGCTTGCTACGCTCAACCAAAACTTGGAGGTCGATCTGATTTGGCGCGCGCATAATCTGGGCGAAGAGCACAAATTCTCCACTCGCCGCGATACTCTGCACTCTACCTTCAGCGACCTCACTCTGATGCAGTCATATATGAATCAGTGGCTTGTGGACTGCCATAGTGTGACAAGATATCAAACATTGCTTGGATTACGACGAAAGCTGTCCCAGAAGGACTGGGGCCCGACATATGTACAGCCACAGAGTGGGTCGTCCAGCCGCTCGAATTACAACACAGAGAGTTTCAGCAGGCCGACCGAATTCAGGTTCATATAGGGCAAGGCTGCAGAAGTGGATATCGGGAACATGTTTTGCATGTTATAACCACAAAACAAACCATCTGTGGATGGGTCAACCAGCTATTCTTCACGCACGTCGTCAACTCTCATGGGTCCGATTTTTGTGTCTATGTGAGGATTAATTAATTACAACGACTAACTGTTATTGAAATATCGAGTTAATTTACAAAATATAAAATGCACATATAGACATCTCTGTATGGTTGGATTCATACTGACCTCGCGGGAATACAGGGGACAGCAAAGTATACGACGAGCTGGACAGCGGGAACAAAAAGCCCATAACAAACGGCGTCGCTATACATATACACCTGGAACGATTGACATGCCTGCTGCTGGTTGTTTTATTGCGGCGATGAAAGCTTCGTGAGTGGTGCTATAGAATCACCGAGTTGGCTGTTTTGTGAATTACACCATTTTCAACGCTTTTGAGGTTGAAAGCAGGAAACGCGGTCCAGCCGTAATCGAGGGGGAGAATAGATGGTTAAATGTTCCTTCACTTTTATCGCAACAAGAGTTCAATCATGTGCTTTTTGATTTCATGGATCTGAGTTTTGAATTTTACGTAAATCATCATCAAATGGATGCCGGCCGGTGTTGGGAATTGCTGAGAGACTTTGTTTAGTGATGCGCTTATATTCCCTCATCAAGCAGGAGAGTGAAAGCGAAAGCGAAAGCGAAGAGAGCGGAGACTTGTTATTCACCTTGGCGAGCTTGGCATCCTTTCTGGGTCACTGTGGGGAGTGGGCACTTTATTACCGTACACATGCCACACTTGCCCATCCTAGATTGCGAGTCGTAGCGTTTTGTCCAGAATCAAAGCGGTATTTCCACAAGATCATGTTCCATGACATTCGGATGCCACTCCATAAGGCGGTGGATATACCATCGAATATAGCTTCAAACAGCCAGCAGAACTCAATGTTAGTCATATGTGCTATACTGATTGAAACTCATAAAATGCACACAAAATCATTTTGCAGTCCAGACGGCAGAGTAGCGGTAAAGGTATGACAGTCGGTTTTGAAATGCCTTGAAGAAGCAATACCATGGAACTACATTCGAGTTGGACTGCTCCAAATGCCAACTGAGGGATGATCATTACAAAAGCAACCTGGCGCCGCGCGTCACAAATATAAATTCCCCAGAACTGAGACAAAACCAGACTTGCATTGCTCATGTATTCCCTCAATCTAGGTACTGGCGACTAAGCTTCTTTGCGTGTGCATGACGTCTGAAATTGCCAACTAGATATAAGGCTGGATTGCCATCTCGGCTCGGAGGCCAGGTGCGTTGTGATTATCATTATTCTATAGCTTATCTTAGTGTCTAAATTCCCCGTTTGGGGCTCGCTGGGCAGCCCGTGCAGCGCCGGTACTAGAACGCTACTGGGAATAGGGTCGGTATATTGCACCGTGTTAAATCCGCATTTCACACTCTTCCGAACGGGTGAGGCGAGGGTTGCGTGCGCCCGTGGGGCGAAATGACACAACGTGAACCAAACACTTCCGGCACTTGGTACCAACATGGACATCCAGGTGCTTGTGAAAGTGCGGATAGGCGATTCAATGGAGGCTCTTTGTTATTGAAAATGGCGATCGCCAATTATATGTTTGAATATCTAAATACTTTGAGCCACCCAGCAAAGAGCTAGGACTGTTTTCACGATTCATCCCATGTCTTGACACAGGCCCTCGCAAACATGGCAGACTGGGCTTCTACATTCAAGAAACTGGCCCCGGTGGTCGTGGCAGCTCTGGCGACGGCTCCTGTTGACGCACAGTTATACAATAGCATTGTCCAGACATCTCTTGGTCCCGTTCAAGGTTTCAAATACTTCAACGACTCCAATATTACCGAAACATACTTCAACCTGTCCGACAGCACCGTGACGGCCTTTTTGGGCGTCCCTTTTGCTGCCGATACGGGCTACCAAAACAGATGGAAGCCGGCTCAGCCTCGTGAGCCGTGGAACACCACGTTTGCGGCGACTTCATTTGGCCCCGCATGCCCTACACTCTACGCAGAGGACTATAGCGAAGACTGCCTGAGCCTGAACATTTGGACCAATGCCAACTCCTCCAGCGACAAGCTGCCCGTCCTTGTGTGGAACCAGGGAAGTGATGAGACAAGCGACAATACGTGGTGGTACGGTGGAGGAATGGCTTGTAAGCTTCCGTCACTCTATTAACAATTGCAATTTGAGACTAACAGTGGTTAGTGGAAAATGTTGTCATGGTGACTTTTAACCGTCGAGATGATGTTCTTGGCTACCTGCCCTCCCTGAGCTCAACGCCGAGGGCCTTGAGCTGACTGGCTACAATACCTCGGGCAACTACGGTGTTCTTGATGAGCTGGAAGTCCTAAAGTGGGTGCAAAAGAATATTGGCAACTTCGGAGGTGACCCCGACCGTGTCACCATTGCCGGTCAATCATTTGGATCTGCTCAGGTCTACCATGCCGTGAACAGTCCTCTCTTTAGTGGCTACTTCCACGGTGCCATTTCCCAGTCAGGAATCCGATATCCTTACGATACCCTGCTCGCGGGCCTGGCCACGCAGTATGTTCCCATGGAAAAGGCCCTGTCCTTTGGACTCAACTACACGGCATCGCACAATGTCACGAGCGTGGCCGAGCTACGCAACCTTTCCCTTTCGGACATTTTGATCGGCTCGGCAGACCGCGACACTAGTATCTGGAACATAACCGCCCTCTCCTGCGGAAACCCTCTCATCTTCAAGCCCGCTCTTGACGGTTATGTCCTGCCCATGAAGTACATTGACCAGCTCAAGGCCGGCCCCGCGAATGACGTGCCGCTGATCACGGGCAACACCAAGGATGAAAGCGGTGCTGCTACCACGACTAATTTTACTGTCGACGAGTACACCGAGTACTATACCGAAAAGTACGGCAACCTGTCCTCGCGATACTTTGAACTGTATCCCGTTGACGACAATGCAACACTTGGTGACATGGCGTGGAATGCGGCAGCACGAGACACTTCGCTGGTGAGCTCCTGGGCATATGCCAATGGCTGGATTCAGTCCGCCGAGAGCCCATTCTACACATACTACTGGGACCGTAAGTATTAAATAATTTTACGCCCTCTGATGCGGAATGAAAACTGCTAATGTGATTCTTCATCAGATGCGCCACCGGGTCAGACTGCAGGAGCTTTCCACCAGAGTGAAATCATGTACGCCCTCAATGCTCTCTACGCCAACGGAGATCAGTACCCCTTTACCGAAGAGGACTTGGCAATCGACAAGAAAATGACTGCGTACTGGACCAATTTCATCAAGACTGGAAACCCGAACGGCAACGGCACGTCTGGAGATCTTGCTCATTGGTATCCCAATGATGGTACCAGCAACTATGTGATGCATCTGGGAGACGGTTGGGGTAATCACACTCTTGCCAAGCCTGAGCAGGTGACTTTTATCATGGATTACTTTGGCCAGCAGGTCCCATACTAGGTAGTTTCGTGTACAAGTAGATGAGTCTACGGTTCGAATAAATATCAGAAGACTGCATTGTTCATTGACTGAGTATTTTACATAACGCATTAATGAAGATTGGTAAACTCTGTTCTGCCTTACTCGATACCAAGATGATCTCATCACCACCATGCTGTGAACACCTTAAGGTATGGCTCAATTAGCTCCAGCGTAAAAGCGCTGTCACCACTGACGCCAACCGGCCCTAAAAATGAAGGCCCAAATTCAAACCCCAGCGACGTTGACCACGAAATGAGTCTTCATGCTAGGTGATGTGGTATTCAACAAAAAAGCCGCGTCACTTCAGCGGAGGCATCGTGTGTTTCCCTTGTCTGAATGAGCAAAACCATGTCTACAAAACATCGGCGATAGGAATGAGATGCTCGGATCTGGAAACGAAACAAAGAAACAAACGGCCAGGGGTCTTTCAACGAGCTGCTGGTCCCGCCGCCCCGGCCATATTTTAGGGTGGGATCGGCCCCGGACAATGCTGCAAGGGGAGCATTGTGGGGAGCGTTGTGCTTGCGTTCAAGTGCCGAACCAGCCGTGCTAGCGACGTCACCCCACTGTATGCATTACAGGTATAGAAGGTCAAGGTAGGGCCTGGGCAGCTCAGTGGAAGTCCCATCTGCCCAAAGTCGTGGGTGATTACGAGAAGATTTGTCTTTTCTTCTTTTCGAACCAGAAATCATGAGCTAGCTACTGACAAGCTTTTGTATCTGCTGTCAATCTGAAGCTATAACTGCTAAGCTTTCTTGTCTGGCAACTGGGGCCTCAAAGTTATAGTATCCTGGTCCCCTTTGTGGAGATCCAAGTAATGAGAAACTTTTCATAAGCTGTCAGTTTTCTCCGCACAGAAGTACCGATCAGATAACTGTGATCATAAATGTCTCCCGCTGTGTGCTCCGATAGCTCCGAGATGACCCACGTCACTATGGTTAGATCACTTGTGTTTCAAGTTACCATGAAAATGTGCACAGTGCAGTGCGCGTCAATATGCGGGGACAAAGTAATCCTTAACTTTTGACTTGGCCAGTAAAGGGGCGGCGGCGGGGCGATTACCAAAAGAAGGAATATTGGCTTTGAATCAATTGGCGCTGGGTCTGTACACAGAATGGATCTAGGTTAGTATGATCTGCAAAACTGATCCTAGATTATTCTCATGTCCTATATAAGTACGTGATGGTTCCTGACACTAGTATAACAAGTACTTGTATCCTGCCGGCGCCAGCTACAAGACGTTGGTACACCCCAAACGCAACGTCCTTGTTCCAGCCCGAGTCCTCGGGAACCCTCGTCCCATTACAAAAAATGGCTGCATTCACAAAGACCGTATTGCTGGCCTCGGTCCTGGCAGCTTCGGCGTCGCTCGTTGCCGCAGACTCGTCCTGTGACACCAGCGCCCTCAACACCACCACGGGAACCTATTACATTGCCCAGGAAAACACCACCATCTTTGACGTCGCGGCGGCAACCAACCGCGGAGTATGCGATATCGGCCGCGTCAACTGCATGGCCGACGTCACCATTGTCCCCAACGTGGGACAGAACATCGTGATCCCGCCCGAGGTCTGCGAGCCCGACAATGACTCGTGTCTGCTGCCCACCACGCCGTCCAACAATACGTGCGTCAACGGCGGCCCGCGCCTGTACTACACGGTCAACGGGGACACGTATGAACGCATTGCCCAGCGCCTCAACATCACCGTCGACTCGCTTCTCAATGGAAACGCGTCCGCGACCGAGGTGCTACCCGTCGGCCAGTTTGTCAAGGTCCCGCTTTGCGAACCCAGTCAATGCATTTTGCAGCCCTACCAGTTCACCTACGGCGTGTACAAGGACCTGGCCGAAAAGTACGGCAGCACCGTGGGACAGATTATGATGCTGAGTCCCACGTACAACTATAGCGAGTACACCTTGAACGGCAATGTCGCGCCGACCATTGACTTGCCCATCAACTGCACAGCGCTGTCGAAAAATGTCACTGTCATTTCTTAACTGACTGGACTGTGCCGGAGTTTAAGGTTGCCATGAAGTTTATACCATTTGCAAATCTTTTGGGGTAAATAGTGGTAAATAGTTGAACAGCTTGGAAAATTTGCAGAATATATGAATATGGCCCAGACAAATGATCAACTAGGCAGAACAAACTAATTGATGTGAATTACGCATTGTATGGTATAGCCCAGGTATGTGTTATGCCAGGATAAACCTTCTCAATGCATACTCTCTTTTATACCCTGCGAACCACACTTTCCGCTTCTCATGCGTTCCATACCTGACCCAACATGATTACACACACTTGGGATTCGCTCCATCCCTCGTCCCCCAAGAATTCATCTAATGCAATCCGTATTTGTTGATGGCAAGCCTTGATCATGAGCCATCATTCTAATCTGATGTCTGTGCTTATAGTGGCCAGAATGGAGTTTGGCTCTCTTGAAATGGTTCCTGATCTACGTAGCACTCATACGACTGCGGGCTGGCTGACAGAGATTGAGAGGGTATGCACCCTTCGCGGGATTCATCGCTGTTTCAGCTTATGGAAAGCTATAATGTCACCAGGGCCACGAAGAGATCGTTCCCCAGTTCTCTGATACCTCGGAAGTAATTTTCACATCTCTGTCAACGGAGTTGATGGGAGATCTGTAGTATGCGTCCACTAAGTGGCGCATTTCATGAAAAATGGCAATCAAGTATATCGGATGCTGATACAATGAAGTATACTTTATCAGAAAATTCAAGTTATAGCAAAGTATAAGCAGACATCAACTGCGAGAAGTGGGAGTAAGTACATGGGAACGAAAATAATAGTTTCGCTCTATCAACAATACTTCCACTAGGCAAGAATCGTTGCAAAGGTATGGCCAGCCGTGAGTGGATGCAAACACATGATGTAGCTGCAACTCCGTTCTTGTTCTTTTTTGCGCTGCTTGGATCTCCACCACCAATCTCACCAAGCTTACCAGGAGCCGCCGAATAGTCATAAGAGCCACAGCATCTTCACAATCGCGAGACCAGTCTCGTGATAAGCCATGGCATTCCCAGTGCAAGCACGGTAGCCGACCGAAAGGGGCACAAAGGCACTTCGCAAAAGGCTATTTGTCTTGCTCGCTGACTAGCCAGCCTTCGGGCTTAAAGGCAAAGGAGTCAGGGTAGCATTCTTCATTGCAATGCATGACATAACAATTGATACCAAACTGCACGCTCTTTGGGATGAAGTGACAGTCAATCACAATGGGTTCATCGTTCTCAGCTTCTTCATTCACCTCGTGCCAGAACGTGGTGGCAGGTGGGTGTTTGCGAGGATTTTTGACATGAAGATAGTATTCTGTTGATGCATTTGTGGCCCAAAGTCGGTCATGAAGCGATCCGAGAAACACGTGGTTTTGAGATGTTAACTATTGCACCGCATCTATCATACTCTTTCACGGATAGTGGTCACATAATCCTGTGCACCATACACCAACCTTATTTACAGATCTTCTGCATGTTTGACCCATTTGTTGCTGCTCGACAAGAGTGATACTGCCATTTACTTTGACGATATGGGACCAGATGCGTGCACTCTGATTTCCTCCATTGGCTCTCGAAATTCCCAGCCTGGAGAAATCCAGTCGAGTAAATACTCAGCGCAACGGGAAACAAAGCATAATAAATCAAGCGAGAATGAAAGCTCTAAAAGCGGGCGATGATCTGAAAAGTGGGAGCGCAGCCCCGATTATCAAACGGCTCTTCAACAGCTTGACTCTTTCAAGGCAAGGTAGCAAGTCTCTAATAGACACTACCAATAGGTAATGGCACTAAGAGTTACCAGCATCATAGAGTGCGGGTTCTAAATGGATCTAGGCATGAGGCTCGTAACTTGACCAATCGCTCGTAGCCTGACCAATCACTCGCATGCGGTACCGGAATCCCATCGTGCCCACATGGGCCGTGGTCCGGCTTTACAGACGCCGAGACTCCGTCGCATCGCTTCCGTGCACAGTAAAGAGTTGCAACAAATTATAGATTGATAAAGAAACAACGCCGGAATTCCCATCTTTCAGCTAGGCCGGAACACAGTTTCAATCGTCGGGCGCGGGCCTTCGGGGTTTATTCAAATTGCGGCTTCGGTATTTACTCAAGTGCGGAAGTGGGGAGCTAGCTTTTGCGTGTCTGTAGACTCTTAGAATGATGTTAGCGAAAGGGGCATCATGAATCAGTCATTCGAAACTCTCATATTAAATACAAGTCGATGCCGCGTAGGACGGGACAGATCTCTTTGGCAATAGAATTACCCGATTCGACACCATGGCGACCATGAGAGGCTGGCAATATACGGCAATCGGGGAGTTGGAATCGCAACTGCAGCTCGTCACAAATCTTCCCAAACCCTCTCCGGCGACACTCGGCCAAGATCAGGTTCTCGTCAAGAGCCTCTACGCCAGTATCAATCCTGCCGATCGCCTGGCTTCAAACCTTGGTGTCTACACCAAATATAAGATCGGCCTTCCTGCAATCCCCGGCTATGACTTCTGTGGCCTAGTCGAAGCCATTCATCCCTCGAACACGACCTTGAAAACCGGCGATCTCGTATTTGGGTGCCTAGGGTATCCAGTCAAGCACGGCACGCTGTGCGAATACTTCATCGCCCCCACGACATGTTGTGCTCGCGTTCCCGATGGTGTCAAGGCTGAAGAGGCAGCAGGGCTTGGATCGGCTGCCGTCACCGCTTACCAAGCTCTTGCACCATTTATAAAGAGTGGGCAGAAGGTCTTCATCAACGGTGGTAGCGGAGGCGTGGGAATGTTTGCTATACAGTTTGCAAAGATGCTGGGTGCCGAAGTCACTGCTACATGCTCGACCAAGAATGTTCCACTTTGTCAAGAGCTCGGTGCGACCACCATTGATTACACCCAGGTCAATCTACTTGACGTTTTGAAGCAAGGCGGCCAGGTATACGACCATGTGGTCGACAATGTTGGAACGGCGCCAGAGCTATATCAACAAGCCCATCTTTACACCAATACGGACGCCAAGTACATTCAGATCGGAGGCGGAGGCGAGATTTCCGCTGCACAGCTTCTCAAAGTTGCCCGAAATCTGGTGCTTCCCAGTTTCCTAGGAGGTCTAAAACGAGCCTATCGGGTTTCTATTCCCACGGTCAAGTCGGAGGAACTGGCTTTTCTAGCAGACTGGGTAGCCCAAGGAAAGGTCAGAATTGTGATTGATCAACAATTCACTTTTGAAAATACTGTTCAGGCTTTTCAAAAGCTAAAAACTGGCCGAGCCAGAGGAAAAATCATTGTTTCGATTTCATAGCGCTTGACAATTCACCTTTTGGGCAAAGAGAACAGGATTGGAGGTAATAATAGAAAACATTATATCATTCGCTTAATATTATTAATAGATTCGAGGGGTTATGATACGAACTTGGACTTCAGTTGTCAAATTTCCGCACTTTTGTAAGCATAAACATAACAAAAGGGCGCGTCAATCGTAAAGCCTAACTCTCCAATAGTCTTTGCATCTGCTAAGAACCCAATACTAATACTGTTGTTTGGTTCTATGATTAAAGTTAAAAAACTTGATTGTCACATCTGGTAATATAGCTAGAGGACGCACCCCGAGACAACCAATTCTAGGTCTACACTAGATCTAGGGCTATCAGTTCCAACTCGCCCAACGGCCGCACCACGAAATTGGAGTCTTTCCCATGCCTTTGATACTCGAGACACATTGGGTACGACCTCGCATCCATAGAAAAGAGGCCAAGAATCTCACCATCCATGCTCATCTTGATCAACTCTTTGCGTCGGTCCGACGTCTCAAATATCGTGCATCTCCAGTAATTCTCTGAAGCCACGTCATAGAACCAGCCTAGCATCTGGAGCATCGATGGAGATACGGTTCTGACACCAGTCAGATGATTTCCTTTCATAAGAATAAGCGAAACCTCATCCGGTCGTACAGCTCCACAACAAAATTCTTGTCTGACGCTCATCTTGACCGTTTCCATGCAGGTTCGGTACTCTCTCACAGTCTCTTGCCTTTTCAAACGATGCAAGTCAAGACATAACTGCCGGCAACCTCTGGATGTCAAGTCTCCGATCAGCCATCGTCGATATGCAGCAGTCGACTTGTGATTCATTCGCGAGGTCTCAAATGGTGCTAACCAGGCACCAGTGGGCGACCCCTCCAGTAAGTCGGTCGTGTCGACGGATAGTATTGCCTCCACAATGCTTGAGATGATTTCACTCCAACAGGCATCGACCAGATGATCAATGAAAGTTTTCTGCGTTCCTTCGGGTAGACTTGCGTCCTTAAGAATGAAAGAATTGACAACGCTTTTGATGCTTCGATTGAATGACGCAGCGTCGCGACTTGCATCATTAGCGATTGCATCCCGCAGCTCGGGCAATTTCCACAATTCCTTCTCGGCTCGATCGAATGCCCTGATGATCCGGTCATGAGAATCGAGTTTTTGGATCTTCCAGTCTTCGAAATGGCTGATTCGATTGACGAGCTCAGACTCGATTCGCTCGACAATTTCTTCCAAATCATCCAGCTCGGTCCGTTCAGCTTCATCTTCATCTTCTTTGATGACTCCGTACAAGATTTCTTCGAGGTATTCTTGGAGGTCCTGGTTTCTTTCTAGAACTCTCTTCTTGATAGGGGCCCGGGCATGTCTTTGCTGCTGTCGAAGCCGGATCAAATCCCTAACCCTCTCTGCAGCCCCTGCTTGGTGCATCCGAAGACGTGTATCAATCGCCTCCCATTTCTCTTCGAGTTGACGCAAAACACGGAACTGCTGGATGCGCATATTCTCATCTCTAAGACGTTCAAGCTCTCGTGTATCCCTGCCGTATGAGTCTTCTGTGGGCGGAGCTGGAGCTTTGGGAGGATTTCGCCTTGAGACGGTTCCATCAGTGTCCTCACTGCGTCTGCGCTTTCGCTCTTCGCCATCCGACTCGCTATCACTGTTATTGTCTGGCCCTCCGCCTGCTTTACGACCTCTCTGTGGTCTTTGTCTTTGAAACGTTGGCGGCGTTCGTGCAGTGCGGGGAGTCGGAGCAGGTTGTGCGGCCACTACTCTGTTTGATGTTCGAGTAACAGTGCCGGCGACATCACGACAGCCTGGGACAGGCGCCTGGATGAGTAGAGGGGGCGACACTTCTTTGTCCACATGCTTTTCAGTCGCAAATGTTGTTTTCTTCTTTGCTTTTTGGTTGAGAATATGAGACTCTCTAGACTCATTCGAGCCTTCCGTGTTGACTTGTGTTAGATCCATTTTTTGAGTAGTTGCTTGCTGCTGAATTGCATCGCTTCTTTCGCCGGCCATGTCATTAAGTTGAGGTATTTGAGCTGGAGGCCTCGCTGTACATGATCTCAATTTGATGACTTAAGAATCTGAGGGATTCCGCCAGTATTTCAAGGCAATTGGTGCGCGCACCGCAGGCGTGGCGGGCAGTCATTCGTCAATTGTTCACGCAATCCGGTGGCAGTGCAAAGAGGGTGAGGGGGGACCCTGAGTGGAAGGAAGCCTCGGAGTCTGCCTTGTGCCACCCTGCCCAAGGACCTGCACAATCCCCATCGTCTTGTCTACCATTATTGTTCCTTCCGAGCTTGCTGTGCCTATTGTCTGTGAAATCTGAAGGAGGTAGCATATGATCAAGAGATAAGAAACCAATAGTCAATAATTACCCGCGTATCAACTCTGGAGTATATTTGCTACCTTTTTTCTTCTTCGTCAAGTCAGGTAATGGCATTGGGCTAGCGCCGTCATGTATCGCCAGGGGCTCCATCGCCAGGGTTTAGCGCCTACGGAATGCAATGGGGATTTACCAGACCCCTACCACTATCTGCTATGTTGTGGGGTACCAAACCTGCCAGGTTATGAAAAGAGATGATAGCCTAGACTCGAGACGGGGAACACTCGGATCTTCTTTAATAATTTCCTGGCTTTTCAGCGCTCCCTCACTGTCTATCAAGCTTGTTTGTTGGTGGTTGTCGTAGCTATCATTTTCCCACTCGCTGTACTTGGAATTGCTGATAACCCCACCATGGCAGCGCAGTTTCCAGCGCACATTGACCTGAACACCCTCCCCGCAGACACGGGACCCACGAGCGAAGAGGTGCAGCGGAAACCATGGAAATTTGTTGGTTATCGAGGATACGCGGATTTTATAGCATCAGACGATGACTTTTACATGCTTCGTCGTTTTAATACGTTACATGTTCGGGTATCTCTGAGTTATCAAGATAGGATCGCTGCGCTCGAGGAGCAGCTCACAGAACTGGACGCAGAATATAGTAGGAGAGAAGCTGAAGACGTGGATAATGGAACATTTCGCCATGACCAAGAAGATCGCCAGGCCTTGCTGGACAATATTGGTGAGGCGCTTTATCAATATAGTAAGAAGAAAGCCCCAAAAAGTCTACCAATCTTGTCAATGGCGCTCACTCTTCTAGACAGGCTGGTGCTGCAACAGTCAGAACTAAGAAAGCTTCCTCCTGCCCTCAAGAAAGACGTCAAGAGTGTCAAAAACTGGCATTTCAACCACGACCATGCGGCAGTCGCGGCAGCTGAGCAAAAATATCTGGACCACGAAGCTGATCTGTTCTCCATGGCCACTACCAAAGGAAGAAGCCCGTTGCGGCAAGTCATTGACAGCTCTCTTCGTCTAAGAACCCTTGGATTGTGGAGCGTCGAGAAAGCAAATAGTGCAGTACCAGCTTACGATTCCGGAAATATCTCATATTATTCGGATAAGCGCATAGACGCTTTCGTATCAGGCTTGATTGTGCTGATTGGCATCACCATGCTCATCACGCCAATTTGGATTCTGCAAAGTCTAAATAGCATGCAATCAAAACTGTTTGTCATAACAGTTTTCATCCTTGTATTTCTTCTCGTCTTATCTTTGGCTATGGTGGCGAAACCATTCGAGGCCTTGGGAACGACGGCAGCGTAAGGATCAATACACTTGATGACTGACTCAAACTAATATTATCACAGCTATGCTGCCGTTTTAATGGTATTCATACAATTCGGTTCCGATTAGTACGCTGTATGGTAACCAGCGCGCTTTTGGAATGCATTACTGGGTAGCTGGCAGTCACATTCCAAGACTCATCGGAGACCTTGCTCTCCAAAGTTTGTGAGAATGGACAGACATATCGGGAGCAAAGGTTTGATTGACACTTCACCTTTTCGGTAAATAGAAGAGGATTGGAAGCAGTAAGAGAAATATTATGTCATTCGCTCTATATTAGGGGTCGAGTCTCCGCTATCGCCTAAGCATATATGTAACAGAAGGGCCCGTCAATCGTAGAGCTCAATTCTCCAATAGTCATTGCATCTGCTAAGAACCCCATGTCGACAATCGTTTCCAAAGTGCCGTTGGCGGATGGAGGTGCTATATCGAGATTAGCATATGTCTCTTGCCAGCAACGTATACGCCAAACAAAAAGAAAGAAAGAAAGAAAGAAAGAAAACTTACAATCTCTGATTGTCAGCGTGTCCGAGACCTGCTTTGTCCTCACATCCTGATCAAGTCCCTGCCATAGACTCCAGATGCGATCAATCTGAGCGTGGTGAAACAGAAAGTAGGGATCCTGCGCGCTGGCCCAAAGGTCATCTTGTAAGCCTCCGATAACTGTATGGCCGCTGCCATGCATGCCACCCTGCAAAGACTCTACAACGTCGGTGTGGCTCTGCATATCGGGCTGGATCATTGCGTTGGTGACGTTGTCATAGGACAGATATTGTTGGATATACCATTCGCGAAAATCGCGGGTAAGGCAACGCTCGTTCAACTGCAGGCCATCCGAGATTGGTGCGCCATGAGGACCGAGCGAAACGGTGAAATTAACAAAGGGTCCAGAAGTGATACAGCCACCACCGGAACCCGAAGTGACTGTGATGTTGATGATGTCCGGAGTGGGAATATAGATGAATGACGTGTGGTTCGTTGCGACGCCGTTACCAGATATGGATGTGTCGCTTCCGTCAAATAGAGGGTGCTCGGATATGGTGTCAGTAGAGGACCAATCCCAATATGGCTGGGTGCCGGTGTAGCCACATTCGTCACGCAGGGCGCTTTCGTACAACCATGTGTAGTATCGATGCCATGTGAAGAAGTAACTCGTCCAGTGGATCGTGGAGGTTTTGTTGACGTGCAGGGCGCCAAAGTCGTCGAAACGGCTACGAACTCCTGGTGCCGCAGATGCAGGCGTAATAGGCTTTGCGTTCATGAGGCATTTGACAGCGTCAATGTAGTCTAGTCTCTCCTCCGAGGTCAGAGTTGCCCTGAATGTCGATCAGTATCACTGAAGTATTTTATTCGGGAGTTCTTTAGGCGACGACAAACCATTCTTTGCGGACAAGTACGTTTTCGGATGTACATGAACTCGAAGACGATCTACCAGCCAAGATAGCTTGTATATTTTGGGTGGAATTCTGGACAAGTGCATCCAACGTGCTGTTTGTGGACGCTGTAGTCGTTTCAAACAGAATCGATATGATGGCACAAGATAGGGGGATTATTGACTTCATGGCTGCGTTGTGGAAAACTAGATATCGAGATTACTAATTCCCTTAGGGTGTCAGATGAGAAAGGTCTTGCTTGTAGAATTTGTCCAGTTCCAGGCCTTACTGAGGGTTGAATAACAGTTTATATATGAAAATGTATCTGTTCGTGCCTCCCAGGCCAGCGCCGGATTCCATAATGACTCTTGCACGTGCCTACCACTCATTGCTGATGACAAAGCCTCCATTGCGTGCCAAGATATGATATGCGAATGACTTGGAAGAGATTATTAACATGTAAATAAGCTCATTGACACTCCACAATTAAAGGTCAAAACTAGAATTGTATGCATCTCGGTCAGACTATCTACGACCTGCAGCATATTGCAAGGAATCCATTTAGTTGAATCCCACGATATAGACGATTCAAGGGCAAATTCGTAGCTGCAAGCGATCCACTAACGTTGCAACGTCTCGTATCATAAGCAGGAAGCGGAACCGAAATTCAGGTACTAGCCTGCTACGCAGTAAATTCCTTCAGACTAGCCTGAGCCCGGTATAGTGCTCCCGCTTTTACGCTATATATTAAGCATATCGCGGCACTTATTACCCGGTTTGCGCTTGCACATGGCGACGGCAGGGGTCAGATACCCGGCACTCGGATGCATCGCACCCATCACTTGAGAATCTAGATGCCAGACCGCGATTCACGAGCTGCATGAACGACAACGGTTACACCGATGTACCTCGGGACGTAAGAGGCTGAACTGGAATCCCTGACTTCTCATTACTTACTAGACTGCCCAGATCGTAATTGTCTTCATGACCGGCAGCAGTTTGCCACGCGTTATATCACCTTGTAACGCTTGAGTTTGGTGCAGAGCATCCCACTTTTGCGATATGGCTCAGCGGTGGTTATACAAAGTAGGCCAAGTTCCCGCTCCCTGTCAAGTATTCGACCGAGCTCCTATTCATATGGGGCAGATTAGTTTTGCCGCAAACTCGCAGCCAAAAATTGCACAACTGGCATACACTGAAGCCACCTATAAGTGGAGATTCACTGTACATCATACTGTGTATACAAAACTAGATCTCACCCGTCTGACCATAGTATAGCGACGCAACGCCACTGGGCAGCTCGTCTAAAGCAGTGAGAGCTGGGGAATTTATTACACCTTCCGTGGTATATAGTGAACTAAACTTGGTCTAATATGATAGGGAAGATATAAAGAAACGAATTTGTGTGCACGGCAAGAAGTAGTTCGTGCCGCGGCCCGGACTTTGCCCATGGGCAATGCCCGGGCGCTAACTAGGTACATAGTATGTGCGGCTCGGGTGGACCGGAGTGAACCCATAAACGAACGATATCTTCAACGTTCCCGGCCGAGCATGAAATGTAGCTCCTGGTGCTACGTCCTGTTAGAAGTGTCTGCCAGAGCCGTAGAGATTAGACTGTTATACAATTGACTGTATTGCAAGCACCGAATTCTCGTGACAGTCTAACTTATATAAAGTTACAAGGAAAAGGTACCGAAGAGCTTTCTAGAGCTACTTAGGATATTTCATTTTGCTGAAGTCAACTATTCTGCTGTCATCCATTGCGTGGTCAAAATTCATCTGAATCTTGTGTGCCCCCACCCTTACTGGGGGTCACCGTGGCGCATCGCAAATAATCACTATGCGACCTGGAAGTCTAGATAGAGCTTTGCAGGGTTCACAGATATTAGGATAATCATTTACCCACAGACGATGAGCTCACGTAATCCGATCTAACCCCGATCGAAGTAATCCAAAATATGTCGCTTAGTGTTACGAAATGGCCAAGACATGGTGCTCGACTAAAAAGTCCCACTAAGGCTTGATCCAACATCATCAGTACAATTTGTCTGGACAAGATATCTTCAAGTTTCCTATGCTCTAATAGTGTTGCGTATTTCAACATACATCACTTCGTGTCCTTCAACTACCCGATGGCCGGGCATGAAATCTGCCTTCAATCCATCCAGGGCATTATCGAAGTGTGACAACCTCTGCGTTTTGTCCAAGACTCTGGAGGAACCTTGTTTTTTCCGTCATCGGCTTTCTGCGAGTGCCGATGAGATCAAGAGATGAGTTATTGCCGGGCCTTGGTTACCCACAAAACAGGCAAGTGGCGGATTGGTACCACGTTGAGCCTGAAGCCATCTGTTCCGGACTGCGAACGTTGCTGAATAAGGCCTGTACGTTTGCTCGTTCCCACCTCGTTTAGGTACCATTGGGACAACCCGGTATGAGAATAGACTTTATTTACCTTGAGCATATTGATAAGTGAACCTTCCCGCTTGGTCGAAAGTTTTAGCTCATTTCCAATCGAAGCATGACTGTCATTGTTTTCTGGCATGTTTCTTAATTGGATCCAACCATTCTGGTGCTTATTTGCATCAAAGAATTCGTCGGCATTCTGATTTTCCGGTAAATACCTCGCGTGTAGTTTCGCGTTATACCCAAAAGTTGTGGCGGAATCTTGATTTTTGGGCAAATGAGTATGAGAAGTAAAGAGGCAAAATCGTGGTTCAAGACGTGAAGAGTTTCCTTCATGTTTCCTCTCACAAGAAACCTACCACAATGGTTGCATTGTAAGCAATTGTAACATAGGCATGGATTGTCGAAAAGCATACCGCTTCAGATAGCACCGCATAAATCTTCCAGTCCTTGCAAGAGTCCCTTGTCGGCAAGGGGATGGTCTGTCTGCATGGAGGCCCCGATGTTAGCTCTACCAGACAAGTTGTAATCGCTTTTGTTTAGCCGCTGGATGCAGCAAAGATCTTTCAGCTGCTGATATCATCTTTGGCATGTAGCACAGTAATGAAAATGTCAAAGTTACTTTGACGACTGTTGCGATTACTTCTGGGGACATTGCGCCATTTATGTTGAATGTTTATGAGTGTGTAATATTTGAGCAGCTAAATAATTATCGGAACGCGGAAAGCACGAGGGATCTGAGAAGATTTGGGAGGTTGTATTGATAGATGAGCTCAGAGCTGTCCTGGCATGGAACTCAATACTATAATGACCACACGATGGATATTGAGATGAGTTTATTATTTCATCCAAAGAATTCATTCTTCTTCATTGCGTTCAGAACATTTACAGCAACCACAGTTTTATTTGCCCCTCCCTTTCTCATGGTGCGGCTCAGCTTAGCGCCATAAGGCCGAGAACTCCAGATATCACTGTAACAAGTAACACAGCTTGCTACCACATTAACATTGACTGTATGCAGAGATGTCTGTTTATCAAGAATGAGCGAATCAAAGATCTCAGGGGCGTAGACTGAAGTGATTCATAAAATGCTACTGAGTCCTACCAATAGCCGAGATATGATGCAAAGGTAATCATATAACCAAAGCTTTATCAAATGAAGTTTCTCCAGACAACACTGTTAGACTAGCGCCAACTCAACATACATGACTTCATGTCCTTCAACCACTCGCGTCGTAGGGATCATGTACACTTGCAAGTCGCCCATAGAGATTTTGAGATGTGACAAGGCTTTTGGTTTACCCTCACCTTTGAAGAAATTGCTGACGTGGCTATATTCTTCATTCGCGCTCCGGAACGACCATTGAACGGGGATTACCCGTACCACCTCAAAAAGGTAATAATAAGTTTCATGCCCATCACCTGCGGCAACCCAAAACACGAGAAGGACATCGCAAAAGCTCTCAGATCCATTCACCTTCTTGTCTTGTAGGTATTGTCTAGAAAAGCCAATATGAAAGGCGACCTTTTTGGCCTTCATCGCGTCAATAGCCGATATTCTCCTTTGCGTCGAATGCATCAGTCCATTCGGCAGAGTGGAATGCAACTGCAATTGGTTTGGCATATTTCCTAGGTAGATTGAACCAACCTGGTGCATATCAGGGATTGCAATCATCTGCGATCTCTCGGCATATCGCTCTATGATGATGTGGTTGTCGAATTGTGGCATGGAAACTTGAAAGAGGCTATAAGGACTGAACCTGAGGTAAGTGTTGGCTCCAATGCGACGGGCCTGAATCGCGATTGGGTGCAAGATATCTTTGCGATAACATTTGATCGCCACCAAAGGCCGTTCATCTTGGCTCTCCAGCCCACAATTCAGAGATATTCGTCCATTCCCGAAGAAGGTTGTCGCGCTCTTGTTGTCTATCCCAAAAGTTTTGATGTCGCCACAAGTAGCGAATTCTTTTGGGCATTTGGCGTATAAGCCACGATAAGGGAAATTCATGGCGGATTGAAAGTCTGCACACCATGCAAACAAGCTATCATCTTGAGTTTGACTCATGATCTCACTTTGAAGTCGAAGAAATGCCTTCTCGCCTTCTCCGTAAAGTAAGGGCATATTAACGTCAAATATGCCCAAAAGGCAGTAGGCTGCATCTTCTGTCCGACTCGTCTCTCGATTCGCTGCCCAACTCATTCGTGCAGCGACACTGACCGTATCGAGTGCTCTTTGACCCCACAGGATTGTCCTCGGAATACCTGTGACGGCTTCAAGTCTGAGACCCATCTTAACTTTTGTGCCTATTCGAGTCCAATTTCTTCCGTAAAAGACGACTTTCTCCGGAGCAAGAAGCTCTTGCAGCGTCCATCCCCTATAGAACCACCTGCAATTCTTCAGGTCGCTCGATCGAACAGAGCCAATTGCATAGAAATCGGCCAAATACGCGTAGCAAATGTCCGCCTTCTTGTACCATCTGTACATTGAGTTGATTGCTTCACTCAACTCGGCGCTACTGTCTTTATTGATACAACAAGTATCAATCCATGCATATCGTAGACCGTCATTTCGGGCCTGCTTGCAAGTGTACCGTATTTTGATGAAGCCTGCCTTGTTCTTGTATGTCTCACCTCGGTTTCCAGAGAGGTCTGCGAAAGTCACCTCTTCGGTGCCCCAGGTGTGGGATAGGATCGCATAGCGCACAGGACATTCTCCAATAAAGTATTCGAGCTTGAGGGTGTATGTGTTGATCAAATACATCGTACTTAACGGTAACCGTTCGCTCCTGTATAACGAGCGATTGTGTGAAATCAAATTCAAAATTGAGATTGTCTGGAAGCGGGGTTGAAGTCGACACGAAAAGCACTGGCCCAAGATGTTGGCAACCGACAAATTACGATGCGGCGGGTATGCACCTGGCCCATGACGAACCAGTCAGATTGCACGCTCAGGTTGTACAGACTTCAGAATATGCACCAATAGTTTCGAAGTTGAATGGCGCTGCGCCACGATTCTCTGCCATAACGTCTGGACGCTGACCCTCCACCTACCCAGGTCATTTTTTACTGAGTATTGATTTGATCAGGGGCAAGCCCGAAATGACGTTATCGTCGGGATCGTTGGCAATTTTTACTGATTCGGTATACTAGGTATGCTAGCACTAACACTCGCTATAATCTCACGGCGATGATCTAGTCTCGGAGCTAAACTCCAGCGCCGGAGTCGACTATAAATGCCGTGACGGAGGCGGCGTAAATCATTAAGTACCGTAGGCGCGCCGGGTGTACCAAGCTCTATGATTTCGGCAATACGGCCAATTTTAAGCGCTTTCGGACCCGAAGCATCGAACAATATTTAAAGTGAGTACGCCATCCCAAAACACAGACGCGAGAGCATTTATTTGTAGACCTCCTTCCTTGTGACATGGACTGTTCTTCCGGTCTAATCCACTCTGAAAAGACAGACTCACAATTATCGCGACAATGAGGGAGGAAACATTCAGGTCATACACACAGGCGCAAGGAGAATCTTACGCGACAGGGCGTCCGGGTTATTCTCCAAAGCTCTTTCAAACCATCATCGATCACCATGTTGCCACGGGTGGCGAGCTCGGCCTTGTCGTCGACGTTGGCTGCGGTACTGGCCAAGCGACGCAGAGCCTGGCTCCCTTCTTTGCTCAGAGTATCGGCCTCGATCAATCAGAGGGCATGATTAATTCGGCGCGTGCTTCCATCAAGTCGCCCACCACATCTCTGCGTTTCGAGGTCTCAGCCGCCGAACTCCTGGGCGCGGATCTGGAGAGCCCAATTGCCGAAAACAGCGTCGACCTGCTGACTGCCGCTACAGCAGCTCACTGGTTCGACATGGGCGGCTTTTGGCGTCGCGCAGCACGTGTGCTCAAGCCAGGAGGCACCGTCGCGCTGTGGGCAAGAACACGCGCTTCAGTGAACCCGGTCTTGACACCAAACGGCGCTGCCATTCAGACCGAAATGGATAAATTTATCCGTGAGGAAATAGGGCCCTATGCCGTGGTCGGGAACTCATTGACGCGCAATCTCTACATTGACCTGCCGCTACCTTGGGCTCTTGGTCCTCCTGCAACAGAATTCGACAATGAGACTTTTTACCGAAAAGAGTGGAACAAGGAGCTAGATGGTCTGGGGTCTGATGACATGGGCACGTCAATGACACTCAGCACCAAGGAATTTGAAATGGCAACGGCGACAAGCAGCTCTGTCACGAGATGGAGAGAAGCACACCCTGAAGAGGCTGGGACCGAGGAAGACGTGGTGAGAAGAATGACAAGGCGTATAGAGGGCCTCTTGCACGAGGCCGGGGTCAAGCCTGGAGAGGAGTTCATTCACGGTGAAGTGGCAATCATTTTGCTGATGGTGAAGAAGCGATCATGATCAGGCTTATTCGCCCCATGCCTGCCGTCACCTATCTATAGAGAATTTTTATGTGCCGACATTGCAATAATTCATATCGATTTTCACTCGATCATTCTGACGTCATTCACAATATGGTCGCATTGCGCCAGCTATCGCCTGGCACGGGCAAACCGAGACATTGGCCGGTAAAGTTCACCACCGTGAAATGGCCGTGTGCATAACTAAAGATGTAAGGTTCTATAGATTCAATATGGCTATTTACATAATACCATATTCTCAGATTTCTTTTTAAGAAAGAATTTGTGGAATGTCACGGGTTTGAAATTATGGAAATCTATGATTTTGAAGCATTCTATAGATTTCCCACTATAAATCAGTGGAGCCCCCCTAAAGCCCGGATTTTAGACCGCTATAGCCCACATTCAAAATATTGCGCCGTATTCTCCGAGGTGTGATACGATTTGTGTTGATCAAGGTGGTGCTTTCCTATTGGAGTTTAAACTGGTCTGATATTGGTGTCAATTGTGTGATGTATTGATCTATGTTCTGCGCCTCTTAGTTTTGATGAGGTGTACGCTTATTTGGGTGGCCCCGGCTAATCCCCGGGAGGTCCCGTACATCTATCTGGACTCCATGGCGTTGATCCGTGTGCTCAAGCACACCCCAGTGTATGGGAACCATAATCCACCATCTGACAATTTGCTTACAGCCTGAAACTCTACAAATCCTTTTGATTTTAGAAATCTAGAAATCTAAAAAAAAGTAAAAATGTTCAAAATTACGTATTCACGCGAACTGAAAAAAGTGCATATTTCTAATAACTTTGGTTATAATATTATGGCTGTTCAAAAGTGGACCATTTTGGTGTGATTTTGGTGTAAATCTGATCGATTGGCCTTTTTTTTT